TGCACACGCAGAATGTGTTTCAGTCCCTCTGCCGGTGTCTATCTACCCACTACAGTGTATCTATCTCTGCTAGGCCGCTGCAGCAGTAAAAGCGATCGATCCATCTGGTTCTACCGTCCCCCCGAAGCAGCAGCTGTAGCAGTAGAACTTGATCTGTACAAGCGCGTGCACACACCGCCACTTTGCCACCAGCACCAGCAGCGGAATCACACACAGAGTGTCGGTTTCCCTGCGTGTGCAGCTCACTCCGCCGCTGCCGCCGGTCGGCGCAGACAACAGCAGCAACGATATTACGACCAGCAGCAGGGGTAGCGTAGGCACCGTTTGCCACCGTACCATGCCAATGGACTCACTCATTCACTCACGAAAAAAAAGTAGACTAATTCACTTACAGAGAGCGAGCGCACACAATCGCTAACAGCGGCAGGCTGGCTCAACCAGTGGCCGCCAAACTCACAACTCCCGCCACAGCTCAACGCAGCAGCAGCAGCAGCAGCTCAATTCAGCGCCATCAGCACTATCGCCATCATCTTTACCGCGATCACTAACAAAAATTGTTATTATTAAGGTTAATTGCTGATTGCCATACTGGTTCGTAAGTTCGCTGGACAAATCCTAGACCAGTCGAGTTGGCTAGACTACTTGCGCGACAAGTCTTCGATGCTATACCTAACAACAAGTAATATCAGGGTCTCGTTCGCCTACAGCCAATGGTGAGAAATGATAAAAACATAAAAAAAAAATAAATAAATAAATACCACCAGCGGCAGCGGCGGCAAAATAGCTTCAAGTGGCAGAATCAGCAGCAGCAGCAGCGGTAGCGCCAGAACGGCGACGGCGGCGGCGCCGCTGTAACCACAGCAGCAGCGGCACGAACAGCAGACAACAAAACGGCGAGAGCGGTAACTGCGTTATAAGAAACACACTGCTGTAGCTGATTGGCCAGTCGGTGTCTCGCTGGCTGGATGGCTAACGGCTGCTGGATACTTATTGGCGCTGTGAGCGAAGCCCAGCAACAGGAATGGCCGCTTCGCTGTCTGTCTCTGTTGAGCGCTGTTACTGCTGCTGTCGTTTCTGCCTGCGCAGCGGAACGATGTGGGTCGGCAGCACTGTGGCTGGCGCGCTACGGGAAAAGGAAAAGCGCGCGCATTGCCAGAGCGAACCATTGACAACTGCGGTAACAGCTAGAACAGCATTAACATAGAGCCACAATTCCCATATTGAGACACACGCACAAGCAACTAGCATTAGCCCCTACCGCCCGGACGCGACCGCGAGTCACGACGAGGGAGCAAGAAGAAGCCGCGTGAACCAGTGCCGACATACAAGAGCTGCTGGAAGAGGCCAGCACGAAGACGGTGGCGCAGAGTAGACCAGTGCGATGAACTGCGGCGGTGGCGCCGGCAGAGGGATAGATGACGGGGCGATACGGATGGCCGGTACAGCTAGGCAGTGTTGCTTGAGTAGAACGGAGACGGCTATATCCGCGACTAGTGGTCATGCTGCTAGCGGTGGCTGCAGCGATGGTCGACCACGCTACGCGCCATAGAGCTCGGCCGTCGCGAACAACACCGCCGTTGTTGCAGAACACTAGCGACAACTTCTTTACCCTGGTAACACTCAGTGACGACTACGGGTGATAATAGAATATACGAGGGGGGGGGTTTACTCCAAATAGGCGCGCGGGGTTGCCATCGATGGCGGTAAACAGCGGTCAGACGTAACTGCCGCCGCTGCAGCAGCATGAGAGTTTGCATTTGTTAGGGTGATGCGTCATTGTCGCTGCCGCAAGATAGAAACCAGAACGGCAGATGTCGGCGAGCTGTAGAAAACGACCGCACTAGAGACACGCTTACTGCCCCTTGAGGCTAAATAAGCACCATTCCATTGTTTACAGGTAATGAATGTCTTAAACGTTGTGTGTGCAAGGCCAGTGACTGGATATTTGAAGATGGCCGGGGCCGTTGAAGTGTCGTGTAAGAGAGTAATTGAGAATTAGTGGGTAGTGCTTTCTGCGGAATAAAGTTCACCTGTCGGAGTCGAACTGCGTACTCCTTGACCTACGCTGAACAGACATTTCTCTGATGGTGTTCGACCGTACGTAAACGCGTTGCCCAAGCCTCAGAAAAAATGGGCGGCACAAAGTACACATGTCCTATCTACACAAGGAAGCACGCCGCTTGAATTATGTACAGTCCACCAGCAATCGAGTCCTATTAATTAGGGACCCATATACGGATCCCATATTTACAAAATGATTTTTTTCAGGTGCCCGATGCTAGGCCATAAGCTTTTAATGAATTATCTAAAGCAGTAAACCAGCACTGATGGCAGAGATAGTTGTTAGAAAAAACCAATGCTTATGTTTCTTTTTGTAGGCCTATTTGTATTGCCTGCATAATATTTACGCTTAGATCTAATAGATAGATTTTCCATACAGCCAAGGAAAATTATATTTATCCTCTTTTGCTTTGGCTGGATTTTACGTTACACCACAATAACGATTACGATACCCGGTCCAATACATTATAATCATAAGTATATAAAATACAGGAGAACGTCTGATTCTCGAACGTTATGTATGTCTATGATACCAATCACGGCCATTGAATCGAATTGGTGATAATAAGCGATTCCAAATACAGTTGTTTGCGACATTAAACTCTAGAACATTCAATTAACAACTACGAAAGGAAAAAATATATTTTACGCTTTAAACCCCCCATCCCTGTGGCATCATAGTACTTGGTACTGTCCACTGAAATCTCTGTCGTTTGGGGTTAATAAGGTGGTAGGAGGTTTATGGCTTCAAAATAATCTAAGAGACACAACAGTTACGAGAATAACTTAATAGGTGACTAGAGTGATAGTAGTGGACGTTCCGGTAGCCATTTAGGCATCATGGCAACATTGAACCCTCCCCGGTATGTTGCATCCGTTTCTGTAGTTTGTTTTTGAATGAAAAACAGCTTTTCTTTAATTAGACATTCTTTGATAATTTAATTTTGGTTGTTGCGGCTTAAAGTAACCTCGTATATCAAAATCTTTCCCCAGGACTTAAAACCTGTGTGCAGCAATAGACTAAATACGTGTTACTATAGAAGCGGTAGGATAAAGAAAGCTTACATCTTTTGCACCCATTTGTGTGTTTCTTAACATAGCAATTTACGTGCTGCTCGTGAGGTTTCATAAACTAATAGTTAGACAGAACGGCAAAGATGCACAAAAGCACGGGCAGGCATGTATGATGCGCTACCTGTTTACAGGGCCTCTAATGGGAGATTTTTAGATTATGCATTTACTTGATCCCTCTTCGGGATATCTGGTCTGATCTTTTCTATCTGTTTCACCCAGACAACTTCGGCGTAGATTTTAGTAAGGTTTTAAAGATTCAATGACAACATTGACCGCTTGCGATTGGGTCATACAATTATTATAGTTATAGATATTAAATGTACTTCTCGTGTTATCTCATCGTAATTATGATAGATAAAATAAAGCATTTATAGCTTGTCCAAAACACCCTTCGAATCAAATCGACTGAGATGAAATACTGAAAAGTATATGGTTCTTTAAACTAGAGATTACATTTTATTGAACAAGTAATGGTGCTGATGCTCATCTCATGTAGTACGTTGCCATGGTCGTCGGTGGATCAACGTTCAGCGTTGGCGAATGGTTGTCATGAAATTTCCTAGGTCTGTTGAAGAAGCCCCAGACAAGTGCACTAGGACCCAGCCACCCATAGCACGCGGTTTAAACAAAACCCAAGTAAGCTGACCCATTAAACCTTCTGTCTATTGTGTTTCTCACACCCTGCTCTTCATTAGGTACAGATTAGGTGTCAAATTTTGCGACCCGATCTGTGAAACCTTGTACATTTTTTCTTTGTTAAATAGCATCAGACATTGTAACATTACCTATTCATTCATTTACAGCAAAAAAGGGCTGACGAAAGCACATTTGTTCTATACTTTTACAACGCTTAGTGAAGGAATAATGGTCATTGGTAGCAATTAACCAATATATATTAATGGAAGCTCAGTTTTTCGCTCGTTTGTGGAACACAACTTGCATAGAAACTTTTGAATCATTTATTGCACACACAAGTCAAAACAGAAACTATTGCTATAGCAGCTAACGCGTAATGAAGTAAAGGAACAACGTGTGCCTCAGTATTAGTTACATCGTTAGCAGCATCGTTGACTCAGAACTTCCACGGTTAACTAACAAACTTGGGTAGAAATACCGCAGAGCGGAACTTCTGCTGGGTTTGCAGTTGATATTTTTCGTGACGGTTGTAATTTCAGTGTACGGACTTCTTTACCTAAAGATTCATATTCCGTTTCGGCAAGTATACTTATTATTGATCTGAAGATCGTAATAGAGCTCTTCTTGAGTTGAGAAAAAATTCTTGAAATAACAGTCTTTTAGTAATCTCATAAAACCTGTTACTGACTTCAGTACGACTGACCTTCCCGAACCACCTGGGTGAAGAAAACGTTTACGAAGCTTTTTTTTCAACGCTTTCAATGGCTTCAAAGCAAACTTGAAGTACCATTTTCAAAGCTAGCCTGTGTACGTTGGGACCTACTTAATCTAGGTACAGGTTCGTCTGAACTAAGGAGAGAAATATTGTGAAAAATTAGAATGCAATTATAATTCAACGATACAACTTCCTACTTTGTTAGATATTTTGAGGATAACAGACAAAGCAATATAGTATATACCATAATCATTATGAAACCAACGTAATGATATTAATTAAATCATAGGAATTTGCCAGTCGAGGAATAAAGCTAATATTTTGAAGCCAAGAGAGGGGAATAAGATAGGATCCATAGTGGTAGTAGCGAAGTCTGCAGTCAGAATTTCAATCTTTTCATATAATTTGCACATTGCTGGTATCAGATTTTAGGCTTTTTTCAATAGTCTATTGACTGAAAAAAAATTGCAAATAATTCCAGATTAAAGAAGAAAAAAGGAAAAATAACGGCGTGTACAATTTGATTGTATATTTTATGTATTAAATTTATCTCGGTGAGAAAATCGGCATTTTGCTTGCTCCAAAGGACATCCCTGTGGGTGGTTGGAATCGAACCAGCATGCCCTCCGTTGATGAACCGAGCGCTGGGCATTGGGTTTTTGTTCTTCAGGAATCTTCAATCGTACTGCTCCGTTTTTAACTTAAATTAAGACAACAGGTACAAATTGTTGAATAACAGAGGGCCTATGCGAGGATTCACATAAGAAATGTTAATGGTAAGTCGCATAATAACGACGCTCTCGTTCGGCAAATCTAAAAATTTAATTTCGAACTGTTTGCTTATAGTCTTCACTGCGTACTAAATGCATTACGTAGTTGAGTATTGTCATTATAATAAATGTCCTATTGATTACCGATTTGTAAATATATAAGAGAAAGGCCCGTTATTCTGCACGCTTTTTTAGATTGGGTGGTTTCACGCACAGCAGAGAATTTTCTATTTCAACTTAACTGAACGGGTGCTCGGCAAAAATAACCTACGAAAACTTTGATAATGAACCTAGAACTCAAAAAAGGGCTTTCAAGCATACAAGCGAAGCAGAATGTTTGCCCTACCTTGAAAAACGTGATAGTTATTTTTGAGAAGCGTTTGAATACCACCGCACTGTGATTTGAGAAGGGACCGTTCTCTTTTATTAACCAATGCAATTACTTCCGCTAGACTCAACTGTCCCCCTAAATTGAAACTGAAAAGGAAAAACATTTTATTGTGGACTAAATGAAAAGTAAACCTTCTCTTCATGAACTCTTAAACAGAGTGTATGTGGAACCACATTGGAGAAAGTTAATAGAGTGGCTGAGCTCGGAATTTCCCCTTTCCAGTCGTACCACAGCATTAGCGAAAACGGTTATAATATGCCAATGCATTGAAGCCGCACTTAGAAAGAAAGCTGATTACTACCGTGCTCCGAATATCACAACTAAACGGTAAATTAAAGAATCAATTAAAAAAACTTTGTGCAAGATCTCGTGCGGAACTCGTTTTATAGCATAGTTTTAGGTTTAGAGGCAATAAAAGGGAAACATGTGGACGGTATAAAGCCTTCTTGCATCGTGCTCATGGCAGTTCCGAGATCTTCCTAGTCACATACGCACTTTAAAATTGCATTCAAATAAGGATGTAGCATCTATAGTTAACCAGTTGTTTGGCAAAAAAAAAGTGCAATTTAAAGTAAATTGGAAACAAGAAGGCGCAGTGCTAAACGTACCCTTCAGATTGCTCTTTATCAGGCAAGGTTAGTAGATGAATTGCCACCCTGTGCACGATTCTATCAGTAAGACTCCTATCTGTCTGGGTACAGTTGCGAACCTAAAGACATGTTGTAAGTCATAGAATGGTATAATTTTCGTTTTTTTCTAAGTTTAACACATGATATCTTAAACGAGTAATAACCTAACTATACTCGAATGATTTCCTGCTAGTAACTTGTGGCTCCTGGAATCATTATTACAGCATCCTACCGGAATTTCCTTGGCGCGAGGTACAAAGTCTGTGACTGGCTTTTCTTTTTCGAGACGATGCCGGAGCCTGGCTATGACTTGATCTCTGGGCTCATCCAGGCGTTCAGATAACACCATACAAATCTTAACGAGTGAAAAAGAAGTTAAATAATATAAGAACTCCTCAATTTTTTTTAGTCTGTGTGCTAATAAAGTGCAGCTTGATCCTGAGCTGCCCTTCCTTAGAAGCGTAAATTGAACCAAATGGTTTATAAGTTAATTTGTGACTTTTTCATTTCATTTCGTAATAATTATGAAAGATCATTATTTCCCATCACGTTGTCGCCACGGCAACTTACTCGCTTGGTTGAGGGAATCCTAATTTTATCAATGCGAACCTTGAAACCGCATTTGGGCAGAAAGTCTTCTTTTAGATGCATAAGATAGCTTTGATACTGGCTAAGGTCAGGTTTAGTTCGTTGATATTTGCCATACAGCCCGTAAGGACAACACGGGAGGAGGAATACCTTTGCTGTCGAACTCGACCTGTAAAAGGAACGTCATTGTTATTGAACGAAACAAATAGGTTCCATGTATACTGTATTTGTATCCAGTATACATGGTATCCATCCAGTATCCAGTATGTTAGTTACTATTAAAGCAACATAATTATGTGGATGTCTTAGTGGTTCTGTAAAGTTTCATATGGGTAATTAATGGAGAGGACAAACACCTTCAAAAATCTTGGGGAACCATTGCAAGCATAATCATATATAACTATGACTAACCAATAATGATTTACAATAGAGCCGGTCAAAAAAAGCTTACATAGATGCGAGCAGCGGTATCCACGGGGTCAGTTCGTCGGAATGGTTTCCAATCCACCACTCGGCATCAAATCTGCTTTGAGGTGTTACGGGTTCTTCACGGAGAAAATTGCTAACCTTGGGCGGGTAAAGCGACCATATACGGCGTTTACGTACGTCAATCCCAAGCCCCATGTGCTATTCGAAATAATGTTTTGATACATGCAAAAATAACCGTTTCGGTTAAAATTTTTTTACTTTAAGAGAATGAAAAGTCCTAAAATTGATTATTATTATTATTAAACTCTATGTGTAATGACAATTTTGCTAAAAGCTAAGGCAGTCGATATTTAGTGGGAAAAAAATTTGGTCGTTTATGGAATATGTTGCCTGTAACTATGCAGTTAGCTGATAGGCTTTCATTGAGAAAACGATAAAATGTACCTCCATTGATTACGTAATTTAATATTTAATAATTTAACATAACAGCTACACATAGATTGGCTAATAAGTAATTACAAACAGTGACGACAGCATTGACTTACCCCTTCGAGGATGAGGATGTAGACAAGCAGCCCATTCCCACAACCTATGTCGACAAATGACGTTTTTCGACCGTCGTCCTCTGGATCCCAAAGCGCCTGCAAATGAATTATCTAACAATAAGTAGGGCTATATGGTTGGGTGTTTTCTTCTTGCTTATCTTCAATCGAGCGATAGAAGACATTTAGTTAAGTTACCAAAACTAAAGTACCTCTATTTTATGATAAAGCATATCATTAAATAGCAATCGAAATGATTATTTAATCCGGATAACGAAACTTACTATGAGGTAACTGGCGATGGCTAAGTCCTCGAACACGAATTTCAACGGATCCGTCTTTTCCGGCCAAATCTGGAAAGCACCCAATGGCAATCTTGCAAATACAGTTAATTTAACCGCAAATATTTAAAAATTATTGACCTATTTGAAAAGGCGACTTACATTTTAGGTTCTTATGAGTTTGTTGTGCATAAAAAACTAGCATTAGAAAGAACGTATCCTTTCACAGTTTACTGAACAGGTTAACAACGAGTACCAGAGAATATCTAACCTTTATTAATTCTGGGCCATATTTCAGCTTGAGGTCCCAATAGATGCGGCTATATCTCTCGACACTGACCAGTCCAAGTGATGCAACCTAAAGGAAGGTCATGATAATAAGCATTCGAATGAAACAAATCATCTTTGCGATATAGGGATAACAGCTCTTGAGGAAGTGTTTTAGATTTAGTAGACGGTAGCGATTTAGTTATTCTTGCACTGGTGCCTTCTTTTTCCCCTGTATCCCTTGCTTGACACCTACGGAGCAGCCTTAATAATCGACACCGCATTTTTCACTATTTCTCGACTGTAAAAGGTGAACCGGAGACGAGGATAAGCACGTGTGAGGCTTTACAGAGGCAACTAGAGATCAGGCTGGGTCAACAAATTATCAAACAAGACTTTCGACAGGTGAAACGAATCGCAAAATAGTCTTGCTGAATAACATCGCTATATCTCGTGTACCTTTAGAGGCCTACGAATATCTAATAGATCATCAATATGATAACGCAGCTGGCGGCGGCGCAACGCAAAACGAAAGGCCGAAATTGGAAAATAAATTTATAAATCCATCATCTACATGGGTGCCTCCTTCCTTCGCCAAAGAATACGCGTGATGACAGAACAATAAAGGCAGGATATAATGGGCCAAGGAGATCATTTTCAGTCGTAGACGTAGTTTATCTCAAGCATTAAAAGAAACAGAAGCCAGCTTAACGACTAGTTATTACTTTCTATTCGACTTAACACATCCGCTTGTCTTACTGCACTTTACCGCTTTCATATCCCTCGTCTGCTTTCTTACTGAGTTTCATGCCATAGTTATAATAAGTGGTGCTGCCAAACTTATTTGCCTCCTTTAGGTGCCCTAACGGAGCTGATCATTTTAATAGGTTACATATTTATAGGTAGACTGCCAAAGTAGTACGAACAGTGGCATAGAAAATGTAATACTTTGCTGGTGGTGGGTTAGGAACGGCTCACACCTGTATCTGTTTGTCTTGGCGGACTACGCCATGCGCCCATCGCTCAATACGATCGAATAATTTTGTTGTCAATCGGGGACATGGATCGGAAGAAGTTGACAGTGACACGCTGAAAATTTAACCGGACAATTTTCTCTAAATAAGTCGTACATCAATATAGCATTTGTTGTCACGTGGAGCAAAAACATATAAGTGAGGTACCTCTAATAGGTAGCATGCGATATTCATGACGGCTAATTTAACGCGGACGACCACATGTCATATAATTCTAATGTGATATGTACACAAAACAGTGCATATCACAATTTCTATTATGTACAAGTTATTAAATGAGAAATTTGCTTGTAGGCTCACTTTTGATCGTTGTCATAGACGTCATCATTATCTAATTATACACTAGCTCTAAAAAGTGAAATTAACGGACATACCATTTATCGTTATCATCGAAACGAAGGACGAATTTGAATGGACCGCGTACGACGGGTTCAAGATTGCTCCCTTGATCATCCGCCGATCGTTCCGTAAATATCGATAACTCATGCAACTGAAGTCGGCATTCCTCATATACGCCTGAAAATCTGTTCAGCTGTCCGTTAAAAATCAATCATTCGAAACCAGCCCCAAATCACTGCAATGTATAGATTCGCATCGACTCTTGTTAGAATAGAGAGGTATTTATTATCATTTTTTGTTTGTCGACCCATTGTTAATTCGGCAGCATGTGATGTTTTTGACCTCGTACGTTTACTCGAAGGTATACTTCATTGCTCGCCAAAACTGATTTGGCTGGTAGCATCGATGACAGCTTCGTATATATTGGCATTTGGGGCAGGGGCATGACATAGATCTTCAATAATAAAGGAATGCCAAGAGAACTAAATATTTCATGCACTCCCTTGAACGTTGAAATTCTATTTAGGTCCAAATGCTTATTAGAAAACTATTAAAGAAACTAAAAAAAAATTGCTATAGACCAAATGACGAAATTACCTTCGATGATTTTTCGGCACCAATATCCTACGTAGCCGTAAGATGTCATTTTGAGACAACTGTGGGACCGATGCTGATACAGGCACTGCAACAAAAACAACATTAGTTAGCTGTCAGTTGGCTAACCCTAGTGGAGCAGAATTTTTTATGAGGTTTTTCATGACTTTAAAGTGAATGATATCATTCTAGTTTATGTAAGCAGTGGATCGATTTCACTCGATCCTCTGAAATGGCATTATGTTTTATCTTTTTCTCAATCGATATCTTCTATAATAAACGTGTGATAATGTGACTCGGGCACCTCTTTGCTGCGATGAATCTTGCTGACACACGAGTATGTCACCTCCTGCTAACCGGCCATCAAAAACGTGCGGTTTCGTTAAAAAGATCCAGGCAATAGAGGGAAAACTGCGTATGAAAGGACATCAGCCATCATGGTATTTTAGTTAGAGATAACACTTTAGACTGTCGGTCTTTAGATGGTCTTTTTTGCGGTAGATGCGGTATTTCTTGATAACAATTAGACAGTGCCATTTAATAATAGGAAATTAAATAGATTCTTACCATTCAGACGGAATTGGTTGAGACCTTTTGATCAATCTTAATTTGACCGCATCATCGGCTGCCGATTTGGTCGAAGGTTGAGAACTCATCTGGCTCTCGTATGACCAATTCTGTCGGTGCTTCTCAAATTCGGGTTCTAGAATATATTGTGTTGCTGATACGCTGATAAATAACAATTGGTAACAACAAAAGTAAAATACGAATCACTAGGCTTCAGCTCAACCTTTAGATAAACTGATTGCCCTGACCAAAACTTGAACGCAATGATAATATGAAAATTGCGAACGTAGTATCATATAAGAATTCCTTTTTGAACGTAGTTTTTTTAATAATGAGTGTTCAAAGCCGAGGTCACAACATAACGAAAACATGCAAACAATGAGAAAAAAAAAAAAAGGACACATTTTTGTCCTCGAAACGTCATGAAAATCGACGGAGCGATAACAACCACCTCGAAGTAAAATTACTTAACCAGCTTCAGGTGAGTCGTTATGTAATAACTGGAGCAGTAATTCTAATAAATGACGTTATACGCTTAGGTAGTGCTTTTCAAGTTCAAAATTGTAAAAAGTTGTGAATACTTCGCCTTGAAAAGCGACCTAAGAAGGTAGATGTGCGATGGTCATGGACCTCGACAGATGACATCAGTCCACCTGTAGCATGGCACGCTATGCCGAACGTAACTAGAAAATCGCGTTCCGTCTATTATTAAAGCTAAAGCTAATTGTTCTACATCCTTTAATGGTATCATGCGGAAGATGGTGAAATAATAAACTATCAACAATACACGCCTTTTATTTGGAAGAACAGTACTAATGTAAATCGTATGGGTCAGTGAATAAAGTTAACGCCTCTGCAAAACAGTCAGTTTGTTAGGATTAGCGTAATCGACTCACGGGCAGCTCTAAAGCAGTTGCAACGCTGATAAGCGCTAAACGCTATGAGGTCGGTACTATCGTTTAACGTTTAACTAGTGCAGTAAGAATTATTTTTAAATATATTTGTTTCGATTTGTTTTCGTTCCTTGTGCTGGTTTACTGTGTCTGTTAATAAGAACCCTGGAAGTACGATGCACAGGATGAAAACAACATTTCACTTGTAAACAAGATTGAGTCTAGTATACGTGCATCAAGCTGACACGATTTACTACAGAGTTTTTAGACTATGCTTACTGACCTCGCATTCTTGGTATAGTTATATAATATCATTTTTCCGCTTACCGCTATTTCATATAAAATAGAAATATATGTGAAGTAAATGATAAACGGATAGTCTACTGAACTCATCAATCTAATAAACATTTGTATGTTTAAAAGCATTTCTAATTACCGTTTGGCTAATAATATGAATTTCGATAATTTATCTAACTAACACATTTTTTTGGGGCCTTTTATTTCGAAGAAGCGTGCCATTGTGACTGAACAAACAGGCAACGATCTGCAAGCGAATTTTCAGCCTGTCGTTGTTCTTACCTGTCGAATCCGATCATCACTTTCACGTCGCAGCATCCTACACGCGACCGCTTTCCTGACGTTAGTACTTGTCTTCTTATAAAGTTCTTGCTGCAAATATTAACACATTGCCGTTTCCAGGGTTATGAATAACTGATGGAAACAAAGTAGTGGCACTTAGATAATCGTCGTTGAAAAATTCAACACAGACAGCTCCCGTCGGTTTCTACTCGTTGATTTTTAATCCCTCGTACATTTGTTTCTTTTTAACAAACCTCAAGCCTTCCTTTGCTCATCGATAATTAGCAAAATACGTACGTTGAATGAAGTGGCTTTATGCCGTTGACATAGTAGGTTCTTTGGCCACCGAGGTTAATGGCTAACAACAAAAAAATCCAACGAACTACAACACAGCAGAAACCCGTACAGCGGGTAGAGCTTAACGTTCCTTTTTTTTTAAAGACTCGCACCTTGCTCTATAATAATAATACACCTTTTTGTTTCCATACAGTTTTCCATACAGATTTTTTTTCGATGGAAACTCGTTCCACTCGTAGAGTTGAAATAGTCCCGCGGTTATGGTTAACTAGTCAGCTGTTCGAACACATCTCCCAAGTGCGAGAGCGTTCGTAATTCTTTCGAAATCTTGCTCTACACCGCTGAATGAATCGTCCGCACGGTAGACGGCTGTACACCGAAAAAGTGATAACGCAACGGTTCCCTCCTCTTTGCCAATGTGGTTAGCAGGAAGGCTTGTCCGTGTATCTGTATGCGCAGCTGATCTAATAACGATCCTCGTTTTCCCTCTCGCCAGCCGCTCCCATCTGTACAGCGTATTGCACACTGACGATATCATATTCTTATCAAGCAACAACACTCGAAAAGAAAACACCCTGTGTATGACTGTAGCCTGGCTCTCGTCTGGCCTCCTGTGGCTCTTACTGCCGCTACATGGCTACGCAATTTTTTAGCTCCTGGCAAGCAAAACCAGGTGTTTTTCGTCCAGGCACAAATCACTATCCTCAGTCGTCGTAGAATCAGGAGCAGTGGTAGTTATATTTGTGTAGCTAACACAGGCAAGGAGGAAGTAGATAACTGCTGGATGTCTCTCCTCAATGTGTGAATGGATCTGAGAGCCAAGCTAGCACCAAGAGCGTTGGAACTGCTGGCCGCTGAAAACTAAACGATCGCAGCTGGCTTGACTGAGCAAAGCATAAAGCTGGTGAAACAAGAACTTGATGTCGAAGTGTGCCTACTGATGTCGCGTTACAAGATTATCATCATACGACGGTGTTATTGTTTATCTACATCTGGAAACGAGATAAATTCATACATGTGAACCGTAAATGAAAAGTGATTAAGACGACTGCGGTAACTGACGGCGGTATTGCGCACACACACTAGCACAGGGACACACAAACACACTCACACAGACAACCCACAAATATCATACACATCGAATAGTGCCGGAGAAATCTACAAGAGAGACAAGATTCAAGGAGAGGGAAGAAGCTAGATCGTACAGTTATACAGTAGTTTTCTAAGTAGTCGCGTTGTCGACCTCAGGCCGTTATTTGCCTTCTCCTACTCTCTGCTGATACTAAGTAGTCATAGTTGTTTGTCGCCTCCAAACCTGAAGATATTCGCCCCCGCCCCTTTCCTGAAGTCTTCGCTGTTCGGGAATTGGTGTTATTGTTGTTTTTGTTGTATTTCAACGATCGCGATTGAACAGGGTTTGTAAAAGTGCTAGCTGTTTTCCGGAGGAGCACGGGGGACGGGCCTCAAGTTTTGCAGACGCTTCAATCAGCATCCCTTACTGAGCTCGGGGGCCCTGCTACTATTGGCGGACCCCCAGGATAGCTGGCTAACAAGCCTACTCCAGAACAATGGACGAGGGGGAGTCAACTGTAGAGGTTCTAATCCGAAAAGGCAAACGGGCAGCTGCCTGCTACCTTCAGGTGAGTTTCTTATTCCTCCCGGTAACAGCAGGAACAACCCTTAGTAGAGTGTAGTCAACCTTCCGTTACCAAACATACGCAGTAAGATCTAAACTTTAGTGCTGCCTTTAGTCAGTGATACGTAATAATCATTGCATTTTAGTTATTCTCTCTCGATAAGAATTAAGGGTTGTAGATTTTTTTTTGAAATATGAAAAACAAATAGTCAGCTATCAGTTTTATCGTGCAGTGAACACTCCATACCGATGTTATGTGAAGTGGCTGAGATTGTGGTGGGCAATAAGCTTCTACAAGATTTAGGAAACGATTGAGGGAGGAACGTCTAGTTTCTGATGAAATTTTCAGCGGTAGATTGATTGAATTTTAAAATCTACCTTCTTATATTCGGTTTTTTCTCACAATGAGAATGTGTGATAATCGCGTTCGAGAAAAAGGTGCCTATCATACACACATATGAGGTCTCTTTTGATAAACGACAGCACGCTTGCCATTTAGATCATAGGACGCAAACACTGCTCTTCTCCGTGCACTACAAACTTCTCTATCCATCTCAAGCGGCACACGAAAATTATTCGAACTATTTGCGCTTGTTTCCCCATTTCCAATAAATGGGGAATAATGGTCTGTATCTGCCTAATTCCACCACAGTTTCCGTAGGTTTATTATTATCTAGTGATTTGCCCTGTTGTTGTCGTCTGGTCCGAACGTTTGTCCATATATATATATATATATATACATGGCCGTAGTCACACGTATAAAACTGCTCAGATTCTTGAAGAAAGAAAGAAAGAAAGAAAGAAAAAAGATCAAATTTGCCGTCTGGTGTTGGCAGCAGAAACTACATTGTCACCAGTGGTGGCTTTGTAGTCTGCAGCAGGCATTACAGAACGCCAAAAAGCAATCGACACACCTATACCCACACACGAAATGTACTTCAACTCGAAAATAAATGCTAATAACTTTCTAAGTTTTACATTATTAAATATGCATTAGTAATCCAGTCAGTTGAGTCAAGCGAAGTGGTCACTTTTGTTCGTCAAAAAGGTGAACGAGAGGGACAGGGCATTGTACGAGGGTTCCTAAAGCCTAATAAAAATAAACAAATAACATATTTAAATTAGCCAGCACTTTTCGATTAGGTACTAACTCAGTTAATCTTTACGATTGCTTATTATAGAAGACCGCATTCACTGCACTGCAAATGGAACGGCGTAATCAAAGTCCTACAGTTCTGTTCCAGGAATTAATAGAAAACACGGTTTCAGATAAATCTAGATCATTTATGTCATTATCAGTAAACAAGCATCATGGATATCCATACTTTGTTCATCTGATTTTTCCACACAGGGATAATCTGACAGCGAAGCCTGAAATCTTTTTTTAGGACAAATTACAACTATAGTAGGTATAGGTACTGTACTTTAACGACGTTTCTGGGTTTTTGCTTTGTCTGTGATGGGTCGGTGTTGTTAGAAAGGGTTGCTACTAAACAGGAGGCATTTGCATACGTGACATCCCAACAATTGTTTTTCTTTTCTTTAAGCAGCTGGGAAAGTTTCTAGTCGACATTTGTACTGCTTGCAGTGATGTGTTCTAAAATTTCTCATTCGTAGTGATGTTCTAATTTTGGAGGTATCCGTTTAATTCAAATTGTACTAAGTCCTTGGTATTGACGTAAAACTTAGCAATTCGTAAAGGTGTCAACAATTTTCTACGCGTTCTAGATCCGGTATGGTAGCTGGCTATAAGCATATAGAAATGCGTGCCTTTGTGATATGGAACCGTTTTCCCTTCTTACAATCGTATACACTTTATCCACAGTAGTCGCTGCTTAGTATACATACGGATGTTTTGGTTAAACTGGAAAAATTACATGTAGGGACTTCGTGCTTCGAACCATAGGTCTAGATCAGATCCTTCGGCGGTGCCGAGCTGGGCAGACTCGTACATAGGTTATGAACTTTTTTTTGCTTGCCCTAAATTGACGGTTTAATTTCCATAAAACAAAAAAAAATCATAATATAACGATAAATATTAGTAACGATTGAATTATAGAGCTCGAAATCTTCAAAAGAAATTTCAAAATTAAGCATTATGATCCCGGAATTCGGCGCAGAAAAAAGTGGATGTTTGCAAAAAAAGACGATTTATCATCAACGAGATCGTCTAGATGGAGGTCAGTTCTTTGTTTTCTTAGCTTACTGGGCATCTGTAGAGATCTGTAGGATGTTTGGTCTACTATCAGCTCGACATGAATTTGACAATGCTTTTTCGAACATGGCGTGTTTGAGCGAGACCTGAACTCGTGTTGATATCGCTTTATTCATAACTATTGTCGAAAAAATATTCGTATAGCAGTTACATCGGATAAACACGTTCGTGAGGGACGCCTCTGTCGGTGCATGTAAACAAGTCTACCCAAATCCGTGTTTTTATTTACATGCAGCTTGAGCGCTGCGTGTAAATCAGGCGCATCAATCATCAACCAACTTATCCTGAGCGCCCTCTATACGCTGTACGTTGTTCTAACAGCTGCTAAGCCTGTCAGCTGCTTCCTTTGGGATGAAACAGCTATGCGCTTTCTGTGTGCTACATGACGTCGTATGTGTACTTTGTAAAGCAGGCGTCTAGGAAGGTTCAACTGCTTACGGGTGCTGCTCACAATGCTGGTCTTCAACAAAATCGCAAACCCATGATCGTGTCTGACTTGATTCTGAAACGACTCGATCGAAAGCGAGCCTATTTCCATTGTGCCTAAAGCGCATTTCCAAAAACAAATATACTTGTATTATTAATGATTTTTTTCTCTTTTGTTCGTTAGAAGAAGGTAGCATCTTTGTAGCAGTATGTCGGCATACGGAACAGTCGGTTCGAACCCTATTGAAAAAGTAAGAGTGACCCTATAAACGCGTGTTAGTTGATAAAATGTTTGTCAAATCGATGAACCAATAGACACTGAAAGAAGTTTTCAATAAAAGCGCGCACATTTTTATCAGGTGGATGTGCGGGTAGTTACAAACATGTGAATCTTATTTGAAGCAGTAAAACTCAATAAGGGCAATGGTACACGGTGACGTAGAACGGGTCTGAAATTCTAAAAGACAGAAAGGTCCATACTTAGTAGCATCGACTGTTGTAAAATGTCTGGATCACTACTTCGCGGAAGGAGAGCTTGGTCGCGCCAAGTTTATCTCAAACAAGTGGTATCTTAGTTGGTGATTTATTATTGGTTGAAAGAAGAAGTAAATCTGCAACCAACAAGTTCTGTGTGCTCATAATATCTACAGCATATCCATTGAGTGGTCTAAAAGAGCTAATGAAAGCACCCGGAGATAATCATAGTGAAGATTCCGAAACTGATTAAGGTTTGCTATTAAAAAAGAAATATTGGTCAATTACTTTCCTACTGAATAGCTTCATATGTGAGTTATGCCTGAGGGCTCAATCAGCTTAAAACAGCTATTCAACTATTGAAAAAAACGAATCCTTAAATTGTTATATTTAGCTTTAAATGTAGATATTTCCACCTATAACGTTCTTAGTTTTTAACAACCTAAGGATCGAGACAATGAGGAGGAAGCTCGTGGTCCCACGCATCGTTTACTTTAATTACTGGTACAATGGTACGCAAACTACCACTTTAAAAATATATGGCCGCAATGTAGTAGTGACAGCAAGAAATCCGATGAGTGTAAACACAGGAGAAACACTTAATCCGTTATTTATTTCGGCTAGATGCATTAAACGTTTAAAGTGGCTTAAATTTTTTTAGTTTTGGCGGATTGTAAATAGGCTGCGATTCTGAATCGTAACAACCACGTGCACCGCGTGAAGTGTGATGACCGCGTTTGGAAAACAGGCCATGGATTCCTTTGTCCGTCGTCGCCGCCGCGACTGCACTGTCCATACGTACATATAGCTATTTCCCTTAAATACATATTCTTTCGAGTATGAGTATGGCAATACAGCTGCGACGGGTTAGTAAATAATAATTCGGATACTTATTAAGGCAACAAATATGCAATAAAAAGCCATTTTGCAAGACCGCTATATTTAACTTATTCTCGTTTGGCATACCCATTGGCATTACGACTATACAAAAACTACGTCCTAGCGTTTCGATTCTATCATGCTTAGGTCAGGACGATCAACTTCCTCGATAGATCATTTCTTCCCCGAGTCTATGGTAGTGTGTGTGTGCGCCTTTTTCAAGCGAGGAAATCCCTTTCAATAAAAAAAAGCTATCTTTGTTTTAGTATTGGATTTATTAGATTGGGCTGAGCTCGTGTAATAGACATTAGAAGCTCAACACCTTCTCACTACTAGTTACTGTTTACTGTGTGAACTTAACTCTAAAACACAATCAGCCGTTTAAACTAAACCTCTTCTGCAAAGTATAGCAGGTCTAACTGACTTCGCAAAACCCGCTCGAGGATAATTACCGCTCCGTATCACGGATCGGGGCCGTTTGCAGTTGGGCGAATTAAGGCCGCCAGACTTGTCGTTGGTTTTACATGAACTGGTTCTTTGTAGTTTGTCGTCAGTCCTGTGTCGGTATCTTCAAATTAGGTGCGTAATACCTGAATATTAAAGTTTATGAAAAATAATCGAGTAAGTCAAGAATCAGCGTGCTATTATCATGCATATAATGGAAAAGAAGCATAGCGTATCCAGCTATTGAAGTCATTAGGTTTTTATCTTCTATTTGTAAGCAGATTTTTTTGTTGGAAATGTCAGCTGAGCATTATCTTGTTTTTGCTTTTAAACTTCGTTTGTTGTCGTGGTTTGGCGCTATGTATTGAGTTGTTCCTTTATCATTGTCCTGCCAGGTTATCCACGAATCGTGCATTCTTACTTATGATGTTCTTGTTTTCAAAATAACGGAGCGCGGTTTGTGTTTCTCTAAGATGTCTTTCTGATCTTGTTTAAGAAAGGATAGAACAATAGAAGTACCCATTAGCAAGATAGGCATTTTTTTTGGATACTTAGAATTGCCTGAGCTACTTATTTGCTGGTTTATTTTAATAAGAAGAATCTAAGAGGCACAATATATTCCAGTGTTAACAAAACGGAACGTTTCGTTTGACCAAATTACTGGACCTTGAAGGTTAATTATTGCGATGGGCGTTGAGCTCTTATTAGCGGTTAGGGGACCAACGCTAATATTAGTTAGGACGCTCAACAAGATTACCAAATCTTCAATCTTTAGCAACCTAAGAATGTCGGTATTCCAGGCTGAAATTTCCTACAGCGCGATATTGAAAAAACGTGCTGTGTTTCTCGCAATATTCAAAGCTGACAAACTAAGAGGTTAGGTGAAAAAAGTTGTGCAAGGCAGCTTTACGTATCGTTATTCCATGTTACATGCCCTCCTAAGTCTGATCAGGACCTTGCAATTTGTTGGAAATCGGCTACCGTTTCTGCTCCAGCTGACAAATTAGCACCCTCTGCCAAATTCGAAGTCTTAGGCGTGCTGGAATTAAAAGGGTTACCGCATGGTAAAAATCAGTTATTTCATCAGAAGATAAAAATGTACAAGTTATATACGTGCATTATATTCAGATAACGGTAACATTAGAAATATAGACACAAGGCAAAACAATGAATACACTTTCATTTCCCCGAGCAAATGCATATTGACGATTGAACAGAGTAACTATATACAAAAAAGAAAACACTAAAAAGCCCAAGAGCAACTTGGGCTATTTATTTCAATAAGCCTTACCATCAAATGATAACATCTGAATCGAAAATACGTGACGTGGATAAACGAGCCATAATGAGTTGTTTTATCTTAGTACAATATCAGAACTTACGGATTGTTAGATTACAAAGCTTTGCTGTGAATTTGCAGTCACAATGCCAGCCTGCACGCCAGCTGAACGAACTGCTAGACGCAATCCTCGACCCCCTGAAACCAATAGATATGTGGGACACGGTCGATTGGTGTCGTTGGCTAATGGCTGGGGGGAAGACACCAGATGAATTTGCTAACACAGGTAAGAACGTCTTCAAGCACAAATTTTCAAGTTAAGTTTTCATGAAGATCACTCAAAGCTAAGAAATTAATCAGCTTTTAAAAGTTGATTTCCATAAGTTTGTAGTTGTCTAAAACAAAATTATTAAGCTTGATAGCAACCCCGTACTAAAATCTAAGATCCCTAAACAGAGTTCCAGGTATTGCTTCAGCACGTTACATATATGTGTATCATATTATTTTTACTAATACGGAAAGTAAATGAACGTACTCAGGGACAAGTATCGATAACTGGTAAGATTCTCACAGCGTACAATACTGCAATGTTGTTTGTTTTTTACGTATCATGCCACTGCTATAACCTACATCTCTTTATAACTATTGAAGCAGATTTTGTGACCTAACGAACGATGTAGAACTCAAATGCGTGTTAGATATGGTACTTACTGGGATGCTAAATGGCAGTCATTTTAGAGATGCCCTCTAAATGAGTTAAAACGCGTCGACAAATCTCATTCGTGTACTATTCGCGTGCATGACCCATGGCTGATATTGTCTCATACATGTTCAAGATAGGTTTCACGCACCCTTTGACGCGCCTGCTTTACATTTGGATTTGTGCGTGAATGTGGGTATTTCTCTTACCCTTCCGCCTAATTTGGAATTCAGGTTTAGTAGGACCAGAGGTGGTAGATCTCTCATGGTCTGCTGATTTTCTCTTTGCAGTTCGTCGATACAACAACGCGACAACATGTGGCCTTGTATGGACAGCCAATTTTGTGGCCTATCGCTGCCGGACTTGCGGCATCTCTCCATGCATGTCACTATGTGCCGATTGCTTCCGATTAGGCAATCACGAGGGCCATGATTTCAATATGTTCCGGTCACAGGCGGGCGGCGCGTGTGACTGCGGCGATCCGAATGTCATGAAGGCAGCAGGCTTCTGTTCGCACCACGGTCCCTCAACGGTTCGGTCGCAACAGGCAGGCTCATCAAATGCTGCCGTACCGACCGCGCCCCCACCAGAACTCCTCTCCATTGCTCAGCTGATGATGCCACGTCTTATAATGCGTCTTTTGCAACATCTACGTGCAAGTTGTTCTATGCCTTCGGGTGACACGCGAGAAGAACAAAGCTTGCAAATTAGCAGAGCCGATCAATTTCTAGGTAAGTAATTGTGTTCATTACTTAGGCAGAACAGAGAGAGTACACTTTGGATGAGTATCAACTCAATCTATCTGACCACTGTAACTATTGCTTATTTACCACTATATAATAATTTTTGATTAAATTATAGCACATTGCTAATTATATATACTGTCGTGTATTTGTATCGTTTTTTTCCTAATAGAGATGTTGCAGAATCTGTCTGCTTTAGGGGCACCAATGCGACTAGTGATGACGCAGACCTTGACGAATCCGTTGACGTACCAACAGCTGACTCGGGAGAGAAACGAAAATTACGAATCAGCCAAACAAAGCTTGAAGAACTGGGATTGTCAAATGTATACAGAGGTGCGAGCCCTAAAGCCTAGTCTTGTGCACGAAACATTTCTAGAGGAACTAGTGTTCTGGATGGCCAAGTAAGTAAAAATGTGACAAGACTCTAACTTCACTTTACAAAGGAACGCTATCCAAGACGTGTTATCGACTTTCCTTTCGTTTGAATCGAACAGCTAGAGATAATTGTACCTTATCCCAGTTCAGTTAAAGTTGACTTTTTGCCAATGCTATTGATATATTTTATACTTTGTCTCTATTTAAGGTATGAATTTCCTCAAAAACTGACCTGTCTCCTTCTGAGTATGCTTCCTGAGCACGAGTACAAGCTCCAATTTACACGTACGTTTGTCGATCATTACCCACGTATTTCGTACATGCTCACACAGTGTCAGGACAGCGAAACGTTGAGCAATCGGGTCGTACACGTGTCAGTACAGCTGTTCTCTAATGAAGGCCTCTCACTTCAACTTGTGCATGAAGCGCAGCTTCTGCACGTAATGGTCATCTCGATGAAGGCCATGATGAAAAAGATTCTTCTGCAGTCAACTCTACAAGACCCTGACAAGAATTTACACTATGTCATTAACTGTGGCCATCAAATCACCAAGCAGCACTGTTACTGGCCATTGGTGTCTGATCTAAACAACATATTAACGCATAAGCGTGTTGTGCTAGAATTTCTCCGTGATACGAACCTCTTGGACGTATGGTTTCGGCTCCTCAGCATGTATCAAGGCATGAATGTCCACCACCGAGAGACTGAACGCCATGTGGAGTTCGAACCGAGCACGTATTACGCCGCATTTTCAGCCGAGCTCGAGGCTAGTGCTACACCAATGTGGGCTTTCCTACAGCCTCTAACAGATGAGGAAACCATTTCACTAAGCGTCTCCGTTCTGCGCCAGTGTTCGTTGGCCCTAGAAGACTTCTTCGATATGATTGGTTTTGGAGACGGAGATCGCCCCAAGCCGGATCAAGTCACTTTTCATCTTCCGCTACATCGCTATCTGGCGACGTTTTTGCGTAATGCGGTGTTTTCACAAGGCTGCGCACTGGACGATCTCCTTGTTAAAGCGAGCATGGAAGAAAAGCCATTCCTCGAATGCCTCATGGCTCATCCGCTACAGACGATCGTCTCGTTTTACGAGATAATGGTTGCTAATATGTGGGTGCGAAATGGACTACAGATGAAAGGTCAAGCGATGACGTACATTCAAAGCCACTTCTGCAATTCGATGGTCGATCCCGATATCTTCTTGCTACAGCTGTGTGCCACACGCCTTAATATTAACTGGTATCTTTCAACTATCATCGAGCGGTTCCGCGTCGGCCCAGCACTTACGTTGGCTGCCGATCCCCCAACAAGCTCCGACGCTGGCGGAACAGGCGGTGGACCCGATGAGAAACAGTTGGCCATGCTGCATTCGCTGTTAACGTTTCTAGCAACACTGCTTAGTGTTCGCACGATGCTGGGAGGGTCCGAAGACGAGTGCACTCGTGAAGAAATGGTTTCATTGTTGTGCATGTCAGATCGGAAACACTCACAGTTGATCGACTTGTTGCCAGAAAAAAGCGGTCAATATGGTGTAAGCATGGCTAATCTTGAGCGACATATGAGCGCCGTGGCGGATTATAAGGCGCCCAACTTTGAACTAGGGGGACACATGATTCAGGGAACATACACGCCAAAGCCGATTGTATGGCAGACGATGTTTGATCCTATTCATACACTTCTTCGGTCCGTTCACCGAAAGGACTATCAAGCGGCGTTAGACCGCTTTGCTGCTCACACGGGTGTGAAGAATTGCTGGCCGCCCTACAGAATTCCTTCGGGTGTTCACGAAAGGTTAGGCAAACTTCATTGACTTTTTTTTGCATATATATTAAAGCAATTTTTGTCACGCGTGGCTTTAGCTAGAATAAACAAATTAGTTAGAATGCGCGTAGTTTTTCGATTCTGAAATGATTAATATTTTATATATTTTCAAAATTCGAAGATCTGTAGTTCCAAACGGCAACGGTATGATGAGCTATGTCCTTAACGCGTTTCAAGACGTGTGTATAGTAAAAAGATGTATAGTAAAAAGGCGATACTTACTTTGATAATTCATGTTCTACGGAGTCTAAAGGTTACTATGTTTTGCCGGGTAACTCCGCTAATACATATGATATTGGCTAGAGCCCATTTAACTCATGTTCTCCTCATGTAACTTTCATGTTCCTATCCGGTGCAGATTTGAGGATCCCCGTAAACTCTTATTTTGCTCAACATTGTACGGGCTAATCTTCGTCATTCTGCATAAAGCTGTTGGTGGAAGCGAGGAGATTAGTGAACAGATTTTATCGTTGGCTGTCTATCTTCTTGAAATGGCTGTTGAATTCCATTCAAAGGACACCTGTACGCGATGCGCAAGCTGCGAAGGTCTGTCATTTCTTTTCTCTATAGCTAATTCTATATAGGAAAAAGTGACTCAGTATTAGAGATGATCAGCTAGAAGCTCTATGGATTCCTCTTGATTCCTAAACATATGCGAGGAAATAAACGGACAAAAAGGTACTGAACCTTTTATGGGCTTGTTCTTGTCTAACAAGAACATATATGAAAACAATTACTTATTATATTTTACCAAAATCGAAACCTTCGAGCGATTTGCGGATAATCAGGTGATGTCGTTCGTCATGGTTTACATTTTTTTCGGGTCTCTTTTTTGTGGCGAATACTAGAATGGAAATTTTTTGAGATCTCACGTTTTAAGAGCATCTCCATAATCACGCCATCTGTCAATATTTATCCTTGCTCTTTTCGGGTAGCCTTTAACCGGTTTAGCTAACTTATTATTCAATTCGGTATTTGCTGCAGGCTCGTTAATTGCCGACAACAAGGAGCTGGAGGTGGATGAAGTCAGCGATGGCGCAGAACACTTTTCGTTCTGGTACCCGACAGGTTGTCCGATTGTGGCCAGTCTGACGCTTATCAAAAGCGTAGAACTCGCGAACACCGCAGACGACACCTCGGACGCCACATCCACTGTGCTTAGGTAAATAAAACACAAACACCAATGCTTGAACAACGATTTACGGTCACATATGAATGAGACCTTGAAAGCGAACAAAACGCCGCTTACACGGACACCGACGGTAAATTTGTGCCCACAGCGATACATTTAGATTTCTGCATTTTTGGACATGTGGAATGAAACCGATTTTAGGTGGCATGCGACCAATCAACTGTTGTGCTTTTTGTTTTCTCTTCCATTCTGTTGCTGCAGAAATACATCCTCGTCGATGGAACTCGACGTAGTAACAGAGGTGGCAGTTTCGCGTGAGGCCGAGCCCGTTGACGTCTGTCCAGACATTGTTCGGGCGGCGTTACGCAATATGGCTGGCTTGATGTCACTCGAACAGCATCATCCGCAACAACGTCAACTTCAAGAGCAAAATCAGGCTGGTAGCAGCAGCAATAGCGGGAGTAGTTCGAGGAGCTTGAGCACCGCGCCGCGTCCACGACCATGGGATATGGAGCTAAACGACGAACGAACCCAGTACGCATTGCTTCCGAGGCGACCTAGAGAAATGCTGCCGGCGTCGTTACGCAACCTTAACAGGGTACGCGCAACTATATTAATTTTAGCATCTGTATTAGCTTAGCCAACCGTATTCTGGGACGAACGAACAAGAAAGACAAGAGATATAGTGTTGACTCAACAAGCTACTTAGGATCTATATATGTCGGTGTGTGAAAAAAGGCCAGTAATAATGTTTTGATGATGTACAATTGAGTGTGTCGATTGCAAGCTGGTAGCTAGAAAACACATAGTATTTTGATTCAGCATGCATGCTTTTGCTAAGTATTGAAGTAATGAAAGATATTGTTCTTACGGATCGATTAATCAAATGCAGAACAAAGGCCGTGCTTATACATTGGTTATGTTTTGTCGAATTTACTTTAGATGGTGCAGTCCGCAATCTGCGCAATGGAGACGGATGATAACGAGCTTGACCTCGAAGAGGACGCGACGATGGCATCTTTGCCAGCTCTGGCAGCTCACCTTCAGTTAATAGCGGTCAATGAGAGTATCATTTCACTACTGCTTAAATTGCATCATAAGCTTGGCTCCGATGCCAAGTCTCGGAGTGAACAAGGTCAAAGGCGTTCCGTGTACCGTACGCCGCAAGAGCTTGGCCAGGTGTCTGTCCCGAGCTGTCGCATTGGTGACGGCGTCCATTTCATCGGTTCGTATACAGTTCTGCACTTATTAGTCATAATCTGGCGATTGACGGCATTCGATCGGGTAGTGCATCTCTAATTCTAACAGAAGACACTCGACTTAAAGATAACGGCAAAGATTGGGAATGTCTCAACAATGCAATAGAAAAGTGTGTTCGACAAACAAGAAGAGCAGTATGATACAATGGGGTGACTTACATATATATATATATATACATGTGGCAGACCGCGCGTCAGACACGAATTATTTATGCTATCGGTAACTGATGCCTTTGACAGAAAAGTTATTTCATTGACTATTCTGTCAAACTATGTCAAGACCACCAGCGAAGGAGCATTTTAAACAAGATTATTGAATAGTCGAGTATCAACACTACGTTGGAGTTTAGTAAAACTAGGAAAGATGTAGTCCTGAAAAATATGAAATCGTCGAGGAATACGTTTATTTGGTAGGCGTGAAGGTGCATTTATGGTGGTGTGTCCATTTGGATCTAACTATTCCTAATTTCCATATATATTATGAAGCAATCGGCATGTACTTCCAAGCGGCTTATATTTTGGAGACGTACGAGGCTTTACATTGGCTTCCTGCGACTCTCCCAGCAGATCAAGCAGTCATAATATTAAGCTGGACCAATACACTGAGAAAATAGACCTGGTTGACAATTCCGTTGCTATACGTTGGCTGGCTTCTGTGCAGGTCTTTTACTAGATCGCTTCTGTCTATCCCATGCCTCGGTGGAAGCACGGGTTCGAGCTGTTCGGGACAGTTTGTGGCCTACGGAAACAATAGGTGGAGCTCGCGCCGCAGCAGTTGAATGCGCCGAACAGCAACAGCGTGAAGAACGACGCCGCAGAGCTAAAGAGCGGCAGCAGAAGCTTATGCAGGAGTTTGCCAATCAGCAGAGGTCGTTCATGAAGAAATGTGGCGAGATGCTGAACGATGATAAGGTAAACGGAATAGCGGGAAAGCTTTAGAGCTGCTTTTACCAAATACGTATAATATAGGCAAGTAATGGTATAGAAATAGTTCTGCATTGTTAATTATCTGTTCCCTGAATTCGATTCAATTTAAGTATCTATTTATAGTAGTCTTAGTATCGTTCACCCTCTCAGACTTTTTGGTAATTGCTCTTTTTTTATATATTTATGTATTTTTTTACTTTTTCTGTTAAAATATTTTATAACTTTAGGAGGCGGCAACAGATAAGGACAAAGAGGGCACGCTTCATCATAGTGATGAGTTTGAGTGTGTTATCTGTAGTCAGACGTCTGCGAGTACCGTCGATCGACCAATCGCCATGGTCGTACTATTACAAGCATCAAGCGGTAAGATCCTTTAGCTTACCCCATCATGTTTACATAATGGTGTGGCAGGGAATTCATGGCAGCCGAACGCCGTTACCCCGACTAAATGTAGGCAGAATAAATGTTTCGATTTATTTTTATAAATCATTTTAAATAAATGAAATAAAATGTAAACATATATTTGTGAAGTACTCGCTGATTTATTAATGTCGCATTTTTGACACTTGTCGTTATCAACAGTGTTGGGACATGCCCGACCGGCCGACGAGGCTATACTCAATTTACCCTGCAGCGACCTCGAGATCCTGCCGTCAATTTTTCCGTGCCGGTCAAGCCGCGGCAGTTATTCATCCCAGCGGTTGGATGAGCTCGCCAGATATTTCGCCACGTCTAGCTTATATCACTCGGCCAACATCGGTTAGTGGAACTCGATACTTAGGTTCTTAAGTGAATATTTGAAAGTCACTCGTGAAAACAGAAAAGTGCATTTAACGTTGTGCTTCAGAGTTAAGATCATTGGACATATAATTATGCAGTGTATTTCTTTTTTATATATCTTTTAATCTTACATTTTTTCTTTTTTAACATATTTAAAATGAGCCTTGAAGTATCCTTCACACTGGTAACAACCACTGGTCACTTTGAAGCTTCACATATGCATGCTTTCCCTGTACGTTAGTAGCTTTAGACGCTAAAGGTTTGAATGTCGCGAGACGACACAAAAATACGACCCCGGCACTTTTCGCGCATTTCTTCTACTTCTTTTAGGTTGGGAGGGTGGCGTTGTGGTGCAAACATGCGGTCATTATCTTCATGTCGACTGCCACAAATCCTATATGCTCTCACAACGGAGTCAGCAGCAAGATAGTGGTAGGGCTCAGCAAACGTTGGCCCCTGACCGTGGCGAATATCTCTGCCCGTTATGTCGGCAGCTCGCAAACTCCGTGCTACCAGTCCACCCAAGCACTGGCAATCATCAAACTATCGTGCAGTGCCAGTCGCGCACACATCGCAACGTGGCCACCGAGATAAGCGGTTTGATGGCCTGCTTGCCAACTCCTCCATCAGGTATCCTCAGCCTCATGTCCTCATTTATCGAGGACCTAACAAATGCGATCTTCGTCGAATACCACACCCTCGGCAATCGACGCATGACCTATCCGTTTAGTTTAATCGTGTGCTCTGTGGCTCGTACAAATCTTGAAATCGATCTATTGCATCAGGGCGGAAAACTAGCCGGTGCTGTCGCCCCGCCGGGCACGTCTGTAGCCGCTACGGCGGCAAGCCCGCCAAAAAAAAGCTGTTTTGCTCCATTGTTCCACGCGCTCGGATTGAACCTCAAGGTATGTAGTCCTTGTTCGTAGCAACATAACATGCAGGATATTGCAGTTGTGCATTTGTCCATTTAGGAATGAATACTGCAACAGTACTTTTAATCAAGGTTTTCAAGAGCAGGAATCTTCTGATGGCATTCATTACGCTAACTGGCCATCTGAAAGTATTTTTAATGATTTTGAAACGACGATCAATGCTGATTCATATCATTATTTCAATATGTTCGGCCTTTTGCTGCTAGGTCAGATTATTCTTTTCTTATATCATAAGTACGAAAAGATAGGAATCGAAATTTAAAACTTTGAAAAACTGAAAGCAATGCTCTATTCGCCATAAGCGTTACAACTGTTCCTGATGACTGTTATCAAAAACGTTCTGCAAGGTACAGAGCTGACGTAATTGGACTTCTAGTAAATCCTTGTGTTGTTATTACCGTGATGCAAATAGCGGGCGTTGACGGATACGTCTCAAGCTCGTTTGTGGCATTCTTTGACTGGACTTCCCGACGAAAAAACTTCTTGTGAGGTGACGCCCGTAACACAAGATGTGCCATTCCTCATCAGGGATATTACCGCCGTTCTGATTGAACTTCTGCTCAGTCTACCACTCAACCTTGACAAGGTAAATGGAGAGCAAAACATAAATCTGTTATCAAAAAGAAAGACGATCAAAACTGCGAGGTACTCACCAGTGATATAACCACAGAATTTAAAAGAAAATGCTGCTTAGATCTGAAACTGTTAACGTAATACTTATTACTGAGAATTATTTATGGCTTTGTTTGGCCAGGCATACTTTACGTGCGTGGTTCGAGTTTTGTACTCCTTGGCAGTGACACAAGCTGTTTGTCGTGCAACCTGCCGCATATCGAGAGAAGATCGTCTAGAGCTACGAGCGCGTCTCGAGGGCGAAAAGAGCTCGTCGTATTCGCAATTAATTGGTATCATAATTGACACACTGGAGAAAGTTTCGCTGTACGCTTACGAGGAGGAAGAACAGGGCTTGGATGGACATAGCTTTGAAAGGTAAGTCATGTATGTAATACAGCCTGATTGAGCCAATTTACGTATTATTGCATAGGAAGAACAAACCTCGATAGTACAATATGAAGCCCATCTTGCATACGATCAGGGATGCTGTTGTTACTGCATGCTTTATATATACATATATACGTATATATGCGTATACATGTATATATGTGTATATATGTCAATTAAATGATTCTAGCTTCAGCTTTGTTACATATAATTGGAATTTGAATTGCATAAGAATCTACCAGGTTCTTGAAAGATGTTGAAAATCGCGACGTTATTACGATGCAGTCGATAACGGTGGGCTGTAAACTCATACATTTAAAAAACAGGACATTTGGTGTTCTAGCGCATTCTGGCTTGACTGCGGCACTTGCATTTTTTCGCGTAGACGCTTTCTTTAAAATGTCTTCAGATGACGAACCTACGGTCTGGGGAGCGGACAGGGTATTCTATGAGATCTTTTTGTCCAACCCGTCTGCCGAATGCGCAATAAAACTGATTTTTTTTAAATAATTAAATTTAAGCAGTAAATTTAAGTAATTAACATTAACCAACTGTACTATAAAAAAATAATAGTCCAATTAATTCTCCGCTTAAAGTGCTACACTACACTAACGCTGGTAAATTTACATAGTGTTCCTGCGAAAGACATGGATTTACTATTGCCGAGTAAGTGCAATTATGTTAATTTGACTGCCTCATTTAATCTAAATTTTTATCGCTTCAAAGAGTCTTCCCGAAAGCTGTGTATACCAGCTATGCTACGCTGACACTGATTAGGATATAAACGCTATAGCTGTTCGCCGATATGTCGTCAGTTTTTGCCTAGTTTTATTGTTTTGATGGTTTCTGGTATTGTCAAGCTGCTTAACTATGTTTACGCAGTGAATGCCATCATTTAATGTATTCTACAAACAATGTGCAATGGCTCAATGGCGGGAACATATATTTAATTAAAAATAAAAATATAGATAAAAAAAAAAGATAAAAATTCCGCATTGCTGCAGCATTTTAAATGGTCTTCGAGACTAGGGTTTTATATTCTACCTACTTATGATTACTAGCAAGTTGTACTAAAGTTATTGTTTCCATTCATATTATTTTGTCACTAAATTGCTACTGTGTTTTCTTTTTTGCGAGCAGTTATGTCGAACGAAGCGTAATGCCATTCCTCCGTATTGCCGCAATTCTTGAAGCGCATCTATTCTCCGAACAACTTCCTGGCCCCTCGGACAGGCCGGAGCTCGATGTCCTAGCCAACTTTCTTGGTCTAAGCTCCGCCCTCCCAAATACTGCTTCAAAGTTGTCAAAGCCAATGGAGACAGGCCCATCGACCGCTGCGGGCACACCGTTTCCCGCTGGGGCGTCAAATACAAATGTAAATGTAACGAATCAATTGGTCTCATCATCTGATCAATTTAGAAAGGACCATATAGTTCTGAAGACCGTAAAACCCCCAGCGATGTTTTATTGTTATCATAATACGAAATATTTTTTATCATTATAGGTGCTGAAGCTTGTACAATGGGTATCCGATCCTGATCTTTTGGTATATACCTGGTGTCTCGAAATTGGCGAGTTTCTCGAAAGGAGCCGCTCTTCGGCTCGATTCCTTCTAGTTGATCAGCCGCTAGCGTGGAGACAGCCTTACTTGCTTCGCCTGCCCCGAAATTACTCAACTTTATTCGAGTACTACCATAAACGAGCATGTACTGTTTGTCAGAATGTGCCACAAGACCCATCCGTGTGCCTTGCCTGTGGTACGATCGTATGTTTGCGGTGAGTGTTCTGAGCTTCGTCGTCCCTTTCTATAGTTAATCATACAAGGCTTAGGTATCTTGATTAAATGTACTTGGTAACTGTATTGCGAAAATAGTGCTTAGTCTGATTGCCTAAAGAACCGAAATGGAACAATGCTCCATTTTTCTAATCGGATATGTTCATGGATGTGCTTTTTTCTAGCGAGGGATGCTGTCGTAGGCAGGAAACATCAAACTTCGAGGCAGTCCAACATTCAATCGAATGCGGAGCCGGTACCGCTGTAATGCTCGCAGTGTACTCAACGTCCATTATTGTTATCCGTGGCAAGCGAGCATGTCTCTGGGGAAGTGTTTATCTGGATTCGTTCGGAGAGGAAGACCGAGACTTAAAGCGCGGTAAGACTTCACACTTCTTAGGAAATACAAATATGGATGGATATCTTCCCGTACTTCTGTACGTGGTTTTTGTATGCACTTGCGACTGTGATTGGTTGTCACAAGAAGTAAACGCAAATGATCATATGAAATTACTACATCCGGCTATATAGCAAGAGTCCTTTATCGTTCTCTAATATATTGCTCAATTAACAGAATATAATCCTACTGTGACGCGTATTTTAGGTAAGCCGCTGTACCTGAGCGAGGATCGTTACGGATTGCTTCAACACCAATGGATGACTCACTCGTTTGATCACTGTGCCCACAAACGATGGGTTTGGCACAAGGATAATCTATGAAAATCATAGATGGCAGAACTGAACTTGAACAAAAAGCATAACAAACACGCATGTGTCACGCTCGTGATGGTCGCGTCATCTTCCGTTTTCAATCTTTTTTGCGCCAACTCCAAATGAAGGACGGCGGCTGAGGCCAAGCGACAAAGTGGACGAAAAGAAATCTGCAGCAAAAAAATATCGAACATTAATAAATAATAGAAAACTTGTCGGCATTAGTATATTGTGTACGGTAGGAGAGAAACGGCGGCTGCAATTGCACCCGAAATAAAGTAAAACAAATTGCATGCAGCGAAAAAGATTAAAATTTATGATATTATGATACTAATATTAATTATTATTATTGTTGTTAAGATGATGATTATGGTCATATTAATAATATAATAATGAAATGCAGATGTGTTAAGATAGCTCGTAACTCGTAAAGCAATTACTGCTCACCCAACAGGAGTATGAGCAGCCAAGTGTCAGCTCGATTGTACAGAGATAGCCAAGTTCCGACAGGCTAAGCAGATCAAAGAGTACTATTATACCATGGAATACACGCAAGACGATCGGACCCACATCGAAGCGAAGAGGCTTTTGATCGAGTGTCTCGTTTGTCCGGCAACAAACAAAAAAAAAAAAGGAGGAACAGTCATATTAACAATTATATTCTTAGCTTAGTTTGTATTTCAATCGTCATAGGTGCAAACATCGTGCTTTTTATTCAGCTGAAACTGTATCTGTACTATAGTTCAATAGAAGGGAAAGAAACTGGTGGATAGAAATAACCCAACAGAAATTTCTCCTTGAAGCCTAAAGCCAGATGGACGATGGAGAGCAGCGAGAACTGTGTGCGAAAAGAGCAAATTGTAAGGGATCGTTGCAACGGTCGTGTTCCAAAACCAAAATACGCTCTGGCACTTGTTTGATAATGAGTAACATATGAAGTACAGAACAGACTAAGATAACTTGGGCAGGGAAGGCGAACAAAGTCAGACGACGCACGGTCATCATTGTTCCAACTGAGACGGCAGTAACAGGTTGAAAAACAAAGGTCGTGATTGGGGGAGAGTCGGCGATTTTGTCGATGACGACAAAAGCAGATCGAGGGCACGCTATGAAAAGAGAATTGCAACAGAAACGAACACTCAGCGTTCGAAAAATCAATTACGATTTGATGTGTGGCTAATGATAAGGATTGCTGAAAGGAACGTATTTATTTATGCTGAGCGCAACAAGACTCTATGGAAAAGTTTAGTTTCGTTCTCGCTGCACATTTATGTATCCCTAGAGAGAATAAACGGTTGCTGTTTTTGACGATTACCTGACTTTGTTCTGTCAAACACATTTGCCTGTGGCCGCCGCACTTATACGACACACATCTACGTGATGGAGAACAACGACAACAGCATGGCAAAATGCTATTATTTGATAAGTTATCTCAGTGCTGCTTAGTTTCGATCTCGTCGATACTTAAAGGCTGCGCAGCAGTCATCGTCTACACGATCGAAATTGTTATGGTCGCAAACACAGTCAACATGAGACGGTTGAAAATGCGTTCCTGAACGAAATGAACAAAAGTTGCTAGTACATTACCTTACAAATAAATTTTACTTTTGCTTCGTTGCCGCAGTAACGAGTATGCACCCGGTCATGGAAAGAGAACGGAGAGTACGATTTTGAGCCCGTCATGAAATAACTGCAAACGCCGTGTGGCTGGCGCTTGCCAGTTTGATTTCGATTAGGATGATTATCGTTAATGATTACCGTATTGTTTCAAGTAGGACATATTCAATCACCGCTTCGGGATTCTGCAGGAAACACGGTCTCTCAGCCACTGTTCGATTCAAAGACATGAATTGAACGCGAACCGTATGTATAAATTGATTTTTCATTTCTGCTTTTGGCTATAGAATAATTAAAAAAAACCTAGAAGAGGAACGAATACTTCTCCTAGCAACAAACTAGTTTTATAGCTCGTCTCGATTTCGTCACCCCGTCGTTCTGTTGCCCAACTGAGAATAGTAGTTGATTATTAGTTGGGTTCCAATTCGACGTTGCTACCGGGCGCGGACGTCATGATAGAAGGAAAAGGGGAGAAATGTAATAATGCACATTTGTGATATAGACTGAAAATAGCTTATTATTATTACTACCACTACTACTATTATTAACCGAGCCGCCTTTAAGGATACATATATTTAAACCATTTAATAAAATAAGCTAATGATGATGATGATGATGATGATGAAACGAAAATACAAAGTACGTGTAATCATTTAATATATCATTGCAATAAATATAGCACTGCATGAGTAGACGGATTAGACAGACAGATTAGACTGGAGCCGACTGAGTCAGATTAGTTAGCTTATATTATTGCTCATATTGGCACTTCGTATACTTTCTTTTTTACGTCGAATACCCTAGCCAATTTGGTCTGTGAAAAGACAAAAGTATGTTCTATATAAAATATATCGTAACTTGTGCAGTTTCACCTTTGTCAGGTGCGTTGTATACAGACAATACAAAAGCGTTTTTTAAAGCAGAATATCAGTGATAAAAATAAATAGGTAAATCAAACAGCACTGCGGCTGCGCTGTTTTTTTCTTTGCCAAGCTTTTCAACTGAGACGTCCTTGAGCTCATGTCTTCGCGTCGAATACAGGGTCAACTTTTGTGTAGATCATGGCCATATCAATTACCACGCACAACATGCTGGAAGTCATACGTTGCGTAGAATATGTCGGTCCCTTTAATGTGTTTTCTGCTATTTTCCGTCCATAAAGGATTCCGACTCTTATTGTCAAATGAGTCTTAGCTGGGGAACGTTTCTGATGAGCAGTGGCCGCTAACAAATACAAGTAGAGATTATAGCAGAACGTATGCAGCCCCTGTGCAGTCTTAAAAAAAGCAGGCTTTTACCTCGTCTAGTTTGTACAGTTGAACTGTGTTGTGGTTCTCGCAAGGCATTGGTGTCGAGCGTAATCTCGACGAAAAATGCTTTACATATTCCAAAGGCGAACGACTTCAATCCGATAGTTTCATTTATTGGTAGTGACCCTGCTCTTCGGAACTTCATGGTTTTGGTTTGCTTGATTTTTTGGCCGACATTTGCTACGTACTGTTGTAAGTGGGCTGATGTATTACACCCCAAAGCGACTAATCCGGCAGATCGTGAAGTCATTGGCGTACAATAGAACATCTGCCCTTTTAGGCTTGTGCTTTTCGATTATACTGCTTGGGAGATCCTCCAGGAGGATTGAGCAAAATATGCAGCTGAGGTTGTCGTTCTGACCTACTCCTGTCACCTGTTAAAAAGGGACCAATTCCGTAACATTGTGTTGTACGTTATCGGGATTTCCGTGCAAAATCGAAGTGATGAGCTGGGTGAGCCTGCATAGGACACCTGACTCGACGAGCTTAAACAAAATTCCGTCTCCCATTGCTTCGTTGAATGTTGTTTTTCTTACCAATACAGCAGAGATGAAATGCTTGGCGCACTTTTTTCTTATGACGGATGTTAGCAAGCAGTTACTGTTGAGTCCCTTCTACAGAAGCTATGGCGTTCTTCCGGGATCCGGAAGCTCGAGCTTCTACTAGCAAAGACACTCATTAAGAATATGGCTGAGAGTACTTTGTTGCAGCACCTTTCTTTCGTTGTTTCTCTTTACGAGCCTGCTCCTTGAATGTTGCCGTTGCTTTATAGCCATTATGATTACCAAAAACGTATTTTGTCACCCAAAGTCGTACCGCAAGATTCATTTATGGATAGATTTACATAAACAAGATAACTATTATAGCGAAGTTCCATCTGGCAAAGATACTGAAAAAATTGACTGAATTAATCTATGGTTTCTTGACTACTATTATGCACCTACTGCTTTTTTTCTAGAATCGCACAGTTACATACATATACATAACTGTGTGATATATATACATATATGATATGTTATTATTTGTATAATTACGTATCTATTAATTTGAAAAAAAGAATTAAGGCAACATAATGTTTCGTTGATTAACGCAGCTTTTGTTTTATTCTACTTGTTTTTTTTGCAATACGTTTATACATAGTGGTCACCAACTTATATTACAGCATAATTGTGTATTCTTTCGTATTTGTCCTTTGGCGCTGATGATGTTTGTATGGCTGACAATTTGTAATACAGACCCCAAGCCGTTAAAACAAGCGTTCCGAAAGAGCACGAAAGTGCTACGATCCTACACAGCTCCTTCATTTGACATTGCACCAGCCCCTATCTGTACTCGATCCAAATATTAGCGCTATCGCACTCCGCACAACGATAAACATTATTATAATTTCCTTCAAAACATGTCCAACTCCGTTTTTTTTAACGTTTGTATCCGCTTAGGTACCGTGAGCTAAGGACGCCGTCATTAGCTTCTGTTGTAAAACGATTCGCACAATAATAGTTTAGGTTAGTTGAAATGGAACAGTTGAACGTTATTGCGCTAATTCTACACAAGCATCGTTGGATCTCTATTTTTCCAATCACATTTTTTCCAAACACACACACACACACACGCATACACCTAATCAAAATCCACCTATTCAATTAGCCATCAGTCACACAGAACACACAAAAACTTCACGGAGGCTACCATAACGAGAAACCGGCCGTTGCCGCGCTTCAACTCGTTGCTCAACTCGTTTTTAGACAGAAAAATTATATAAAGACCATAAATGATGATATTTTTATAAGCACAAGTTAACAGTAATAACTCCCCTTCTATTCTGAGAGGAAAATTTAATTATAGCGCTCACGCTCGTACTGCAATCGAGTCTTTTCATCAACCTGTACCATCTCAACGATAAGATAAACTCGAGTTTTAGTTATTCCCCAATTGGCTTTGTTTTTTTTGCTCGTCTACTCACTTCTGTTTAGACAGTTGTTTAGCCTGTCACAACAGTCTTTCAGGTTGTTCTAAGCCTGCTAAACTTTTACTTAAGCCAAAATAAAGGTTAACGCTCTCCTCTGAATGCGGTTATGCGATAGGCCTATAGTTGTGCTCAAATTCTCAAAAATTTAATGATCGCAAGCTTCACTAGTTCGCGGCTCCAGCAGTGCCAAGAGCCAGTGTTATTTTTTTTTAACGTGATTTCTCGGTCATTTCCCACACATTTATATGATGTTCTGTTTTACTTTTATATCAAATACTTTACTGAGACATCTGCTAGTGGTATGCTTAATCAAGTAGCTTATATACACAAAAGAGGCATTTTTTTCAAAGAATCTCAACCATGAGGTAATCGTTTGTGGATTGTGTAGCTTCACTTCGAAGAAGTTGCGCTGGATTTTATCGTTTATCAGCCCGCGAGCTAAAGCGATCGCCGAGTATTATGGTTCATCGCTCAACGCATACTGGCGATTTTCATAATCGGTCATTTGTGTCTGTGTCGTTACATGACAGCTTGCATTGGTCCTAGACAGACTATTATGTATAACTTAAGTCATGCGCAATAATTTACTTGTGTTTGCAGTTCGCATGCCCTAAAAGACGATAGGTTTTCGTTTTGGAGCCGGCGGAACAATGTTGGACTCGTTTTCTGTCCCCTGGAAAATAACCGAACACAGACATCGAACCAGATCAAGTCAAGTGATGGTCTATAAAGGAGTTGCATCCAAGAGAAGCATAGCGTTCTCTATTCTCATATTAGTCGTATGCTACATATACACAATAAATATAATATTGTAACACAATAAATATAGTAGATTCAGTTTACTGTGCAGAAGTTTTTTGACAACCATAAAGCATGTGTTGACTATCCAATATTCCAGCTTTGATAGTGAAAGTCGACTACAGCAAAGGCTGGACCAAATCAAACGTTTAAAAGCATCTTCTTGAATCTTAATGATCGAGTTGAAACAAGTACACATGCCGAAATGTTTATGAAAAGGAAATGCTTTTTCCCTGGAGGTAAACGTTTAGGCGAACATTGCCTTACCTTGCTATCGCCGATGTTGCGGACAGTGGCGCTTCCGGTGGTTACCTCTCCTTCAAATTTCGCTTTTCTTCTAGCTAGTTTTTCAGCTTCGACCATTTTAGCAGCGACAGACGATACGTTTCCTCCAAACCGTTCTGCTCGTTTACGGAGCTTCTCAAGATCGGCTTCCTGGAAATGTAATCAAATAAAGCCTAAAATTATTCTAGCATGTGTACCAATGCATTCTAAAATACTTATGAAAATAGCTTATCAAACTTGTTTAATGTTAAAAATGCGAGATTTTTCTTTATCGTTGAGTTCATGTCAAATGATAAACAAAAATTACATTTGCATTGGTAAGTTGGTAAGCGTGACTCTTGAACATATGATAACACCTTTTTGTCGAATTATATCTTTGCGTTTCTTTGGTATATGTAATTACTCAAGGTAAAGCCTCTCTTGCGCCTATATTTTCCCTTTAATAATAAAAGCCAGAGGCTTACGCTTATGTTATTGATCCGGGAGTTGGTAACCGAGACAGCCGTAAAAGTCGCTGCTGAATTGGCTCGTGTCTGATTGGCTCGTCCGTCTTCACCAACAGAAAGTCCAAATCTTTTTGCACGATCTACTAGCTTCTGCTTGTCTACGTCGGGCGCGGCTCCAATCTTACTTGCTGTACCCGTGCCTAATAAAGAACAGTAAACGCATATCGCGAGGAACAGTTACTAGAGTACTTGTCCTTAGTTTTTATGTATGTCTCGATATCAGTTGCATTGACAACTTATCTTAGCAATGCGTGACATAAAAAAGGCTCAGTGTACTCACCGAATTTTTTGGCCCGTTCTTCAAGTTTAGCTTCAAGCAAGCCAAACCGTGCAGCACGCGCCTTGAGCTTATCTGCGGTAACCCGTGGAGCTACGGGAAGCGGTGCAGCAGGGGCCTCTGGTCGATCCGAAAACAAATCATCTTCCATAGACTGCAAAACACCTTCTTTCTGGAGAGCAGCTGCTGTCTTCACTACTTGGGGTACAGGCAATGCTGTCGCAGATACAACGAAAGCTTTCGGTTTTTCCATGATTGGCTGTTGTACCTATAGCGCAAATGTTACAAAAGCGTGACTAAGCGATTAATTAGCATACATTTAGTTATTTATCTGCACCTTTATCAGATACCTTGTATAACTGAATTACAAGTTGCAACTAAATAATGTGAAGTGATACAGGTTTGTGGTAAAGGTGTACACAAACGCGATTAGCGTGGTTCTCTCTGATCACTAGATATTTTTGAAAAGTACGAAAAAAAATGTATCTCAACACCAACGTTGCTAAAATAAATGAGTTCAATAACTGTTGTGACGATATATTGTGTGTTATAGATTATAGATCCTTTAACCAGGTTAGATTTCTATAGAATAGAATTATTTAATTTTTAAACATTGACTGATACATTGAGTGATGTGCGATCAGCCTCGACTGATAATTAGTGTAAAATAGCACTTACAGTTGTAGGAACAGGAACATCCTTGTGCTTGACAGGAGAATCAGGAGTTTCCTTTAAAAGATCATCTTCGTTCAGAAGCCCTTCATCTGACAGCTCTCCTTCTGGGAGCTGATCATCACCTAAAAAATATAAGTGAATACGTTTTTTAAAGACAACCCACAAAGAGCGTTAACTATCTTGATATTTATAGGCGCTTATTAGCATAAACTGTGTAAAGACAACGCTTTGAAATGAATAGATTAAAATTTACAACTAGTTAAGACCGCAATGGGCTTACGAAACGACGCATGTATTTTTGTTCGATGCCATAAAGAACATAAAGATCGGTCCCTTAATAAGAAACAAAAACCTTAGAGTTAATATAGTAGAAGACATTGCGGGATACGCGGGTTTGCAATGATTTGAGCAAGAGTAGCTGGTTTTCACCAAAGCTTTATTGTCTTCTATGAAATTAAGTATATATTGGCTGGCCCACTTCAATACAATCGTGTGTCAACTAAAGAAAGTGATAACAAACTGATTTGTCTCTCTGCCTGTGACAAAGCATCCTTGAGCCGTTGTGCCAGTTCGGCTTTGGCGCCTTTAAGGGTGAGGTTCCGCGCCTTCAGCTCGCGTTTCAAGTCAGCCACCTGCCGATGCGAAATGAAAAAGTTTACTGTCGTCAAGTGTACTACGTTAGGTTCAATATGGAGGTTGCATTCAGCAAGCGCCAAAATTTACCCACGTCAACAAAGGACATTTACATCTCGTCAATGAGTAAACACAAAAATATTGATGGCAGTACTACAGTAGATAAAATACCTACTGTTCCGTGCTCCTTAATCTTTATATTTTTTTTTCACTTTCAACCAACTAACGAATTTTAATTGCGGAAACCAACTCAAATTTTAGCGGTCGATCTTTATCCAATAATACTGCCTATACTTTTTGGCGCTCAAAGCTCAACATTATTTCATTTTCTTAATTTAGGTATACGACGTGCAATACACACATAGTAGGGTTAGAGTTAATAAAACTATTTCAGCTCAGCAAGCATCTCATAGATATTCGCACGGTGTATGTGCTTAGCGCTGTGTTTTGGCGTTGAAAAATCAAATCAGGAATCCTATAGATCAACAATTAAAAGCACCAATGCTTGTCGAAGAAAATCATCCGCCCTACATCGTTTCCATGATCATACATTATCAGCTATCCATCGTGATCTCTTCATACGGACAGAACATATGTAAACACCCGGACCTCCGTCATAACCGCGGCTAATAAGCGTTTCGGCTGTATAAAGCGAAAAAATGAGAACTGACTTCAAAGGAACGCACATACGTACACTTCAGTAAATGTTTGCAACAGGAGTAGTACCGATAAACGTACCGTCATCGAATCGATGTCCATTGCGCGATCTGTTGTGACACTTTGGCTTCGAAAAATGATTCACAACAGCAACGTTACGCCGGAACACCACAGGAGTGTTGTTGATAGGCGGGCGAAACAGCCCACAGCATCCGCACGCTACACACACTCTGATTTAAGTACATATGCGCCGACTAGAAAGAACCATACACTCGCCACCGCACAACGCAGACACACCACCAGATCGTCGTGTTGTTGTGGATTGGTAAATGGCGTTGATAGCTCATTTGATTATGTGTCGGTCTCCAACTGGAAGAGTTCGACATGTCAAACGATTTAGACTGCCAACAGCGCCAATGAGTGGAGGACGAGGAGGCGAACGGACCCTGTATGAGGGGGAATTAGGTATCATCGACATCGAACAGCAGGCAAGTTGATTGTTACAGTTTCTAGTTAGCTTGCGAAGCGAATCAGTAGTGATCTAGGCGAACGATCACCGTAGTAGAAAAAAAACTGATGTCTAACAAATACCTGCCGATACGACTGACGAGAAATCATTCTCTTAGCCGGTAAACACATTTAGCGCGGTACAGGTTAGTCGACAAGTGGTCAACGTGAGGTTCAAATCTGATTATTAGTGGAAAGTGCGGATAATCCCTGATGCTGCAGCATCACCAGCGACTGTGCTTTGATTTGAAAGCCGTGCATGTGTTCTTCTCTGACGAGTATCGCTGTGTGGGAAAGTTGTTGAAGAAAGCAAATCATTGCGTGAAGGTACAGAAATTTTTATTGTTTCTGTAGCAGACCCAGTTGGGCACTGTAGCTGAGTGGTCATCTGTCCATTAGTGTAACGTGCTCTCGATGTGAACAACGATCCGCCACTTTAAAGTGTGAAGGCTCGAAGCACTTTGGAGAAGCCCCAGAGCCGGCGCAATCGTTTGAAAGACGCCTGTAGGCACATTAACTGCTTCAAGATGTCCCTTAGGTATAGATGGACTCCATCGCCGATATTTTTGTATGGGATTCAGTTCTTCTAGCAGAGGAAAAAGTAAATGATGAAAATGTACATCACCCTTATCTATTTCATAATCACGATTATGATGCTAGTTTTGTCTCTGAGCTTTTTCTGAAGATTCTTTAAATTCTAAAATTTCAAAGACAATAGGACCATAATGATCTCGCACCATTCCTAGCATGACCAAATCAGAATAGGTTTTCCGTTGAGTGGAAACAAATACGTAAACAAGCGGATAATTTTTTTCTGACAAATCGAGCAAGTATTTCTGAAAAATGTATAATACAGTGTACTTATGAATAAATTTGAAAGAAAAAGCGCGCGCTTTCTTTGTGCACTTGTCTAACTTATATTACATTACGTTCTACGGTGACTATCTGCATTTTAAAAGCTCTTTTCATTAGGCATGAAACTAAGCGGGCAGCCTCAGCTGTAAAATCAGTGGGACGCAGTGACACTTAGCGCATGACTATTCTTAGCATTGTAATGCGAACAGCCGGCGGTTTTTCCTGAGCCTATTGCAGCCTAAAGCAGCTACGCAAATTGTGGTGCCTTACAAATAGTAAACCTTTGCAATAGTGTGTCGAAGCTATTGGGTTAGTGTTGTTTCCTCGTGCTTTTCTTTAGCCTCCAGATTGCTAACCTGAGAGAACTAGGTCTTGAATAATTCTTTTTCAAGAATAATTAATAAAACTTGCGTTGTTATTATTAAGAGACTCTTAGCTACAAGTTATCGGCCATAACAAAAGAAGAGGTCCAAATATTAAAAATCGTATTCTTTTCTTATAAACTAGACGTCTTTATAGGCGAAGTGTATTTTTTGCAATTATGAATTAGTTGAAGAACAGGTTTAGGGTTACGCAAGCGTATAAAGTCTATCAATCCCAGCACTTTTTAATATGTTTAAATAATGTTTACCGTCGTTCGATATTAGTAGTTGTGCATTTATTTTCTTTTATTTTTTGTTTTCAAATCATGCGCTCTCTTATTGTTACCTACAGACGCCAACGTGCACCTATCGAAGGAAAAGAACTAGAAAAGTTCCTCTCACGGTCGGAAACGTCGAACATTATGGTCTCCCGTGGAGGTTAAATTATGTTTTAGTTTGTCATTAGATACGTAATATTCCGTTCCTGCTAATGTTTATTATTGGAAAAGTGAAGAACACATCTACGGTACGCGATGTATACCATACAGTACAAGAGCAGTGATCGTTTCTACAGCTTAACTTGACATTAACTTTACATAACATTTATATATATATATATATGTTCATTATTGAGAAGGGTGTGACTTTCTATTCTACGGTCTTTATTAGTGACAGACTTCAAGTTACGATTGGCTATTCTATACAAAATCGTCAAAACCATGGTTAGGAATTGACCGAATCGTATTTGCTAACTCCTCATTATTGTTGATAGAAAAATTGCGTAACTATTAATGACCATCATAATCGAAAGAACGTAAGAACCGCCTGATACAATGGTAATGCAGTTGCAAGCGTCAAACTCTTCGAAATATTAGAGCATATTCCGCATTTAGCCCTTTTGCGCGAACAAGAAAATATTGCTTTTCTTTGCATTTGTTGGTGTCTCAAATAAACAGCAATATTGTGTTTTGTTGATCGCTTTTTTATTCCTGTCTGTCAGAAAGAAGAGGATATCACTCGAACGAAGTGTTCAGCACACAACAATTCAAGCCCCAGGAGGAATTTATTTGGTGTCTAAAATATGGAAACATATAATACGAATTATGGCTTTACTGTATTTATAATGGCGCCATTTAAAATAAGAGAGTTACGCGAGTCATTATTTGTTAGCTTTATTAGATCTCGGTGAAATAGATAACAAGGATGACAAGAACACCTTTCCAAATTTTATGTGCCTTGCACAACACTCATTTAAGCTATAATCAATTATCTAATGGAATAGTTGCTTTCTTTATGTCTGCTTCCGTTTATTTCTATAGAGGTTATAATGCGGTTTTGGCTTTTGTCGGCCCTACTGGTACTCACGCTGGTCTTGGCCAATGGAAGGCCTCAAGACGACCAATATGAAGGCGATCCACCAAATAATGAAGCAAACGAGTTTGCCGAGTTTGAGGAGTTTGAAGATGACCCACAGGAAAAACAACAGTTACTTCAGCAGACGTCGCAACAACAGCAGAGAGCAATGCCGAAGTTAGAACAAAATGAGGTTTGTTGAGAGGTTTTTATTTTGGGGTCATCAATTTTGAGCCACATGATTCTTGCGTTGTGCAATGCCGCACGATTACCGGTATGGAAAGCAAAAAACGGGTCGACTTCTTCTAACGATCGCTCAGCATTGCTTAGCCGGATCGACGTGGAAAGAAAAAAGACCTTTCGTTGATAAAATTTCATAAAATTCTTCTTTCTAATTCTACTCCACCACAACCTACATCACCATGGCGGTTATCAAGCAGAATCTATCAGATTCTGCTTCTGTTTAAAGATTCTGCTTAAATTGTTCGTGGCCTATTTAATATCCCCCTATTCCAGGTGGGCCGTCGTGGCAAAGAAGATGATGCCTTCGTAGAAGATGATGAAATTGACAACGATGCAGATTTTGATCATTTCCAAGACTCTGAAGAATTCGAAGGCCATGATCAGAGGTAGCCTGTTGACTAGTACAATTAGCTGTTAGGTAAATGACAGTATAACGTTTTAATTCATATATTATGATTGTCAAATTATTGCTAACTTTCTATGGTACTAAAACGCTCGTTATTTTAACCCAAATAGCGTTGTCATTACCACGTTTTCGGTAACAGCTCGGAACGTCCACCGATTTCTCAAGGGAGCGTGGGCGGTGCTAATGGTGGACGAGGGAGTGACAACGATCTTAAAATCACTTCAGTTCCACTACATCTCCGTGCTTCGTGGCAAAGTTACTACGCTGAGATGCTGATGTGTGCAGCACTTGTGATTTATTTTATCAATTTCTTATCTGGACGGTAAGGACAAAACTTATTACATTAGTGTTCAGATCGCGAATTGTCAATGCAAACTAAGTGGTATTATACGTTTTTCAAAAAAAAAAAAAGTGAAAATAGTTTGAAGCTAACGAAGACCTCGTCTATAATCTATGGACACTAGCGACCTTTGTTGTAATAGCAGCAGACTGTATGGTTCTTACTAAGGAAGGGTACTGTATGCAGAATAGTAATAGGATTACATATTATTAACTTTACCAGATGAACCAAAAGCCCTGCTTTCAACAGCTTTAATGGAAGACTAATAATTATTAACTATATGCGTTGGTTTCAGATCTAAGAATTCTAGGCTGGCGAGTGCATGGTTTGACAAACACGTCACACTATTGGAGAAAAATTTTGCTCTTGTTGGAGACGATGGCCTTAAGGTAAGGCTTAAATGCAACATTCGCCAAATAGCCTTACCTTGTGTGAAATTCGTGATCAGTGTCACCTATCGATGAATATTTATCCTACTGCTAGTTGGGTTGTGTGTTAACTGTATGGAAGTAACAAAAAAACAAGAATCTCAATCATCTCTTCAAGGATTAAATACTTATGAGACTATTCAGCGTCTGCAGTAGCTAGTCCACTCAGTTTGTTTAGAATATCTATCAAGAATAAAGTCTAGAGATATAAATAGCATTGGCGTAATAAACACAGACAAGTTTTCACAAAATATATATATATATATATATATATATAGGTACGGCTTTGCTTTTCTTTGCGACTAAATCACAGGAAATTCAGAGTGCTGGCCTTCGCAAGGAGTCCGAGCATTGTTTTACGTTATGGTGTTCAGGAAGGCAATGCGTTGAAGGTATGCTTGTTGAGCTACGACTTATCAAGCGGCAGTGTCTTGTAGGTGTGCTAGGTCAACTAATGCGGCCAACGTCAGACCAGATCACTTATAAGGTAACTATAAGTATGGACTATATTTTTCTATTTACGATGGGCGTCACAGAATTTTCTAATTCATAAAGTTTAATACCTATCGACAACTTTTCGCTCTTGAAAATAATTCGTTTATTTTCTGTAAATCTGCAATGTGGATTATATCATGTAGTTAAAACTGGAAACAATGGACCCGTTCGTCTTCTGCATGACATCAAAAAAAAACGCATCAAAGCTTACTAAGGAGATGATAGATGTTCTGACATTCTGTCCAGATCGGAAAGGTGTACCCGACCGCGTATTTCGCGATCTTGGTGAATTTTTTGCTGTTTATTCAGAGATTGGTGATATAACTCAGTCCTTTTTCCAGGTGAGTAGAAACCAACAAGGCAAGGAAAAATTAAATAAATATAACACAACTGTGTTATAAAAATTTACCGTGTTGTTGAGATCACCCTTATAATGAGATCTCCTTGTCTTACCTGAATGATGTCCCCTAAAATGAACTTAATTCGATAATTTGCTCACTTCAAGACATTGATTTGGCTATGTGTAGTACGGACGGCTAATATATAAATAGGATAGTGCAATTTCTTTCTAATTATTATAAAACTGAATGTGGACGTTTAATACTAATGTCTAAAGATTTTTCAAATTTAGGTTTAATAAATTCGTGTAATGAGAATAACCCAAACAGAGGAGCAGAAAATCTGCAATAAAAGCAAATCTTATATACACGAGTTAAATTCATCAGAAATGTAAATGACTTCAGCTAAAATGAGGTATCGTTTTTACCATTTAGGATCAGAAATTTACGCAGCGTTTATCAGAGTACAAGGACTGTATTGAAATGCTGCACGTGTCGGACCAATGGCAAGGCCAAAATGCACTTCGGACTGCAGAAGAAGCTAGTCAGGGAACATTGCTGAAAAAACCAGAAACTGAACGCGTTGTTATCCTCAAAATTTCAGGTATTGTACCACACTGTATTAGACGAAAGTTTAACTTAGCTAGATATGATTTCATCCGCTTGTTATGTAAACTCTTAGTGAACGTTTGGCGAGAGAGGAGAATAACATTTTGCATCCTTTATGCACAGAGATAACTATATGCGTCAATTTCCATATCAGACGAATTTTTCTTCTTTAATATTTACTTAAAGACGCGTAATAAGACTCTCGTTGCAAACCGTAAGGTTTATGTCGGATTCAAGTTCATAATCGACCACAGAGAAATGTGGACGGTGAATGTATTTCTTCCTAAATCAATCTAATTTTTATGTTTTACATCGTTATTGCTTTATTTTATTATGAGCAGCGTACACGTGATTACTGCTCTTTTAAACGCTACTACATAGGATATAAAATTTCTAGTTTTGCTTGCAACATTGGTAACCATGTAGTACCTGGGAAAGGCCGTACTTCCGAAGATCAGATGGAGGCACTCGAGGGTTTGCTAGGATTAGTACTCATCGTAGCTGATAAGGCTTCCCGCTTGCGGTTAAGCAAGGAGGGTCGGGCTAAAGCTGATAAGAATCGACAGAAAGTTGAAGAAACTTTCCTCAAGAACACTCATGTGCAGAGACAGGCAAGTACTGAATAGTTTTAATTACAAGTTTTCATAACACGGTAGTGTCACACTGAAGTTTGACATGGAAACATAAAGCTGTACTTTTTAATATCATATCCCAGTCCCTGGAAACTTCATTGCATAGCTGTCTAGTAATAAAGTTCATTTGATGCAAGGCTACTTGCTTGGCTTTGTTGTGGCGTGGCGTAATAAAACGTATGCTTCGCTACACTAACGGCGTACGTACAAGCATAGGTTAAATGATCACACGTGAGCCGGCTTCAACAAATTAGTACAGAATCTTACTGTAATTTTATTAAACGATTTTTGCCTTTGTCGTTTTTAGGAGTTGGCACAGCAGCGCCGTGACGAACGAATCCGCATGGAACGTGAGCGTATTTTGGCTGAGGACGATCCCGAGAAACAGCGGCGTCTCGAGCTCAGGGAACAGAAACGCCTTGCCAAGAAGACCACCCCAAAACTCAAACAGATGAAGGTCCGCGCCATGTAAAAAGAAAAATGTGGAATTACTGCATGTAACTATTGCAGCCATCTGCTTCTGTGTATGTCTTGGTTCTGGTCAACAAGCAAACTAACTGCCGCTAGATAATGGAAGCTAGCGCCCGCTGCCAAGCGCTTGCCGCACCTAAGCTGTTGTACGCCAGTGCCGATTTTGGTACGCGGATCAATATAATTTTTGAATCAAACTTGCCGACATCAAACGAGCACTTATTTAGCAGTAGGGATAACAGTAGCGGCAGTAGTGAGGCACACTGAAGAACCGTGCAGACATACTGCCTACTTGCAATGCACGCAATATAATAAAAGAAGCAATGTGTGCGCAAGAGAGTCAAACAGTATTTTGCCGTCGTTTTTAACAGGTTTCTGTTGTTTACCAGAATCAGACCGAACGAATGTTGAAGCAGTAATAAGCAGACGGCTACAGTGGCTCTTATATAGTGTCGCTTATATATGGATAGAGAAATTATTACCAAAAACAGTAGAGCACTTTAGTGGAAAAAATATATAAAAGGATGGACACACGCTAATTGTTGTACCTCTTTAGGATAAAAAAAAGTCAAGAAGAAATATTGTCACTTCTGACAGGTGACACCTAGAAAAATCTAAAACACGATTTAGTAATATAAAGTTGTTATTAGAAAATGGCTTCTCGTATAAGAGGAGAAGAAGATCGTAATAACTGCAAAACTGTTAATTGGTTAGTTACACAAGGATGTAGGGAACGTTTCAACATTCATATGATATTAACAGTAATTGCAAATGTGACAAATCGCTCAAGTAGTGATATTACACTAACGTGTAAGCATGAATGTAACGCTTATGATGTGTGCAATGGGATTTTCGTGAAAGTAGGGATGCTATCGCAATTTATGTTGGAGGTAACTAATCTGTGAAGTTGGGACATGTAAAGGGAAAACGCGGAGAGAATAGAGAATTGTAGGAGAACACAGAATGTACACTAGACAAATTATGGGAGATTAAGTCAACAATACTGACATTCATGATCATGATGATAGGGTACTTTATATAGGAACGAAATAAATAAATGTATGTTTGTAAAAATCATTTGTTGTCATTTATATATGCGACAAATAATAATGATTTTAATGCTGTTTTATATTTTCGTGTTAAATTGTAATATATATTACTTATTATACCTAAATGCTACACTTTTTACGATCGGTGCGACAGGCAGTGAAGTGATGGCATCACCTTAAGCATAACGAGGCTACGTAAAACTGAAATAATGAAGCTAAACGAGCATCAGGACAATCTGGACCTTCGAACTGCGAAAATTGGGCCGCATGATACCGTCCATCCTAGTTACAACCAAGGTAGATGAGGATTGGATTTAAAAAAAGGGCAAAGAAGTTTCTCAAGATCTTGCCACTATTGAATAGATTAAAACAACGGCATAAACAACGGCATTCAGAACGCCTTAAGGAACCTGAACTCTATCGCAGAGAGCCCGCTGGCTGTGCATAAAATCAAGAATAAATGCTTTATTATTTGGAAGTGAGGATACTTTTTGCATTATATGTCTTTCATATAAATTATGTGTAACATGAAATGTCCTTAAGATTGATAACAAAACTATAATAACTGGCGGTACTGAAGTACTGAAGTAAGGACTGGTAAAGCAGTTCATCAGCATATTTCTATTTATTTGTGCAGTGCGTTCATGACACGATATTGTTTCGGCGTATATGTTTTCAAAGATAAGACAAAGAGCCATCGAATGAACTGATTTCATATAAAGGCGGCCACAACGGTGATACACAGGTAACAAGAATAAACATTAAATCTACTAACATAATAACTTGATTACTTTGCGTAGTCGGTACGTAAAATTTCTATTTATTTCGAGTTTAGTTTTTTGTGTACTATGTAGAAATTAGAAATTACATATACTTTAAATCACACATATTAAGAGCTCTACATTTTGGCTACTTTTTTAAACGCCCTTCTAATCCATTGGCGTGGCACTATCTTACGATGAGTGTTTCGACCAATAACGACGATTGTCAAACTTAATAAGAGGAATACTGCAATATGTGAGACTGGGTTGTTTCTGACATGAGTACACGCAAAACGGAGCATATATACTACGCGGCGATTTTTATTTAATGTGACAGACATCAGCTGTACTTTTTTAGAATATGGTTGACACTATCGCTGGAATAACGCAACGATGCTTTCTACAAAATATAAGTATTATTTTAACGGTTTAAAACTTGATCTAAATTGAAATATTTACCAAACAAAATTTAGCTACTGTTAAGGAAAGATGTAGGATAAAGACGAACGAAGAACTGACAAGTATAATTGAATATACAAATTTGTCTTCTGCTGTGTGGTCACGATCATGTGACTATATTAAAATAGCAGTGATTCACAGTTCCTTGATATATATATATATAATATTTTTTTTTTATCTTTATAATCAGTTTTATAGAAAAGACGGGGAAACGAAAAAGCCAGTGTTTTGCTAGATTTTCTTGAGTCGATCATTCTGTTTTGCGAATGTGTACTTCGACATATGATGATTTTGTGTATAGTTCTTCTTTTCTTAATTTATCTTTTGACGTGTAACTCCAAACAAAAATAGTACAAGCACTATCACTGTTAGGCGATACTTGTAGAAAACAATCTTGTGGTTGATTGGTCCACTGTAATCGCGTAACTGGTAAAAATGGTAATAGCTGCTTTAACACACTACTGTAACGTACTGTAATGATTCTAAGATATCAAGTATTATAAAAAAAAAAAAAAAAAAATGTATACACTCCGTGCTGATCCCAGAGAGAATGAAACCTACGATACATAAAAGTTTTAGCCTTGGAGCGCGATATTCTCACTTTAAGCCTTTATAAAAAGCTAAATGATTTCTGTCCGTCATTTTATTACAATTAAGTTATTCAAAATATAACGATGGAAAAACTGTATTCAGATCTTTTTTATATCTTATTCAACTAGTATACGGTGTTTTGTTATTGCATATAAGGTAGCAAGCATTGAGTATAGATTCTGCACTCAGGGCATGCAGCCTGTGGCTTTCGTGCAGGCCGAGACACATGCACACTCACAGATGTACAACCGATTGTCAATTGACCACCCCAAAGAAGATGATTAAAAAAGAAAATCATTATCACTCATTATCAATATATCACACCCAGCGAAATTAAAATCTACACCTTAGCCAGATTCACAGGATATATATATATATATCCTGTGAATCTGGCCTGACAAAAACCTGGTGGGGAAAGTTATATATATATATATATATATATATATATATATATATTACTTTCCCAATCAGATTTTTGTTGTTTTAAATATCTTTCTCTCTCCCCATATATATACATATATAGAGGTTTCAATGGTGTGTATATCTCTGATGCCTCCTGTGAAATGAGTGAGTTCGCAAGGGACATCGCAGTTGTTCTTGAATAAAATATAATACGCATGTTACAAAACATTATCTGCTGTATTTTACTTTCCTTCGATCATTTCAATAGACGGTAACCGATAATCTAGGTAGTAAAGCTTTGCGATGCATGCGTAAATTGATGTTTTCAACTGACCCATTTCACATTAATTGAGGCAAGCATGAGCGCTAGTCTTCAACGTTGGCGGCTTTCGACTTAATGAGTACACTTGATTAATCAATAAACGTGTTATCAAAAAAAAATTATTAACGTCATAGAGATTTAATTAATTATTAACGTCATATAGATAGATGGTCATAGCTAGAGCTTTTCCTGGAGAAATTTCGGTGGCGCAACGGTCCCAGATTTATGGGCAGCGCCCGCCCAGGCGCATACTTGTCCAGACTGATCGGCAGCAAAAATGAACTGGTTACAGATTGAGAAGACGGCGTCGGCAACGGGGCTGCGCATTCGTGGGTTTAGTTCTCGAACAGGAGCCAGATTCCAGGAAGAAAATAGTCGCAGAGAACCGTCGGCGTGCCCGGCCAGCAGCAAATTGACGTTAGCACCTTCAGGTGCCGATGAATATGCCAAAGAAGTGACTCGAGACAAACACTCCAGCTGTGCCACAAACACGCCGTTGATTGTGTACAGATGTAATTTGCTGCCACCGTCTGAAGTCACCGAAATCGGAAATTGGAGGTCTTAACATATTTGAAAGTGTACTTGTAACCCCATTCAGGTTATAGCGAGGCGTGTTACTGTAAGCGAAATTTTCTTAAAGCGACATGCCTGTTAATCTTGCGATCTAGATGTCTTTTCGAATAAACCCAACCCATTTGAATCGGGTTCACTTAAGGAGAACTCACTGAATTTGAGCTGCCTGCATAACTTCGTACATATATCAACTGTTTTCCAGGAACTTACTGGTAACATCCTGGGCGATAGCTACGTCTCCAAGAGTAGGGCTAACCCTGGCCAATGTAAGCGGCTCACCAATCTGCAGCACAGTCCGAACATACTTGAGACTGTTCAGGTCCCAGAGTATACACGACCCGTCGTTAGATGACGAAGCAACGATGAAGAATTCGGGGCAGACATCGACATGCAACACAATGTCCTTGTGGCCAATCAAATCATCTAGGTGGACGGCACTGATCGAAGGTGTCACCCGCAATCGAAACACTCCAATTCGGCCTGAGCTATGACCAATAAAGAGCTCTGGTCGGTTAGTGGAACAGCAGACGAATGACACCTGCATAAAACAAACAAATAAAAGTGAAAGAACAATCGTGGAAAAAAACAAACACAAAATCTAGTCGAGCTTGTGAGACGATATTCTCGAATTCCAAGATCAAGCAAGCAAGAACGTTGTCCCGTAATCCAAGCGTGGTAAAAACACGTGTGATAACTTTCAATGTTATCGTAATACGTACGGGATCGTATGCGGCATCAAGAAGGGGTTGGGGCACCAGGTCCTTGCGTGTTTTTAGCCGCAGTACTGCATCGCAGTAGCACCAACTGAGCAGTGCTGCTGGCGAGTCATGGCCACCGAAAAGCTCTGCTTGATTTGATACCCCAACGATTCGCTGGACGTCTAGCGGCCGCAGTCGTCCGAAACCGGGTGGACCAAATGCTTTGGACCAAATACACTCCGGTGGGTTTGCTTCATCGGGACTTCCGGCTAATACACCCCATCGGACCCCGATCACTGTTGGCAACACGCGCTGCAATAGAAATGAACATCATATGTTTTGCGGCACTCAGTGGCTACAGATCAGGTACACCAAAATAAGACTAGATGAACAATGGTCGACTATCGATTAGGAAGATGAACATTGACTTCAGATCGTAGAGGAGATATCAGATCTTAGGCGCGTATAGCGCATAATTTCGTTTACCTGTCCGACAGTTTTCGACGGCGTGCTAGCTACTGTACTAAAATTGACGTTCGGATGCGCCTGCGTGAATAACTGAATTGGCATTTGACCATACGTTTTAATCATGGCCCGATATGCCTTGAGTGCGATTGAATCCATTTGATCAGTTGGCGGAGCATTGTGTGCATATGTTGCCGGATGGAACACGTTTAGTGCGTCTACCGCTGCTCGGCCCTGCTGTTTGTAGCCAAACACCAGATCAATCCAAAGGTTAAGTCGTTCAGTAACCGTCTCACTTTCAAGGGCTGCTAAATTAATCAAATTGAAGAGACGCGCATCATTCTCACACCAGGGCGGGAGCCGTACATCGTTGACTTGTTCGCCATTTTGTCGACTGCCAAAATCGAATTTGAAGATGTTTCGAAGAAACTCGGGAAAGTAGAAGAACTCTGGAATTAGTTCCTTGACATCAGTTGGACTATCGCGTGAAGCGAGTCTCCACGTTGTTTCCATTGAGTGAAATGTACGATCGGGAATATCGAAATTATCATCTTGATAACTGAGAAATGCCTGCGTAAACGGCGGCATGCGCACTAGGAAATGCAGTACAATGCCCGAGTTAGAATAATGAGACCCATAATGGAAAGGGCCTGATACCACAGACAGATTTGTGATGTTCTCTTGGCTCTGCCTGAATACATCGACGTAGTGAGGTTCACGGGATTTGTCCTGAACAGCAATCGGTTTGTCCAATACGCGGAAGTTCTTCGCGTCACTAAGGTCAAGCTCGTCTTCGTCATACTGTGACAATACGAACGGAAATACAGGGTATTGCATCAGATTATTGAAACTGCGGCCAGCCATTTTGTTGAGGTATGTTAAGTACTCAAAATTTGTAATCAGACGTCTTTGCCAGCGGGCTGTAACCGCCTGTAGAGCTTCAGGCTTCTGCAGTTTATCACAGTTCAGTGTGAGCTTATCATAGAAGTCTTGGCGATGTGCGCGATTTTTAAAGACAAGAAGACACGTTAATCCTGAATTGAGGAACATCTCAACAGCTACATCAGCATGCTCATAGCGTCGCGGCATCAGCTCGGTTATTGTTGAAAAGGCCCAACTCAACGCGCCGACCTGTTTATCTTCGGGGACAAAGCGCACGCTTTCTAAGCCAACCAGAACCTCACCACTCGTTTCAACACTCGCAGTGATCATTGAACACGAATGAACACTGAGAATCTGTTCGAACGAATGGAGCCATTTTTCCCGTTGGGCCGCATGCTGGCAGTAGAGAAATGCAAGCGGTGGAGAAAATTTAGTTTGGGCCGTGCCGCCGTTAATCCAAAAACGTGGTTCCAGGTCGAGATGGGCGCGTCTGAGGCGTTTACGCATACGCCATGGACCTTCGGTTGGATCAAGCTCCCACGAGGCTGGCACGAACTCTGGCATGTGCCATACGGCCCTGCAAATCAAGACATGAACAAGATGTTATGAATGTTTATCCTTAAAAGAAAACCCTATAACATGAGAAGTGAAGTCCACTAGAGATATAATACCACAGAAAACACAAGATACAGGCTGAACTAGCGTGGTTTGTATTCACATTGTGAACTCGATTTTGTATCGCGTGGCCAAATCGCAAGCCCATAGGTAATACCGTGGTAATTGGAAAGGAACGTTAGTAGTAATTATTAATAAAAAAAAACACCTTTAAATTTTTTTTTGTGGTAAATACCTTTCATGGGTAAGCCGCTGTGCAATCCCCTTCCATTTGAGGCGAAGTTCATATTCGACACATTTGCGACCTTTGTATGCACTTAGAAAGGCCTTGCGGACATAGTTTTGATAGTCGACGATCGTCCTTGTAACCCGCATCGCAGCGTCGGTTACGTGTTGCTGTTCCAGGTTCACTCGAGACGCGGCAAGCTGGGAAGCACCCAGCGCCGCCGTGGCCTGTGTGTCCAGGAACGAGGCCCGATCCTCTTCGAACTGCGCAAGCCACTTCTGTCGTTTCTATAACACAAAACAAAATTGTCACACTAGAATGAGTTCATTCGAATTTCAAGACAGAGCACTTGAAGTTACTGACAATACTGATGTCATTGCTTTTTAATAATAATAACCATGACGGTCATTATTATTACCATTATTAGAAATTGTCCTCGCTAGCTTATTTACGGCCTTTGGTACGCAAATCTTTGTGATAGAAGTGATTCGATTCGAAGGCATAGATTATACGTTACGCTATCAGTCAAAACATATGTATGGCCCAATATATTTCAACCAACTTTTCGTCGACAAAATTCATCGACAAAAAATAAAATGATGCGAAGAAGATATTTCATACCTTGTTTACACATACTCACCATCTCGCAGCGGAATGGTCCACTGTCAGGGGCTAGGCTATCAGCGATTGAGTTGAGCAAAATCTTAGTTCTCTGATCCCCTTCGGAGCCCTCGGAAAGTTCGACGACAAACGCAGCCAACAGTTCCAACTTATTTGCAGCGAACAATGGAAAAAGGGCGCAAAGGTTCGGTATGCGACCTAGAAGATCTGCACTACGTAAACGACAAGAAATGTCCAGTGTGGGCCGCAAGAGTGCTAGGGCCAAGTTCGATAGCTGTAATAGTAACAGCACCAATTAATGGTAATGACATTTCAAGTAAATCAAGTCAAAATTTATTTGAACTCTGGCGTTGAAATATAGCTCACTCAGTTAACCTCTTTGGCATGGTGAAGGACATCATTGGAACGAAGCTGTGAATGACTGAAGCGTCATAAGCACACAGTGGAAAAAACCATAAACCATCCATAAAAAGGTGCAAACGAAAGGTTTTTCACATACTTGATACACTGCAGTTTTTGATAAACTTGGATGATCGTCCTGCAGACATGCCATAGCGAGCACATGTAGTACGTCGCCTAAACAAGCGAATCCTTCGGTACAGAGTAGAACTGATGGTCGTGAAAACTGCAACAGTTCAACAAGTAGCAGAAGTTGCCGTTCCAGAACCTGAGGAGAGCAACGCCCGCGTCTTCCTGTCAACGTCCCCAGAGCTCCTGATAGTCGACTTCCTTCGGCCGTATTCAAATCTACGCCACATAGATGACCGTTGTCCAAACAAGGCAAAAATAAATGATTATTATTTTTCCCTCAGTTTATATATATATGCTATTATATATTATATAGATTTACGCAGCATGACCATTATATATACATATAATGGTCATGCTGCGTAACCTATCGCATACAACTACAGGGGGCATTAAACAATGTTAGCTTAAGGCGTTTGTATATGATAAGCTAGGGTCACAATCTACTTAAGCTCACCCATGAGACTATCCGGCGCTCATAAAGAATGAGCAAATTTGACGAAACAAGTCAACGAAAAAACAAGGCAGGGAACTGTTGTTCAAATACTAACCTCGTTGAACTGCTAGCCCAATGGGGAATCGTATGCATGTGTTGCTGTTAGGACGATTTGTAACTATGTCCTCGGATTCATGGGAATAATCCCAGTTATTGAGAGTGTTTTCCGGCTTCTCTTCCAATAGCGCAGGAACTGTGATGTGCATCAAGATATTGTGTTTGAGTGCATCGCTAAAACCGTGCAACGCACCTGCGTAGAGCCGAGGTATGTATTTTATGCTCGTAGAAGCTAAAACAGAAATCGATATTATTGAGGAATCCACTGTAGTATTATGTGGGAAAAGTTGTAGTGTTTCAAGAAAAATGTCTAGAAATTACTAGAGCAATATTGCATTTCATAAGCCTGTATTTGAGCACGCCCGCGTTTTGTGAAGCGTATTATAGGTATTCCGTAAACAGGTCCACCCGTAAGTGCGGCCCTGGTTCGAATATGATTTATAGGGAAGGACAAATCCGTTTTACTTGCATACAAATTCTCTGACTTGCCCAATATGTGTGTATGAAGATATTTTTCACTTTGAGTAAATGTACCTCTATGCCTAATTCGCATCACGCCAATATAAAGGTTGATGCTATTCAAGTGAATTTTCGCTTAGAGTCACCTACTTGGATCATTCTTCACATAGTGTGCATATAAACGCATGTAGAATTGTACAGCAAGTTGAGTACTTGCAGCGGCAGCCCGACTTTCGGTTGGTTGAGCGGTTTGCAGTGCAACGATGACGCGAACAAGCGCATATAGAGACTGTGACAGCGCTCCTGTTAGATAAGGCAATAGTTCACACACCTGTTCGACTATATTGTAATAAGCAAGACTTCTAGCAATCGGTGGGCAGCCGGAGACTACCTGTAAAAAAATTCGTATTTCAAATTAGCCATATTGGAACGCTTTAGTAAGACGAAGTACAAGCCTAAAAATATGGAGTTTGTTATTCTTGAACGGGAGAAAATTGCCCAATTTTTAAGTTCAATTGGATTAAAAATGCTGAAAAAAGGGGTTCATCCATACGGTTCGTAATCTCGGTGGGCAAGGACCACGCACATGTCGACAACTTCAAACTAGTTTACACTTCATGTATACAGTTAAAGTCGAAATCGAGTAGCCTACCTGGGCTAATGTCGAAACATACTTCGCTGCCAGATCAGCCGAGGTGCAGCGATTAATGCATGCTAGAAGCACAACAGATGCTTCCGGCCACACGGCAAACGATGGACCAAGGGGCAATTGCTGAAAGTTGTCCATTTGTTCAAGTCGCAAAATCTGTCGTCCTGATGCCAGCTGAAGCACTGCGAGAAGGAGCTCCTCACAACATTCGAATTGTGAGAGCTGATTTGCCAGCAGTTGAAAGCCGAAAATGCAAGTCGATGCATGATTTGAGTTCTTCGTAGACGCAAATGACGTCTTTTGCGATTCGCGATCCACTCGCAGAAATTTGGCTAGACAATTAACGACCTGCATCAGTGTACAGCAAGGGACAAGATTATGAAAAAAGCTACTTCGATTCCTGACGAACTATACTAAGTCCCTGTGAGACAAGCTACAAGATCGGTAAAATCGTTGTCAACTTTTTGTTCTTAGTATTGTTATAGTTATTATCGATAAAGACGAATGGGTATCTGTCTGACTCACAGCCACGCGAAGCTCGTGCTGTGGCTCGTTGGCAAGTACGACAAGAAGTTCAGGTCGCAATGTTGCAACAGTCCCACCCTGCTGTTGAAGAACCGCGCAAAAAACCTGTAAAAACATACGAGAGTTAGCATGTTTTAATCTGTTATATATCTTATGCCTTATAATAGAAATAGAAATAGTCAATGGGTCATATAATGGCCAAAACCTAGAAAGTATCTACAACTTTTTATTGTCTGAAGCGTTAACTACTCGATATAGGACATTCTCATATATATATATATATATATATATATATATATATATATATATATATATAAAGAAGTTCGCGGAACAGTAATACTATTCAAACATTTAAACTACCACTTACAAACGTTGCTATAAAGCAGACTAATACAGGTATCCCATGTGTAGACTGCGTACCTTGTAGATACCACAGATGAAGGTGCACAAAGCTGGATTATTGCGGCCTTTATTCGTACAAGCCGAAGAAACGGACGCCGACATGCCTTGCTCACTTTCGTCTATTAGATTTCTGTTTTCCTCGACGTCTAAATGAAAATTGCCATTACTGTCTGACCTTGTTCCTTCCCCACGTCCATCATAACGATCATCATTGACATCAGCACCATCAACTAACGCTGTCTCCTTGGCTGAAGTCAAGTCCATTTCGTTCTTCGACATCGAAGAGGGATGTGCTCGCCCTGGTAGGGCTCCCCAAGCTACGCGTTGATTTCTTGTATGAACGACGTATGTTCGGGTTGCATCATGCAGAAGTACAACGAAGTCGATGAGTGAACTAAGTAGTGCATGCTGGTATCCAGTGACAGCTAACATTGACGATACCAATTCAACCAGATCTTCCGCGGTGTTTATACTCAGGCTGCACTGCTCTGAAGCATATTCCTCCTAAACCAAATACACGGACAACTACTTTAATGGTGACGATAATAAAGATAATAAAATTATTTTCTTCATTAACTAACTTCGTCGATTTAATATTTGCTTGATTATACTTGGTCCTGTGGGGTTTGAATCAGAGATTACAGGATTACAAGTTTCAGGTATTAGCTGTGCCGTACGCCGGCGCCTCGCTGTAAGCTTGACTATTCTGCAGGCTACTCATAGTGTTATTCCGACAGTAGCAAAGATGCTCACCTTAAGTATATTCAACAATCTATCAAGAACATTCACTTTAACCAACTGATTGACATTAGCAATGTGATGCGGATTTCGCAGTCGGGTGCAGCGCGCAAGAAATGCAGCCAGTTGCGCTCGTTCCGCTTCTCTCCAGCGAGGCCACAAGGGCAAAAGCAGCTCAGAGAGTAACTCTGCGCGGTGCAGCTTCAAGCCCGTTGCATCACAACAGTGAGTCAGGCACATCTGAAACAATCGGAAATCGTTGAAATCAATTAAGCAAGTGAATTCTTGCTCCAAGATGTTTGAATGGGGAAGTTTATGATTACATCAGTAGTCGTACAAGTCGGTAAACAGTGAAAACAGCAAATCCACTAAGTTTACTTTAAAAGTGTATTTCATGATCAGCAATATATGTTTTTAACAAGGAGAGCTGGTGTATTGAAAAAAAATTACTTTAAGTAACAAGAGAGATAATTGACATTTAGGATACTCTAGTACGAGCATCGTAAGGCCCAGTCCCTCGCGCTGAAATTCCGCTTGCAGCTCGGGTCCAGACTCGGCCGCTTGAAGGACAACTTCTAGTGCTGCTGAGTGAAGATCCTGTCGGTTCGTGCGTTCGACCACCTGTAGATAGTTAGCCGATACATTGAAGAATTAACGGACTTTTAACCTACTGATCGGAATAGTCATTGTATCGATGACGCAGACTAGCCATCTGCAAAATGTAGTAAACCGTGCGAGCTCACCCATGCTAACAGGAAGAGAAGTACTCTGTAGCCTCCGAGAGATGCTAATGCAACATGAAGATTGTGCGAAGCTTCGAGCGCGACGCAAGGCTCCATTGAGAAGCAGAAGACATCGTGTTCTGATGGCAGGTGCTGCAATCGACGTGTCGATGAAAAAAATGACTGAACGCTCAGCTTCGATTGACGTGGATAAGCGACGAATCTGTGAATATATCAGAAACGATGTGATGTTCAAGTAGAATGGAACGAAGTAGAAATAAATGGAAAAGATTGACTTTAGTAAACTTATATTACCGAAGTGGGTCCGTTGGCTGGTAAGCTAATGCTAGGTGTCGCTGTAGCGTGCGCAGGCTTCCCTGAAGTTCAAAAATCCGCGAGTGTGCACTCAAAGGACATTCAACTAGGCTTTGGTACGAGGGACCAAGACGATAAAGCACCGTAGAGTGATCGCCTCGCTCAAGTCCTTTGCAATGTCAACACACAGAAATCACATCCAGTTAAATAGAAACAATGGTAGTGTTAACAATTGTATTTCAAATGTCTGTATTAATTTGAAACTGTCGATGTAGCAGAAATCTGTATACATTTCTTACTACAAAGAGGCTACAGATGTTGTGGCACTTGTAAAGCGTTCAAAGTATTCATCTGTTAACAATAGGTGAACATCTGTGTTATAAATTAGGTTCAAAGAAGAAACAACGCAACAAGCATTTTACGTTAGTAGGATCACATTGACATTATTTTTATTTTTCTAAAAATACTAAGAAGAATTTTCTAAGAAAGCACCGATAACGTAGATACTAGTTATACCTTTGAATAACATAAGGCTGGAAATGCGAATAGGGCAAACTTGACAGCCCAGAAGCACTACTTCAAGGCTTGCGAGGGCTCGATAGGGCACCCCTTCTAACTCGCGTTTCTGTCCGTTGGTTGATACCGAGATCTTGTTATGTCCGCTCATCTGCAACCAGTCGTTTAGCTTCTGCTGAATAATGGTTTTTGGATTGCACTGGATGATTTTTCAAAGGTGCGTTTTATGTGATCCTTTTTTAAGTAACTTCTACAACATTCAGGATTAACAATTTGAAACAAAACGTTTACCAATAGTACAATAAGGTACTATATCAAGGAATATTACAGTTAGCCACTCCGTTGCTCTATAGATAATCCTGATTAAGCTAACGAGTAGTAACTTGAGTGACTCTATCTAAAATCTACCCACGCTTGCTGCATAAGCAGCGTTACCTCTACGTAGATGTGGGCCCAGTTTCCAAGGCCTCCTTGATTTGGTAACGAGGACAGCATCGGTAAGGTGCCTGTCCAAAGTCGCTCGTACAGAGGACGCCCAGTGGACAAAACAATTCGGATCATCGCGAACCCTTTGCCTTGGCCGTCATGGAGTCTCTGCTCTAACCATGCTTCAAGGAGAGCCTGCCGATTTCCTAGCGACACCAAATGTGTTGTGCCAACAGTATCAGCACGAAACCTACTCAAGATGCAGCACCGATGGTTTATAATGGTTAGATTCTTGGGCACCTGTAAATACTAAACGTTTCTATATTGTGATTGACAGATGCCAGTATAGGATACATGTTTAATTCTATTATATATTAATTGATTCTAGATCAACCTAGGGCATTCGTTTAAAGTGATCGTAGATATGAAATACAGTAATATCTCAGCATCATACAACATTGGAAAGCCCAAGAAAAACATATTATGAAGTAATCGAATAACCATTAGTATCTCAAGACTGTAAAAAATCAGGTATTTCACTTATTAATTATTATTAGATTTATTATTAGAATTAAATGAATCTATATAACATACCAAAGTGAAAACGACACTCCATCAAAATCGGTCACTGTGGCTAATGGTAGCGCAGCTGCAGCACCAGCTTCCGCCCACGGTCCCTCACCATCTAACATAGTTCGTTTGGTTTGTGCCAACCAACTTTCCGGGGGGCCGAGTTGCTCACGCGTAAACGGCCGAAATATTAACACTCGATCGGGGTATCCAAGTGACCCTTGGGGCTGGTAGAGCAACTGATTTAAATTATTCAGAAGTGTTTCCTGGTAAAGTGGTAAGTTACTACCTTAGAGGAAGTTCAGCGTTCGTTTCGATCTACAAACTGAAAGCGGACGTGCTTTATATAAAAGCACGATTTTTAGTTTTTTTAACTAAAGACCACCGTGGAATAGTGGTTGCTCCTCAAATGTTCCACAGCTGCTAGTTTTATATGATTTTCTTAATATACATCACAGTCTATTTCTAAACGAACGAGTTTCGAATGAAAGATAATACAGTTCGTACTTACATAGGCCGGTTTGTCAACTTTAAAAAGCTGCAGAAGATCAAAAAGTTCATCACTAGTGATTGAATGCCTGCATAAGATCTGAACGAGATGCAGCAGCGCCTCCGTAAGCTGGTCGGAGTATGACCCAAATTTCCGGTAGCCCGCTAGGTAGCTTCGACAGAGACGACTGGTAGAGCCTGTGCGCAAATTCGCAATATCATCATTATTATATCTCTATAAATAGAATCAGCATAGTATAAGCTGATTTACATTGTGGGGCCATTCCTGTCACCTATTTTATATAAAGACAGGCTTACTCTCCCACAGTTCTCACTCTTACGTGATTCATCATATCATAGTGATATCAGCAGATCAAGCCCAGTGTACAAACTAATTTTTGTATCACTTCGCTAACTTAACAGAACATGACTAAGTACCAAAAAAAGCCGTAAACAAATCGTTAGGCTGACTTGTTGTTTCCTCCTCACACTATTCCCATCTACGTACCAATTTCCAATAGAATTTTCAAAAGTTGATCACTCTGAAGACACATCATTGCGAGATGTCGCAAACTTCCTGTGAAACTGTTCGCTGCCACTGGCGATGCAGTTAAGATAAATGCTGCCATATCGAGACAAAGGGAAGCCACCTCAAAATGGACGGCAGGCCGCGGTCCTGTAGGCATTTTATGTATTCCATCCAAGCCGCTATCGCTGTCTTGATCTGCTTCATAGCCTTCTGGCTCTCCACCATTTTGTGCAGCATCGGTGCTGGCGGATCCGTGCGCGGCATCGTGAGGCGCTTCAACAAAACGGCTGTCGGTATGCGCTTTACCGATACGATTATATATGTTTGTAGTGATGAGAAGGGCGATCTTCGCATAGTTGTCGCGATCCTTTGGGATAGCGTTGTAGATCTGCTTGCAGATTTCTGCGCGTTCAAGGGGCCGTTCGCAATCAGACCATAGCTGCAGGGGGCAAAGGAATAAGAGCATGGCTAAAAGTATATCGCAAATTTGATAAGCCACGTTTGTGGTTGCATCGGCAAGTAAATTAAGAAGTAGTCGATATGAGGTATCCAAGAACTGGAAACGCGATCGGATGTAGTACTCCTTGACGCACAACACATTGGCCTTGTGAAATGTTTCCAACAGATCTGCAATCGGCTCCATCGTTAAGTCGGACTTCTGTTTGAGACAGTTGTTCATCTCGTCTTCAATAATGTTCATGAATGTCTCTAGAGCCACAAGACTACCCGAAATTATTGTCTCAAATAGTCTCATCGATACTACCCGTGAGGCAAGATCACTCACGAACAAAAACGTGCTAAGCAATTCGACATGTTCTTTTTTATCAAAAAACTCCGTGGGTAGAGACGGCAATGTATCGAACAAGCTCCCTAATAAAGGAAATACTAGCGGAAGATCATCCAGTCCTAGGAAGGACGTGAATGCAGACATCACAATCTTTTCGTAAAGTTCTGTACGCGCGTCAACATTGCTTAATGACGCTACAACCGCAAGATGGCTAGCAAGCTCTCGAGACCGCGTCGAAAACAGTACCCGCGCATACGTCGCCGATGAGACGCTGTTTAAACGATTACTGCATACACGACACGACCCTGTCCGCCGGTGGAACGCTTCCAAAGCTTCGAGTACGTAAAGTCGTTCCCCATCCGAAATTCGTTGAAAGAGCTCGAGCAAAGGTCCTACAGGTGGATAACAGCAACAATAAGCGACTCGTCGAAGCTCATGTAAGGCTACCAGTGAAAATCGGGCCACAAGACGTATTAGGCGTTCACATATTTTCGCGGCGACACAGACATGTTGTTTACTTTGTGCTCCAAATGGCACCCCGTAGCTGTCGGTATGATGGAACACGTCGGAGTGACGACCAGATTTGAGACGCAATTGCTTCAAACATATGGCCACTTCTGCTAGTATAGCGCAGTGCTTCTCAATAACGAAGAGATCATCCTCGAGCTCATTAATTTTCACTAGGACAGTGAGCAAATTGGACTTGAATTCTGGACCACTATTGCTTACTAGATGATACGCAATCGTGAGCAGGACCGTAACACACTCCTGACGGAACGTCGCGTCCTGCTGGTTTTTGAGACAAGACAGCAAGCTTCCAAGCCAATCGATTCCTATACCATCACCTTTTTCTATCAGAATTTGCCTTAGCAACAGACGGAGGGATATTAGTAAAAAATGTTTGTCAGTCGTTCCATAGAACACAATGCGGCCGAAGTGTGGTTCAGTTTGGTATACACAATCAAGCACGTCGAGAAGCAGAGCGGCAAAATCTTTTTTTGGTAAGTATGTACTGTACAACTGGGCTTCGTGTTCCGTTAAATCATTTTCTACACTAGATGTGTCGGGGTTATCTGCTCGTCGTTCTTCCAGTGATAAAGGTGGGCCCTTTATGGACGGTAGTTCGCCTTCGGAACTTGAGGTAAATGTGAACTCTTCGATCTCTGGATCTTTTTTTTTCCTGTGATTCATACTTCGACGTCGATGATGTGTATCTATCAGTGCCGGTTTGTCGACTCGCGAACCCTTGCGCGGTGGTAACATCGCATTCACCAACGGCGATAGGGACGACGTGTCTGCCTTGACACTGCAGAAAAGAAAGCATAAGTCATCAAAATCAATTTTTGATCATTTATACACATGTAGGATGAATACTGAGCTTGGTCGGATATTTAAACTATTTAAGGTAATAGGATATCAATCAAATTTTATTCACCCATCTTTATCAATAGTCGTCTAACACTCACTTGTGCAACTTAATAACAAAAAATATAGGATCATTAAAGCACCTGAGTTTATAGACAGAAGTTCCAAAACAATTTGGGTAATTCCTTTTTAAATTTAATACATTTTGTAAATCTGTACAAACACTTACTATGTTAGGTTAAAATATAGAAACATAACTGTAAATTTGAGATCCTTACAGTGCTGGATATGGGGACTGCCATGTCGCATGTTCCTCGAAGTGCACTTGTTCTATGAGAGATTTCCATACCCCCTCTATCGCTTCTAAAAGCTCCACTTTGAATGGAAGATGTGTTACTCCGATCAACTTTAGCATAACAAGTAATTTCCAGCAAACCGGATCTGAAATTACGAAATGGAACGTCTCATAATGCATAACGGCGTTGCTAACGCAGCTTGCTTGTGTCTACTACTGCAGACAGCATGCAAGATAATCGAACGTTTTGACTTTATCGTTACGCCGGTTGAAATACGTGAACTTATAACACGAACACTAAATCGAGCTGCTCACCGCTCGCTGGATCTTTTTCCGTACGAAGGCGATTGACGAGCACATAGCTTGCGATGGACACGGCTTTGCTCCACGACAATGGATCCGAGAGGTAACCCCTAATATGAGCTGAGAGGAATTTACAGCTGAATACGTGTACCTAATATAAGAGAAATTACCAATAAGTGTTACAATGTTGAATGTCCAAGATTTAAACCCTTCTATATGGTCAAAAAAAAAATATTAAAATTAAAACAATTTCTTCAATTACATAACCTCTACTTATTTTGTGTTTTAAAATATTTAGATCACGATGTAAACATACAGTGTCCGTACTAATGTTTTTACGCTTCAGGCGTATGGATGTAAAGAAGTTTAGTTCGAATTTGATGTTTAAGATTTTACAGCTTTCAGTTTCTTAAATACACCCACAATACAGGATAAAGAAACAGTCGAATAAACAAAAAAGGAGTTAATATCACATATTATCAGCAGCATAGAACGTTATTTCAAGATCTAATAGACTTGAACATTGAATTACTAAAAATAAAGAAAAGCATTTCGCTTTGTGAGACCTCTACAAGAGTAAATCGAGTACGTCACACGGACATAGATAAAATTATAATCAGTTCGAGTTTAGATTTTTTAATAAAGTCGAGTTTCCTTTTCGTTGCGATTCACAGTAATGTACAATTAATAGCTTTTTAATATTACCTTGATTAGATGAATGGACATCGTGTAATTTACTTTATGCCGCTTTACTGGTACAAATTCAGTCACTGCCATTATATTGGCCTCACCTGCTAAAGCCATGACCTGTAGTGTCCGCGTAAGTAACTCCTTGTTATTTATTTCTTAGGTAACAACCTTATTCGGAGGAAATATTCAGAGCACTACTTACGCATGTTGAGTACAGTTATATATACAATAGTCGATCCGCACCTGTTCAGGGCAATCGGAACTTTTTGCTGACAATCCAACTATGATCAAACTCCAAAGGCGATGTAACGAGGCTTCGTCGTCTTCGTCCATCCTGCAAGGTACATACCGTTACCAACATTATTGCTCTTAGAAATGCTGAACTATGTATAGGCCTTGTAAGCTACTGCGCGAACTTGTCCATAGATACCTAGACCCCTTTGAGTTCACAAAAATGAGAGTGCGTTCGTTTATACCGTATATGCCGAGGTAGTGGTTTAGACGGCCAAGTCTCCGATTGAAAGAGACCAGTGGTCGCTGTTTTAAGCCCAAAACAAGACTTGCACGAATAGAAAAAGTTGCTTATATTAAATGAGCCATTGGCCTCTTTACTTTGTATCGTTTCACTTTTTCTATGGAGCAGCTAATTATAAATTTATCAATCTTATAGATGTTCACAGAGGTCTGTTTTCTGATTATACTATTCCTCATGTACACATTCGTCTTATACGAAACAAAGCGGCGGCGGCCATGAAGGTACGTGCTGTTCTGCCAGCCGTTGCTGTGCTACAGTAAACCGAAGTAAGCTCAGCATTTTAGCATATCGTCTCTAAAAAAGCACGAGTTTTCAAATTTGCTGGTCTCCAAAGCGACGTGGACAAGTATGTCTACGACAAATTCCGACCTAGAGCACCGCTTACTTTAGTGGACATGTGTGCTGCCATTAAGAACCACTTAGAAAGGGTTAGACAACAAGAACAAACATCCCTCAATTTTACCTAAACGCAGATCCATGAAGCAATCCCATTTAATGTTATCTTTACTGTTAATGAAGCGACTAATGCCTTTTAGGTACGCAGGCGACCGCCCTAACAAAAGATAACGCATTTCACTATGCAATGACAATTAGGTAGTAATTTATTAATTACAGCCTATTTGTATAATATAATATAATACTATAATAAGAATATCAAGGAGAATCACAAAGAGCTAAAAACACTACTGAGCCTATTTTGTATCATTTACTGATGTAGAATAAGAAAAACACAAACCATACTGTTTCTATACGAATAGATCATACTAATATAGCGAGAATACACAGATCATTCAACTGTCAAATCTACAACTATAAGACCGAGCAATTAATAATAATTCTGATAATTGTGCAAGGAAACAAAAATATTTTTAGCATAAACTTTGTTCATAGTTAATCACGTTTAATGATAACAGACAGCGAAGGATTAAGAAGGTATTAACATTGAGGCGTATGCAGCTACACATAAAGCGCGACTTGTCATAAGCCGAATATTTAAAAGCGTCGATGCATGGATAGGTGGAAACCCATTTTGTTACAAAGATACAATAAATGATACTTCATTCAACCGGACATATTTGAACTGAATTGCAACTATAGAAAAATGTTCGATGCAAAATCAGCGTTGTACAGACATCAGTGTCAAAACCAGCAACCGTTTCACGAGCGAGTTTGAATGACGTGTTGCCTAATTTTATGTGTTAAAGGTGTACAGTGTCCGAAAAGCACAGTGTCTATCACTGCAGAGAGAATGTTTTTGTAAAAGGACTTTCATCGTTATTCATTTGAATATCGTTCAATCACCCAGAGCATGAAGGAGTATCAGAAACATCCTGTAGATAGCAAATTTCTTTAGAATTTATTTCTATATTAAACGATGAACATAGTAGCGCCATAGTAGCTATTCGAAATTTATTGAACCTTCCCAAAAAGCCCGGCATAAGCATCTACGGATTAGGCCAATCGCATGCGTAATTTCGCCAGAAATGGGACAAATAAATCTAGATAAAGCTATCTTATTTAAAGATACTCAGACCGGGTATTTTAACGATATATTTCGTGTGTTTACTTTTATTTTCAAGATAAATGGGTAGTACAATTTGCAATAATGCGCGATTGTATAAACGTCTGATGTGCGCTCGTGCTTGACGATTCAGTTGTACTCTTATGTACCATAAAAGGTTTTCATAATACCAAATAGGCAGTGTGTCCTAAAGACGTTCAAAGTTAAATTTATAAAAAATACGTATAATCGTTTAGGTAGTGATGGCTTCTCCGTACAAAATGTTAAAGCGACCGTTGCAGCGATGATTCCTGTTTTATTAAATCAATTTCAAAATCGCATTGCGGTTCTGCCGATTGGTGGATGCCAGTGGGTGCTAGTCGACGGACGTTTTTTAGAGCCAAGTCTAATTTTGTCGATTTTTAGCTTCGATACATTATCTTTTCTTTTTGATGTGCTTCGACAAAATGTCTAGGGGAGAGGGGCACCATAAGGAATTTAAAAGTTAGTTGGAGAAAGCAAACAGATAAGGATAAGAGTTTTCGTAACTGCATTTTAATACATACGGGTCCTACAAAAACTACACCAGGAGCCCTAGCTCGTAATCTCTTCTAGTAGCTAGTTCTAACTATTAGTCTATGATATATATCATATAATAAAATCGATTTTCCGCATTATACTTTAGGTGAACTTAGGTTCGAACACCTTTCATATTTAAAAGGTACTTAATTTACTTTTCCAGCTAACGAATTTCAAAGCTTGCCGGATACTGACGAATATTCGGATTTGTTTTCTTTGTATTGCCTGTAGCTAAATGTACACAGTCGTATAATAGTCTCTAAATAATGATTTTTCTTTGTCAGTTTTTTTACTTTTGCGTTCGTAGAGTAAATGCAAGCACCGATGTGTTTCTTAGAAATAAAAGTAGATATTTAGTAGTATTAATGAACAAACATTAATTCTATACCTCGGCATTGAAAAAGTGGTTGGCCTAAGCACAAACTGAATTTCACTCGCTTTAAAGAGTGAACGTTTACAACCTAGTAGCCAACGTCGTGACAACTCATTGGCGTAAAGGATTCAGGTAGAATGGGCGCTTGCGAATTCTCCCTTGATTGTCGACAATGTCGTCTCTTCTATTACCAATGTTACCACTAGATCAATAAAAACAAATCAAAAGGCAGTTACAGAATTTTACCTTTAATCTATGGCATAGTTAGCGCTGCGTACATTTTATAATTCTCTTTGTCACTTGCCGACTCTTAACCCATTTTCGTTGAGTTTTGATGTTCTAGGAAACATTATTTTCACTACAAATATTGCTGAAGCAATTAGCCCTTTACAAACTTCTTGTCTATTTAAATAGTATTTTTTTTATAAATGTATAAATACATTTTTATCAATATTAACAAGTGTTCATGAGCCTGGTCTGTTTGTCTGACACATGTCACGTTGGCTCGAAAATTATATTTTTTTTATTCTATTTATTATTTAAAAAGTGCTTCCATTCAAGTGAGTTAGCTATTCATTATAGCCATTCATCCTGCATGATTGGTTTCCTGCTGCTTGAGGCAAGGTTACTACCCGTTAACTATGTTACGTGATGTGAATCGGGACACTTTTATACACATACCTGTATAATAAGAATCATACAAATCGACTCGTTCTTGTACTTGCGGATTTGCTAATTATATAACTATTAGCAACGTTCTTATTACTATTACTATTAATAGTAAAAATTTTCGTATGACTCAATAAAGTGTGTATGCTATGATATTAGCCTTGAAAAAATACTGAGTTTTCGTATATTTGATACCAGACTCGAACTCATACGGACACATACGCGACGTAATTTACAATATTTAAACTCTTGAGTCTTTCAGATTGTTATCCTTGCGAGTTATGTTGCTAAGTTCTGGAACACCTCTAGCTCGTATAACATACACCGCAGAAATTGAGTAGATAAATATGATTAAATGTTGTCGTACTTTATCCCACTTCAGTAAGTTTAGCACACTTGCCTCAAGAGCCTTACTTGGCCCCCTGGCGTTTCCGCTTCGAGGTCTTCTTAACTTTTGTGGAATCATTCACCATTTTTCCCAAAGAACCCAAGCTGTTCTGCCGCACGCGCGTTGCAAACAGGACCCCTTGAGCCCAGCCGCTCCAGTCACCAAACCGAGCAACAAACCACTCGACAATACGCGGATATACAACAGGTGAACACTTATTAACATTTTGAAGGCTGGGTATGTGTTGGCGGGCTATTTGGAATACATGCGTATCCACTGGAACGGCTATAGGCTTGTCCAATGCCATGAGACAGACGCAGTCTGCCACCTTGCGTCCTACTCCTGCCAGTGTCATCAGCTCGTCACGGGCTACCTCGTACGATGACTCGCGAAGTCCATACAGCCACTTCTCACCTCCACGTTCGCGCAGTGTGTCGACAGCCTTCGTGACGTAAGCAGCTCGATAGCCAAAACCAGCCTTGCGTAGCTGGGGTTCCAGCTCAGAGCCGACAGCGGCTAGATTTTTCAGAGATGGGAAATCGTGATAGTATATTCCGTCAATTGTGGCTAACTGCGGCCCGTATGCACAGAGTTTGTCGACCATCTGCGAAATTCGTGATATGTTATTACACGATGATAAGATAAACGACATGAGACATTCGAGCGGGTTTTGACGGAGCGTCCGGACACCAAGCAGTATGTCGCCTTCAAAGAGAAGGTCGGAACCCCATTCTGAATATAGTTTGGCTAAGCTCACTCCCAGCTGCAGATAGTCCTTGAGCGTTTCCTCTGGCGTATCCAGTGGTTCCACATGTCGGTTTGATTGCTTCGATAAGTACCTCTCTTCCCATAGTTCATATTCGATGCCTTCATCACATTGTCGAAGTCGATAGATTCGGCCTCGAAGCGTGGACGTCCACCAGTCCTCAATAAGCTTCCATCGAAACGATTGGCCACAGCGAAGAACAACATCAAGATTAAGTTCGCAACGTGAGACAGGCAGAATTCGAGCAGTCGTCCACATAATTTCTTCTGTCACGAATGATCCCAACGGGCGCTTTCTCAGCACAAAATGATGGTTACATCTGTATCCTAGAGAAAATCGGAAAGTATGCAACGATCGTAAGCACACACATACGCACAAAACAGAAACGAATAAAATCATGACGTAGCAAGTACAAAGACCCAGACATTAAGTTCAATTTATATTGTTGGGAATGGTCCTATAGCGCCGTTCGGCGTTTTAGCACATAGTTGTTTCATGCATGGTGTAAATATTACGCAGTGTTTCTTCAGCGGTTTGATGGATACACTATTAGAAGAATGACACTACTCCATACACGATGACTGCTTGGCTCAGCAACTTACAGAAGTAATAGATTGTGTACGAAAAAAAGCCACGCTTCACCATGGCTAACGTTAGGTGCGCGGATATCATTATAGGAGACACCGGTTTTCCTGAAACAATGCTGAAGCTATTAAAAGACGTTGCTTCACAGCCTGGTTCTTCAAAAAGTACCTTTTATAGCTATCACCAAAAGCATATTAGAAGTTAATTCAACTAAATCCCACTTCTGTAATATTAGCATAAAAATATGATTTCTTGTAAAAATCAGCCACATTCATACAAAAAACAAGACATAGCGGAGAACTTAGATGATACACATTGGCTATAATGAATACACAACGTTCATATGTTTTCCAACTAGATAGTTTCGATTCCTACTTTACGAGTGCATAAAGAATCAGTTAGTTTGACCTTTACCACTTTTTGTTCGCATCATTATATGCAAATGCGAGTCATTTGGTCTATTTTACAACTTTACTTGATGTATGTTCATCATTATGGATTGGATGACATTTACAAATTCGTAAGAATGTTTGACATTACACTAAATAAAGAAAAAAAAACTCCACAAATTTAAAAAAATCACTTTTTTTGGTTGTTCAAAGGCACATTTTTGAAACCTCTTTTGCAATTTTCCATCCACAAGTTGGAGATCTTAGTTCCATTCGAACAGACGTATAACCCGTGCATCTAGTTATTTGGTGACATTGTTTCAGCCAGTGTACAGCCAGTGCAATTTTAAAAAGAAGAGATATTCCATTCGCTAGCTTAACCATAGGCAAAAATGAAAACTATTTTTCAAAATTCTTCCATTTCGTTGCTGCGATATGCCGAAGAAAGTCAAGAAGTAAAAAATTAACTGCTAAGGGATCTCTGGGAATAAACAGGGTTTCTGTAAATTGAAATGTACAGGAAGTTACCACGACAATCGATCAGTTTCTTAAGAGATCGCACTCAGATATTGCGCTGAGACATTCGCTAATCCAAGTCTGCCATGGTCATACACACAGCTTGAGTCAATAGAACAAAAGATTAGCAATTCTTTTTTGTTTGGTGTTCTTGCTACCACTAAAGACAATTATATGTTTACCAACAGACTGTAACAATAAACATGTTTCATTAGACTTCTATGCTTTACCTACTGTTATCAAAAGTCATGAGAATGGTTGCGTTATTTTGGGTTGTGTATTGATAGCAGTCTCGATTTGACTTACAGTAGGCTTTTAATGGTATCGTGAAATTAGCTAAGCTAAGTATATTGTTGATCACATAACTAGCTGTGTTCAAAAAATACATATTGATAGCTGCAGCCTATGATTAGGTTAGGCGTTAGAGAACTTCAAAAATGCTATTACAGAGCATAAGCATATAAAGAAACATGTTGCGTTAAGACGGTGAACACTGGATTCATCCAAATAAAGTAAACAATGAAACGTTATTATTTTAAGTATATTCGAGCATTAGCTCGAATCCATATGGCCGCGAGTGCTTTGAGAATATAACTAAATATCATTGACACTACAGTTACCCACATAGCGAACTGGAAGGGACATTTTTAAATGGTGACATGACCACAGTCCATGTCGTGCCTTCTTTTTTTCTTCGTGTCTGAAGACCTATTAAATTACCAACATAGCGATTATAACAGTGTAAACACTTTGCGTATGTCCCTGTTTAATGGTGCCGATGTTGTTATCGTTATACGCAGGCAGGAGCACAGGTCGTATATTTATGAGAAAAAGCCATTGTTTCCGTCGTGGGATCTACTTCGTTGGCGTACACCCTGATATAAAACGGAATCAACGCGGAAATCTTTCTTTTTCCCTTAGTCAAAGAATCAGCGCTCACAGGCTATTAGGTGTGGCTGCAAGCTGACTGAGGTGTTCAGCAGAGGCAACTTCTCTCTCCAGACTGGCAGCAAATAGTTACAGTACACCCCCTTCACTGCGCTCACTTGTACTTTATGGAATTCATATTATAATATTTCTAGCAGTAGCCGATGTTACTGACATTCGCCTGCGTTCCGCGTGGAGCAACAGTCGGACTAGCGTCACATGTGCTAAGTCACAGTACAGAGATACAACTAATATCAAATCGGCACTCACGGAAGTCTTACAATTTCTTAGCAATATGCCCGTTTGAACGCTCCATGAGGGCATTCGGTTATGACACACAGGAAACCGCTCACAGTATAGACGATATATATCGATAATTAGGCATTTGATATATCTATGAAATACGCATAGATCACACATAATATGCAAACTCTTATTGAGTAAATAACATCGATAATAAAATCACACTCCCTCTAAGCCCATCCACTTAGAGACAGTGAGTCACGTCTTTGAACAGTAATCCTATTCAAGCCTTGTGCCTTACTATTCGCTGTGTTTCAAAACAACAACAGCCAGAAAAATCCCATAACGCCACAATATCGACCACCAAACGGCTAGGAGAGGGATGCTGACCATGTGTTCGGTATCAGGCTATTAAAGGCCCGGTGTGTATGCGCTTTACCGGTGCAGCGTTTGGCTTATGTTTCGCATTGTTCTGTAGATGTTGCTATTATTGCGACTGATTAAACTATGCCCTTTAAAGTGAAATTGACTTATTATATTTTTACCGATATGTCATAACCAAGTACAAGCACGACCATAATATCACTAACCTGTATTCGGTCGGCGGCTGCGATGGATGTAACGGTAATCGATACGCCTAACCAAAGCGACCATCCTCTACTTTCATTTTCGATATCCGCTCTCTTTCCCCATTTGTTCCAGTAATGAAGTAGCGACCAGCAAAGAAAATACAGGATAATCCCATGCAATATTAATTTTCGAGTGTTATTTTAGTTCGCTAATTATAATACATTCCGTACAACCTAGCAGCTGGCAAAAATACCCAACCAACTCAAATATCTAAACACACACGCATCTACACACGAATAGCGACTTCTAACAGCACATACTGTCGTCGATTGTTACGCGGAATGAATAGAATACTTTTGAGGATCACTGCACGTTGCGACTTGCTTTCTTTTCGGGCACTATAATTAGTACCATCCTTCTGCTTTACACATCTGTTAATGCCGTTCTGACAGCACCTTATGTCAAGGCACTGGTATCATTGCGTCCTTTTTTAACCTCTTGTCCCTGGCACTTTTTTCGTTTATGAGCCTTTTTTGTCCACGAACCCCAACAAACTTTACTTTATTGCACTCCGCTCGTTTAGTACATGTAGTTGCACTAATCAAAACGGCTGAACACCTAATGCTACACGATATGGGGCTGGACAGAAAACTAACCATCGACCCCTATCCAGATAAGCTGTTTTCGGAATAAGAACGAACCTAATGGGGCACCCGCAGCACCAGCACCAACAGCAGCAGCAGTAGCGACACACGAAAACGGAACCACTTCACGAACAAAGATAATAGAATAATAAAAATAATGAACGTCTTTCAGAATCCGCACCATTACTCACCCGCACAACCATCGACCGCGTTCAGCAGTAGCGGCAGTAACCGAGACAGCAGTCGCTCCGCAGCGATATCAGACATCGAAAAGAACGTGTTCAACGTGTCTGTGTGTTTGTGTCTCCTCTCTACTCAGGTGGTCGTTTATCTGCTCTTGCTCTACGTCGCGTGCTGTTGCCGTTGTTGTTGTCGCTGCTGCAAGCAGTTACTGTGCAGCTGATAACAGTAAATGGTTATACCGTTGTTATCTACGGCTGTTATCGGCTCTGATTCGCGTTGGCCGAGGGCAACAACAAGCTTGTTAGTTTAAATGGCGTCAGTAGTAGCCACGTATGCCTCACGTAACCAGTAACGATTAACGGCAATCCCCGACGCAAAACTTGAAACAGAAGGACATGATCGTCTTTCCTTCTCCACCGGCGATAAACGATGACTGGAAACGAACATCAAACAAATATACGGAAGGAACACAGAGTAACAATGAAAGGACACTGTCATCGGGGAATAGAGCGTTTCTGGGAGGCCGAGCTTTCAACTGAAGCGAAAAAGCAGAGAACCCGTCACCCACTTTCACTAACTTTTCTATCACCGTCGACCGTTCCACTGCGGTCAGCTCCTGTGTCAAATGGAGCACAAATGGGGCACGAACGTGTATGATCCGCTGATAGTACGCGGATGGAAACCACCTCCGAGGAGCACTCGACAACAAACAGACGTACGCGTGCGCGTTCCAAAACGTATGCAGAATGATTCGTATATTACGGTGCAACTTATTTTAATTAAATCTTCATCTCAGGACTGACACACGACCGTCAGAGGTGTGAATAATTATGATTGCTACGTTATTTGTCGATGCTTTCTTTCTGAGGTCATTATAACAATGCCTGATAATTTGGTTCGATCTTGTGAATATCATGCATAATCAGCTACCAAGTTTCTCACAGCCAAAGTAGTACGGTCTTTACAAAGCTCTAAGTTTTTTTTGCTTGAGGAACATTGCTGTTAATTCGTTCTTTTCGTACTACTTTGAGATGCTTGTTGTAATGACTGTTTGCGAAATTCATTAAGGACGAACACTTGAAAGCTCATTTCCAACTTACATGGTTCTCGCACCGTGCAACGCTTGGACAGTATGTTGGGCAATAGAACCATTTGCAAACATGCTTAGCTTCCATGATCTTCTACTTGACATCTTTTCGTAGTGTGCGATAGAGAACGCAGTATCTCTGAAAAATTTGAGAAATTGAAGGAGGGCATATATTGGTCACGTATATATAGTTGACACGAACACGCATTTTTCGCAACGACAATAAATTAAGAATACTTGTCATAATTTTTTTTTGTTTATCTATTTTATAGGAATTACATGTCCTTTGTCTTCGATAGTGAGTTCGATAGGAATACATCCTGCATGCTATCATAAAAGCATGCTCGCTCCCTGTTAGGACGGTGCGTGCGAATCTTAGAACCGGAACTCCTCAGGCAAAGGAAATGGGATTGGCCTTGAGAGATGAGGTAACGGGAGGATACGTTTTTATTAAGTTACTGATGTTGTAATTTTTTTCCAGGAGGTGTAGAATAAATGCATTATGCAAAGCAAGCTTAACGAGTAAGGTATTTTTTAGATGCTGTTAAACTTTTACCCATTTAACCTCGACTCTTATGTCTTGATTCGAAACTTAGTTTGATATAAATTCAAATCAGAGCTTACAGGGACGATTAGTGGTACTAAAATATTACTTCATTATTTTCGTCGTAGTCTGTACTCTTGTTGGGTTTCCCCTCGCGTGACGAGCTAAGTCTCGAACGGGATTTTATTCTTGCTTTTCCACCGAAACAACTAAATAGCTGCGTTTTGCTTCCGCAACGTGTCAGTGGTTAGCAGACTCTCTAGCCTGATAGGATCGATTTACTGGTTCTGTTAGAACACCTTTTTTTTGTCGTTGCGGCGTCAATTTCTTAATTGCTCGTCACGCTGCAAATGTGTTCCCTCATGCTCGTTTTGGGCACAGCTGGCGTATTTATAGGTCTTGGGTCTCCTTTTTTTCTACCGCATCTTTTACCTTCTCAATGGCCGATGCTTCAGCGCGCTCCAGCCCGGGAATACAAGAGGAGCGTAAGCCGTTTCGTCCCTTTCTCCTTACGAGCAGTGTATGCAGCTACCCAATCGCATTAAAGTCGTTGAGATTCACTTGAATGCAGTAAGGTACACATTAAGAACGAATCTCAGCTAATATTATATATGTGGGACGTAACAGTAAGTTTTCTCCATTTTTTTCTTCCTCATTCTTGCTTTATGGTTTTATTTTACTTACTTATCTCCCTTCAAAGTTTCTTTTATATTTGTTTATGGCTGAGAAAGTGAATGTTTATCTCCACCAATACACATAGATACATTAATCTACCCTCGTGGTCATACCGTATGAAAAACATGCCATAATACGGTTGTCTTTACCTGTTCGTAATCAGACGGCTAGTCAGCGGTCAACGGAAAATGAGCACAAAGCTCTAGTACATTTCAAATATATTAATCATTACTGGAAAGTGAAAATGTCTTACCTTGTCGCAATTAAATCGTCACACACATTTTCACACCATTGATAAACGCTTTAATAAACTAAACCGAACAGTGAGAGCTAAATTAAGCCTCTAGTTATTAACGAGATCTCCAGCCGACCTTTATAAGAACCTAATAAAAACGAAACAATGACAAACCGAAGTAACAAATAGCACTTATGATATTCAGCACCTTAAAAGGTCTTCAACTAGCATTAATAAAGGTAATATCTTGTTAATCTTTTTCGTAAAGTATGATTGTCGAACATTTCCTCGCATTGAAATTTACTTTTTAACGGTTGCCTAGTTCATAAAAGATGCTCATTGAGCTAGCAAAGTAAATATGCATCACGTCTTAATTTAGCTATTAAGTTTCAAATGCAGGAAATTTGTTGTGATCGATATGTGTTAATTCAAAGCATCGCTATTTAAGAGAGGTACATGTATTTTTCGTGATAAAGTAGAAAATTGTTTGGGCAACGTCTTTATTATTAATAACAATATTTATTAAATAATATGATAGACATTTTGAAGAAAAGTATTTATTGTAAGCGCAGGACTGTTTTTGTTACCTACTGTAAACATCAACAATCCGCTTTTCTTATCGTCGCATGTCAGAGGCAGCGTTCTACCATTATGTTCCAGAGTAAGTAGTGCGTCAAATTTTAATAAACTTATATAATACTAAACGAATCTATTTTATTGCGTCATTCACACCTGTTTTCGCAGTTCGTGCTTTATCAGTGCTTGATGATATTAAACAACTGAAGCTTTCAACCACTGTGTTGCAAAAATTTTCTTTCCACAGGTTAAATGACATTCTATCTAATTGTTTATCGATTAACATAACAACTGAGTTGGATATTATTAAAAGCAGATCATATTTACTTAAACATACCCAGATCTCTGCTGATTAATGATTCTAAAAAAAAAGTGCTTCGCCTTGGCTGAACTCCTTCTTATTATTTATTGTCTTAGTTAAAGGAAGGCTGTTATACCTCGATGCTTTCGCCTTGCAATTGTAGAGATCGAGAAGTCTGGTATTAAAAGCATCCATGTAACTGCCAATCTTAGGATGTCTGGTAAGTTTATTTTTACATTGTTTCAATGTACCTATTAAAAGATTCGTTAATAGCATTGTTCTATACATATATATACATACATAATCTTCCGTTAATGCCTAGCAGCAAAGATTAAATGGTTTTCATAATTGCTTATGTACCATCTAACATGCTCGGTATAATCCAATTAAAAAAAAACCTGTTTTGTGATCATCGTACACAGTTTTTATGTACATCAAATGTTCTAATTAAACATATTGCAGCTAATCATACGTTTTGAGTTCAGTTAAAAAAGGATTGATATTAAGAAGATCTTTACATATATTTTTTAAGGCACCTGTATTGGTAGTATGCGCATCGAGCATTACGAGCGCGAATATCCATTATAGCCTTTACTTACGACGATGTATGTAAAGCTATTTGTGAAGATATTAATGAAGTTTTTTTTTATTATATTAATTATATGTTAATGATTATAACTATATACAAAGATATTAGTGAATTTTCTGTGAAGTTATTCCTAACAAATTAAAAGAGCGGTGGCAGCTAGTAATTTCGGTTATGCACCCTGAACTAGCGCCTGTGACCTTTCCCAGAGAATATACTTATTTTTAAAGCAAAATCTATTAAATATCTCAATGTCGTTAAAGGAATTGGCTGTTGTATTTTTTGTTGAAATAAGTATAATAGACTGGGAATAGTGCTAGGTCATTTATTATATTAAAATTCTTATGCATTTAAAATAGCAAGCCCGATAATAGCAAAAAACCATTAACCAATTACAGAATTTATACTCACTATTCTATAGGTGCTTTTCAAGTATTTCTCCTTCAGTAACTTGGATAAGGTTTAAAGAATTAAATTTTACCGAATCAAAACGCATATTCCCCAGTAAGATACCTGCCGAATGCTAAAAATCATAGCTCAGTGTTTTTTGCAGAAATAAAATTAGCGCTCATATACACCACTGATAAGGTTCGTTAAACTTACATATTTACATAATACTTGTTCATAAATGATAAAATACTTGCTCAAAATATTTCTCAATGTTAGTATGTTCTCCTGTAGTAAATTTTGTAAGTAAATTCTTTTACCTCATCCACACTCAAACATTTGATAGAATAGGCTGTTTATAGTATTATTCAGGGATACCCTACGCTACCTGATTAATAATTTCCTCCTTTTTAACATTATTTTGTTATTCGTTTGTTTACACATGCACAGGTATAAAGAATAAATAGAATAGAGGTGTCGGTTACCATCCTCCCAAAATACCGCAATATTTGTCATTTTAAGTGGTCCAGCCTCGGTTGAAATAGCCTTTACGCCGTTATATCGATAGCTAGCTTATGTTCGTAGCAGCTTTCCCAGGCGAGACGTGTATAGCGTTAGTATGGACAACCTTTTCCCTTCATAGCTCCAAGCTATACCTATGATTATATTATGGGAACAGTCACTCAGAACCGCTAATACTTCTGTAAATGGCCGCTTATGTATCGGGCGCAGTTTACAGTTATGATTTTCGTAAGGAGTTACATGAATATCGGGAGGACAGTGCAAGCTATTAGGTGATCGTCGCTTCTTAGAGCTTGGTCTTCATGAATCGGTCGAGTTGAGAGGGGTAGTCGTCTTCCCAGTTCCCTGAACTCTCACGGGGGATTCTGTCAAGTGTTATAAAAAAAAAAAATAAATTGTACTCTATGAAGAATTCAGCCTTCGTTATTTAGAGAATCAATATTATGACCCGAGCAATCCAGAGGAAAAGTAAAATTCAAGGAAAAATGTTGAATTTAGGAAAAATAAAAAATATACAGGACCTAGAGTTACGCCTTGATCCTAACTGGCTTTTCCCTAGCAGATTGTAATCGTCTAGTTTATTATACACTTTTAATACAAACTTGCTGTTCAAACCGTAAAGAAGGTAATGCCTTCTTTTTTAGTCAATAGATAAATAGGCTCCGTACTTACGGAATATGATGCTCGTGTATTCTAGATTAGCAAACATTTTCCAGTCGGATTCACCATTCGATATGAGAACCTACGTGATAACGTTGCAGCGCTTAACTCCTGTGAAAAAAGTTTTCATAAAAAATGTTTTGCGTGAACGTCTAAATGCAAACATGCGACTTATGCAGACCTGGTTTATGACGAAGTATTCTAAATAAACTCCTCCTTAGTTAATAATAATTTTTGTCAGACGAACGTAACAGGCGCTTTCTGGATATTGATTGTGTTCAAGAAGGTTACGAATACCTCCAGAATCGTAACAGATATGTGTCGCAGGCATGATTGTGGGTGTCTTCGAGTTATAATGTATTTTAATTAATCAAAGACGTTTAAGTAATCAAAATATATTGGTTTTCCAGGTCTCGGAACAGCAACAGGTATTTCAGAAGACCCTGCCGTCCAAAGGAACTCTCGTGGAGTTATGGTGTTTCAGAAGCGCAAAATCGAGAATAAGACGAACCGACTCCTTTCGAATCTTTCTTTCAACGAATCGAATTCTTTCTAGCGATGATTTTCCTGTCATATGCAAGAGTGCAAGTTGAACAGAATAAGGTTTAAATAAGCACCTGAAGTGTACAAATGCCAAAGATAGTTTTAATCCACTCATGTTTAGTGAATTCCACCATAAGTTCAACTTGAGATTTTAGAATATAGAAGAAATATTGGCTTTTTTTCAAAGAAAGTAATTGGAATCAAGATCAGAAATGATTGTGTAAAGGTTGTATAATTGCCCAGTATGTTAAGGTACGATTTAACCCAGCGCCATGATGGTTGCTCCAGTTTTAGACGTTTTGAAATGCTTATACTAGGAAAAGTTATTGAAGTTTGAATTTTTAAGTAATGTCAAACCTTAGCAATCAGCTTTACAGTTTTACAAGTAATTTGATTGACGTCTGCCTTTATTTTTTATACATGTTATTATAACTGATATATTTTTACGATGACATGAATTAAAACACCATGATAAATATACGTATCGCACCTTTGTAGGGCATTTATTTTTTATGTTTAAAAAACCACTGAGCAACTATAACTCTAGCTTTAAAAAACACTGAATCAAAGAAATCTCAAACAGCCTGATTTGCCACTGGACCATCCCTCATGTTAAGAATTCAGTAGCTCTGAGATATATTGTACATTTCAGGATGACACAGCTTCCTCCGTGTACTATCCTGTATTATCCTCAAGATCAAGCATGTTACTGCTTTACAAACGAGAGAAAATACGGTGCACGTAATTACTCGATAAAATCAAAAAAGTACACTATACATTTCAAGCAGTTACGCAGCATATGTGGAGTGTCTGAGAGTTTTTTGTAAGGCTCTAAGCTACGGTCTTGTTTCACCGCAATCGAGAGGCCTGCAAAAGAATTGTGGTATTTCAACGCTGGTAATCATAGTTTTGCCATCGTCAAAATGTTGGGCTGCTGGCCACTGAATCGCTAAGGTTGGAGGCCTTTTATTCACATCATGAGAATTTCGCTGGCAATGGGTGCATCTTTCTTAACCAACGAAGATTGTTAAAAAAAAAGAAACATCTTAAATATTGAGGTAGATTTTCTTAGTGCCTATTCAAGTAACGCTGTTTTACTGTATCAATCACCGTACCGTACAGTAGCAAGATACGCATAATTTGAAGTTTCGCATAATGCTAACGAATTCCGGACAAAATGTGTGCGATCGACTCATAAATGTTTGTCTCAATCACATTAACGTGTTTTTTTTTTTGCAACAAATACTATGTGTAGTGATCAGGAAAAGCAAGACACTCTGGGTAGCTACCAGAGGTTAACCTGAACCTTTTCAAGAGACATTTTCAACCTGTACGATACCTTGTACGTTTGTTGAGATGCAATCGGCCACGAAATTTTTAGGCTTTCATTTTATCAATCTTGCTCAAGACTCACACTATTATTATTATTAGAGCGCTATTTCGTAACACTAACGATAGTGATGTATGAAATGTGTTCTAGCGCAAATATTTTGTTGTAATTTCTTGGTACGAATTTAACAAACAAAGGAAATCATACAAAGTAAATCGTTGTAAAGTGAGAATAAGCAAACACAAGTAAGAAGGAGCTAGATTATTGCGCACTGCGTTTGCACAAGGCGTCCCGTTTATTATAATATTGGCTCGTCGAAAAAGTACTGTCCGTATTTCAAGCTATATGGTGGTAGAATCACATATTACAAATAATATGAGTCGTACCTTGTGGCCACCTTATTAGAAAGGCTGAGAGCTGACAGAAATAGATGTGCTATAGTTGTTGAAGTGTTTTTTTTTACATTTAAAATAAGCCACTTTAATGATGAGTAAGTTATCTGCGAAAATCCGCTAAATTTACGAGCTTTATAACGGTAAAAACAGAAATGCTGTTCAGGCCCATTAAAAAAATCTATGCTGTTGATGGCCAAGATGCATCGCTGGGAGAAACGGTCAGGGGAGTTTCTGGAGATTTCGATGTAGAAGATGCTCTCCGTAATGATCAACCTATTAGTGAAAAAGTTATTGAAATGATTGCTTCACTGTCAACAACTAACAATATTATTACAAGCCATTAAAAAAGTCAAATGGAATTGGTGAACAGAAAAGGCGTGGACCTCCAACATGACGATGTTAGACCACATACATCTTTAGTGATTCGACAAAATTAAAAGAACCTAAGTGGGATATGTTAATGCATCTGCCGTATAGCCCGGATATGTGTACCATCATGCTATCATCTGTTTCGGTCTCAGCAGAGCTCTCTTAATTGTATTAATTTATTTTCAACGAAGGCATGCAAAAATCACTTTCCACGATCTTTCGCTCAGAAACCGCAGGAGTTATACAGTGATGTTTAATGATATTGCTTGAAAAATAGCAGAAAATTGTCGATTCAATATTATGCATATCTAGTTTAGTAATACTATTTTAAAATAGAAAACATATATATGCTTCGATTTTAGCTTAAAAACTCAATTCATTTTTAGTGAATCTATTTATTATAAAATCATACTCATTAAATGAGTGGCTCGGCAGTAAAAACGGCCTATTTTTTTCATTTTTTACTACACAATACATGATGTGTGGTATATAATAATGTTAATTCTTTTTAAGGCAAAAGCCTGAGGTGTTTTAAAGGACGCAAATCCATGAACGTTATGCAACCATAGAGGACACTAAAATTGTATTAGTTAAGCGCCTTCATAATGCTAAAAAGCATTTTGTCTAATTTAATTTTAAAGTCTTAAGCGAACATTGGGGGAATCAAAGTGATATGTATACTACGTGTTAGAAATAGTCCAGTGTTAGATTAAATAAAGAACGCAGCGCACAAAACTATCGGGTGGGAATTTAGGTTCGACTCTTTGTTTCGCTCGGTATGGTCACTTCAATAGTTGAATGGCAATTGCTGCAGCGTAAGCCGCCCGCTGTTTACTTTGTCTCTTGACGTCAGGTCTTGCCATTACCATTACGCATACTACTTTTCTACCCTCGGTTTTCTCTAGTTCTTCTCCCTCTAACACACAAGAAACGTGCTCTTCTCATTTCTACCATTGAATGCGTAGTGTAATAGTTCTGTCAATCTTACGTTACAACTGGTCTTTCATGTATGCGTTAGTAGGTCCATTAATAATGAATAGCGAATTATTAGAATCCTTGGAATGGTCTTTATAACCTGCTTGCTGGAAAAGTTAGTTTTGATATATTTTACACGATATCGTTTAGGTGAGGTAGATGCTGTTTCCTTTGTTTGAGCTTAGACATCCATCCGATGTCCTTTTTAAGTAAAACGTAATCTTGAGAAAGTAGGAGGTGAGAGTTTTTCTGACTATAATCTAAGTTTCATTTACTTACTTTAGAGCAGGCCAAATAATAACTTAAGGTCTGTTACACTGAGGTATGAACCCAAACTTTACTTCTTCTTGACTTTCTAAAGTCAAGGGTTGTTTTAGGCATAAAGAGGCTGATGTGGTACGAAAACGGCGCCTTCGTTGTTTGCATTACGAAGTTGCAATCTGTTATAGCATTTCGTAAGCCTTAACGGATCATATCTTGTGAAAAGCTTTTAAAAACGTTCTGTAAACTCCTTCGTAATATAAAGTAATAATTTTCTAGATTTTGTTTGTTTTAGTACCCAGGCCGCTTAACGCGTACTGCTTACATTTGAATAATAAACGTTTTTACGAGTTTTATGTTCTGTACTTCCGTTAGATGTCGCTTCAAACTGCTTTCCTTGACTAACATCCGTCGCCACTCAGGTTTCGTCGGCGAAGCGGGATAAGACTGTACACAAGACAACTTTGTAATAGAATCCTTCTCCCTGAGCCTGAAGTCGGAGGCTCCGAGATATCTTCCCAAATTACCTTTTATTCACACATATCATAATTTATTCTGACAACTAATCATCAATAGATTTGTAGGACTACAACGATTTCAACTTCGGCCACCTGTACGTGTCGTAAAATTATTTTTTGGCGCCTTACAACGCTTATATTGATGCTACTGGCTTGCAAACGACAGCAAATTAGTGACACTGCTCTAATTAATTACAGACCTTCGAAGTACTGTGAAACACAGTAAATGGACAGAAAAAACAAGCCTGCAAAGCGCTCGGAATAAGTGGCAAGCCATAAGCGCATTCTCTCGAATTGTGTAAAACATTATTAGCACGCTTCAAGCATTCGATAATGGTCCGTTTTTTACGTTTTCGCAACAGGCTCCTATGGCGAAACGTTCACCAAGTCCACGCAAATGCAAGTAAGTTCGCGCAGTTTCTCGAACAATCGGAAACATTTTGTGCCGCTGCAAAGGCCCGTCGGAATTGTCTGGTACTGGTATGAAGTTTTTATGCCAGCCGTCTAGAAATCTATTGCGCATTTTCACGAGTGCTGGCATATCGCTGAAGTGTTAACAAAATTTGAAAAACGAATTTATCTACGGCATTTACAGGTTTCGTATGTATGAATTCGAGATCAATTTCGAGCGGCGACAGCGGGCCAGAGCCCGCTAAAGGACTAGTTTCGATTCTGACAGGCCGCCGGATGGCCGCACAAAGCAATTGAGCAGATGCATCCGTGCGAGTAAGCGCGACCTAGGCGGACAACCATTTAGTGTAGAAAACTACGGCTACTAGTACTGCGAAGAAACTGTGTCGTGTACGATTGCCTCTTCCTTGAGTGCGTGAGCGTTTCGTAGAAACTGTGCGCCGAAAGACTGAGCGTTGCCAGTGGGCAATAGCGTGCATTTTTGTTATTATTGTACTTAGATATCGTGTCTTTATACATTATAGTGCATTACCAGTCGTGAGTTGAAGGCGGCGACGACGACAGCAAGAACAACACGATGTCGGTGATTGGTATCGACTTCGGTAATGAAAACTGCTTCATCGCAGTGGCGCGTGCCGGTGGAATTGAGACGATAGCCAATGAGTATTCGCAACGAGTGACACCGTAAGTAGATCACAGCTCACCCACGGCGTAGAGGATCTATAGACACGCATTGACTCTCCATACAGTCTTCAGCACTGGCTCCGAGTAGCCTAAACCATTATCCCAACAGATATTAGTCATGAAGTACCGAAGTAGGAAGTTTGAACTTGCAACACACCGATGCTGGTTGACCCATAACAGAAACCCACTGAACAGAACTATTTGCTCAATATTCGAGATAGTTCTGCGTTGATTGGCTTCATTTCGTTTGATGAGGGACGAAAATGTATGATGTAGCAGAGGTATATAGAAAGACAGCAGTAGCACGCTGTATGGATGCATTCATAGTTGCAGTACAATAGTGGATAAATGAATTGGTAATAGTTGTATTTTTAATAATAGTATTCTATGTCTTGGTTTTGTGAAGGAGATGGGAGCATTCTGTATCTCCTACAGCATTTTAATGAATAGGGGTGTAAGACAGCACATGGGTGTTGAACTGGTAGCCATCATAGTTTCTTGTAATGGAAACATTGGCCCCGTCGCCGGAATTGCGACAAGTCTGGCAGACAATAAATTCATGACAAGACCTTTATTGGTTTCTGTGTTCTGCCCGCATGCAAGGACTAAAGAGGAAAATTCTGGATAAATATTTGTTTTATCATAATGCTGACATCGTGTCATGGTAAATTGTCATTACCTTCATTTCAGTATCTAAAGATGACTACATAAAATCGGACATCGTAGACATATTTGGAAACGTTTTTTTTTTCTTTATTTTTACAACTTTATTGCACTGTATTCGTTTAAAATTGTGTATAATGCAAAGATGCATACATTTGTTTTTTCTGCTCATTGGAAACGGACCTGCTTCAAATAACCTTAAATAGTATCAATGGAGCGGTTATAATGTATATGTGAATATATATGTGCGTTTCTTCCTCTGATCAGTGATTGGATGTACGTATTTAGGCGAAAACGCAAAATCGAAACGCTTTTGGCTGGCTTCCACAATTATTACGGTTTTTCATATGGACTAAGAATTCCTTTAGTCGAAGCAACGACCACATCTGCGCAGCTAACAACCTTGACAAGGCCAACAATCGGGCCTTATTGGACAGTTTGGAGTGTCGCACACTGTACGGAGCTAAGTAGTGTGCCACCAAGGATCATCATTGCATAGCATCAGGAGTTTTACGTAGGATTTGTGACGACTGCTGTGTTTGGCGGATCTGTGCGCGGATGTTTCTTGGACTGTGGTTCTTAATTCTCGTTTGTCCGCCTGGTGTCACTGGTGTTCAGCTTTGTGATAGGCCGTACTTTTATATATGGATAGACCTAGATGGGTCCGCTATGTGTAAACCCCTTTCAGCCCTATAGCTAAATACGGCTGCGATATGCGTTGTTCCATTCTGCATTGTTCGCTCTGCCATATCCATTTAATCAGACAGTTTAGAAAGAACTACGCTTTAATCTGTCGGCTCCGGCGTACTGTGCGGGATAGCGTGGATGACAATGTGGATATGATTTGGCACTCGATCCATATCGTACTGTATAGGTAATACATAAGAGCACAGTGCGACGTCAACCTACTGGCTGACAGGCCATCGGCTCAAAGCGGAACAGTTAGACCATTGTACTAGTATGGCTTAAAGCAAAGACCAATAGGGGCTAGTTAGACATATTCTGCGGATAGACATCGCTGCCCATAGAAATGTTGCGGCTGTTGCGTGGGTGGCAACTTTCAGTCGTTCACCGACACTACCGCCGCCATCATCATTCTTGTGCGCGTACTGTTTGTTTTACAGCACCTGCTGATAGCCTTTCTCGCGAGATCTGTTCGTTGTTAATCAGGAAAACCCTTCCATCATCATTTATCTCCTTCTATATATGTCACATTTCCTTGAATTATTCACGTTAATTATAGTGATAAGATTTTACTGAGGTATCAAAAGGTGACAACTGTTATCTCAGGGTTTACTGTTACCGTTGTTACTGGCAATACTAATCTGAAAATTAAATCTGGATTAGTCTTATTTACCTTTATTTATACAGATTCATAATAAAAATTAAAACTAGCGCATTTGCAGAATCAAAAACTACTCGTGTATCGTGATTAAGACCATAGATGTGTATCCCAATTCAGCTCAAGGTCAAAACAGGCTGCATTTCCCGTTAGGCAATCTGAGAGTCCTTGTTTCAGAGATTTCAGAGATTGTTGTCTTCATCTTTCTTATGATTATGAGATTAACATTCTTGGACGGTTGTCGAGGTTAAATTAATGCAAAATATTTATTGCAGATTATATAAAACCTTTTCAGAATAAGCTTCTAAATACGTAGCGAACTTATGAACTCAGTTTTCTGAGTAAATACTAATATTTGTATATGATTTTATGCAACTAAAATTCTACATAATCCTGTTGAGTAAGAAAAAGCCTGATTTTTATTTACATATCAAAGAAAGCAAGATTAGTGCAAAACTCAAAATTGCATGCCGCTGAAAGAGAAGGATGTTAGTTTAAACTAAGCTTGATGAAGAAATTTTGTGTGTCGAAAAGTTTTTTCGAGAGAAATTGCCGTATTTTCTTATGCAATCAGTAGTACTGCGGTAGTGTTCAATAAATCTACATGGTTTTCGAAGGATTTACACTAAAGCCACTGTTATCCAACATCTATTTGCATACGTGTCACACCGTTGGTATCGATTATAAATATAGCCGGAGGGTGTGGCAACCGCAGCTGACACTATTAGGAAAGAAAAGAAGAGAATATAATACTTGCATATGCATAAATGGGAAAATACAACGTTAGCATGATTATTTGACATGCTTTGTTTGATTTTTCAGGTCGTACGTGGCCTTTGGAGAGCGGCAACGAGACCTCGGAGTTTCGGCTAAGAACAAGCAGAACACGAACCTGAAATCAACGATTTATGGATTCAAGCGTTTTGTTGGTCGAAAGTGCGTACTTGTACATTATAAAACAAAGGCAGCATGGAAAGCCATAGTTCAGTCAGTGTTCACCCTATGACAACTTGTCGAGAAGGCCAAGTATCAGATATGAATAATGTTGTTTCCCACTAATTACTAGTTTATATTGTATGTGATGTGAGATAAGCGTATGTGCCTATTTCTTTGGGTCTTCTCCTTAACGGGTTGGCTGTATCTGAACAGCGATGCTTATGTTTGTAATATGAGTCAGCAGAGATTTCTGGCCTCCTCTGCTGCTGATATTACAGCTGCTAGTTACGCCACGCAGACATAATGACTACCCTACCTTTTGCTAAGGTTGGTCGCATGAGTTCCTTGAGGCGGAGGAAGAAAAGTTTTCCCAAATAAGCAAAAAGCCAGTACTTATATCCTACAGATGATGGTAGCAAAATACAAAAAAAAGGGAATATTGCTTTTGTGCATAGGTATATCTCCGTTAAATATGTAAAAAAAAAAAATAAAATAGTCTCAAATTGCTAATGCCTGAGAGGACTGAATACGTTTGAATCTAGATATTGCAGCGATGTGGTGTCAAATTCGTCAAAGGACACCTGCTTGATTGTAGTGGTCGAATGCCGGATAACTCGAATCTATTTCAACCTTTATTTTTTTTTTTATTTTACTTCAATTTTGTTTCAATAGAATTCAGGATCCGGCGGTCGACCAGGAACGTGCGCATCTTCCATATCAGCTAATAGAGATGCCCGATGGAGAGGTAGGAATACATCAACAACTACAAATACGCTTGTACAAAAATGGTTTTAAAATATCTTTTTAGATGCAAGAAATAAATGATAAACTAAGATCTGCTATAATTCACTGGCTCAAGGAAACGGGATTCGATAATCGACAACTCCATAATTTCACCAATTGTTAAGTAATCGACGGCAGTCAATCGTCTACGCAGATTCGAGTCTCGATGAATTAGGCAATAACTGAAGTCATGCTATAAGTGACATGTACATTTTGGTGTGGCTAGACGTATTTTTTCTGTCAAATATATGCAAACACGTTTGATGCAGTGAGTTTTCATGGATTTGTGTCCCAGTGGCGTTTGCTTTATACTGTGGATTCAAAAACTATTATTTTTGGTAGCAAATACGTCTGCACCTGATGATTTGTAAAACTCCCTAATTCTCAACATTCGTAAACCAGTCAAATAGTGGGCGACTGCCAGTCATTCAGCCCTGCATAGACCCACTTCTTCAAGTTCATAATCAAGTAACGCGTTGTGGTAACTGTTCCGTTTATATTTACAGGTTGGCGTGAGTGTGCGATATTGCAATCAGGAGAAACAGTTTTCGAGTCGTCAAATAACCGCAATGCTTTTCACGAAGTTGAAGATCATTGCCGAGGCAGCACTCAAAATCAAGGTCGATGACTCGGGCAGTATTTTGGGGCTATCTTGGAGTATCGGGAACCAATACTGTCACATATTGGCAAATATATATCTTACTATTATTTAAAAATTATTATAAATTTCAGAATAATAAATTAATTAATATAATATAATGAGAAGTCATCCTTAGCGGTTGGTGTCTGATCTCTCGACGAATACACAATTAAAAATGCCAGGGTAAATAAATTGGTTGTGATCTCTACCGCGCAGATCGTTTTCTTAGCATGAAAACGCCATCGCGAGCTTTGCCAACCATGGGTCTATAAGGTGGCGAGAAAATTTTTAATCTAATATGGTGAACATCGGTAGCAAAAAATACTAACGTGTGATTAAATTTTTCTTCCAACTATTTAACAGGTGTGCGACTGTGTCATCTCGGTGCCGCTCTTCTTCAACGACGCAGAGCGTCGTGCGGTCCTGGACGCGGCTCGTATTGGCGGGCTCAATTGTCTCAAGCTAATGAACGAGACTACAGCGGTTGCCCTCAGTTACGGTTTTTACAAAAACGATCTTCCCGAAGACAAAATGCGTCTGATCGCATTCGTGGATATGGGACATTCCGCTCTACAGGTATAATGTCCTAAAACAATGACTTTGTACGATAAGGCAATCATCGTCGAAACTAAACCTATTACTTTTCGTCCTTGCATAGTTTTCTGTATATTTAGCTCGCACGGAAACAACTGAAACAGCAGGAATCAATTTGTATGATGTGATTATTTGTCGAATTTGATGTAACAATAGAACATTGGGTATGCATCCTAATGACGATGGCCAATCACGGACTCGTCTTTAATTTGCCATCAAAGACGTTCTCGCATGCGCACTTCTGAACCTGGGTTTCCGAAGCAATGGGAATTTTTCTAACGTAATTTCATTGCTTACTTGTTTCTTGTTTATCATTAAGGCGTCGATCGTAGGATTTAGTAAGGATAAACTGAAGATGCTATCTTGTGAGACTGGTATTATTGGTGGACGCGACTTCGACCAAGTGCTCGTCGATTATTTCTCTGATGATTTCAAGATAAGATACAAGCTAGACGTCAAATCGAACAAGCGCGCCCTTATTCGATTGTACACTGAATGTGAAAAGTTGAAGAAGCAAATGTCGTCGATTGCACTTGAGCTGCCGCTTAATATTGAATGCTTCATGGAGGACAAGGACGTATCTGGCAAGATGAGTCGGGACACATTTGAAGAACTTGCGGCACCTTTCCTAGAAGTAAAATATTAGTTCTTTACCTTCATTTTATCTTATTTGTCATTTTGTTTGAACGACAAACTCTCTAGTAGTAAAAACCTAGCTACCACTAAAATTTGAATTTATGTTAACTCATTTCTTTATATCATTAGACATTGTAAATGGTTAAGATACTTTTGTATACGTACTATATGTGGCCTGCATTACCAATTAGTTTACCTCTTAATCTTTTCATGTTGACTTCAGAAAGTCGAATCGGTCCTAGAAAAAGCAATTGAAAATTGCCCCCCGGTAGTTGAAGGCAAACCCGTCACTCCGAAGGACATCGAAAGTGTTGAAATCGTAGGCGGCAGTTCTCGTATCCCAGCCGTGAAAGCCCTTGTGAAAAAGGTACCGGCCTTTTTGTGCAGTCTGCATCTTTTTTCTGGTGGAATCAATGAGTGCATGTAGCAGAACAATATGTAGGATCATAGTGATATTAATAATGGTAAAAGCTTTAAATGCTGTGTTTTCGGGTAACAGTGAGTGGTGATATATTTTCTCTATTGAGTTCTAGGCCTGCATCAACGATTGCTTTATTTACTATATTACTATTTAATTTGGTGTTGCAGGTATTCGGCCGTGAGCCGTCGACCACATTGAATGCTGACGAGGCAGTTTCTCGTGGGTGCGCATTACAGTGCGCTATGCTGTCACCAACATTTAAGGTGAAGGACTTCTCACTGACCGATTTACAACCGTACCCAATCATGGTCCGAATTATGCCGCAAGTGAATGCCAACAAACCAAACGAATATGACGTTTTCCCTCGATTCCACCAAGCTCCCTTCTCCCGGGTTCTCTCTATTTATCGGCGAGAGCCATTTACGGTGAGCGCGCGTGTTTTATAAAGCAACAACCAAATTAGCAAGCAACAAGCATTCGAGTGACAGTAGCATTGCTAGTAATATAGATCAACGTGTGATCACTAATTTACGTACCTGGGTTTCTACTATAAAAATTGGGTGCTCATAGGGAAGTGGCAGACACAATGTCTATAACCCAAATAACTAGAGTATGTGTGGTATTTTACATAAAATGTTTGCATATTTAAACTGCACACTATGCATAGAAGAGTACTATATAACAATTCAGTAGCTGATGATGTAACTGAACAGCAACAAGTTTACAGACTTAGATTACAGATAGGTCCCAGATACAAGGTTCAACAATCGTTGTTCATGCATGTTTATCGTATTCTATCTAACAATGTTTGACTTGGCTTGTGTAGGTGGAAGCATTCTACCGCGACGAGACTCCTTTCGCGGATAAACGGATCGGCGTCTTTTCTGTCGACGTCAAACCAACAAACCCAGAGCCCTCAGAAGACGATAAAGTTAAGGTGAAAGTTCGCATTAATTTGCACGGTGTGTTTAGCGTCGTATCTGCCACACTTATCGAGAAATCGGACGAGCCACCAAAGGAAATGGAAGCCGGCGAAACCGACCAGAGGCAAAATGATAACACCGGCGCTCCTACTGAAATGGAAACTGATCAACTAAAAGATCCCAAAGAGAAAGACGCAGCTACAACGAAGCGAAGGACAAAGCAAACCGAAATGCCGGTTGGGGCACCATTTGCCACAAAGGCTCAGGCCGAAGTTACCAACTTGTACAACATTGAGCAAGGTATGGTGGTTGCTGATATTACCGAGCAGGAGCGCCAAGATGCCAAGAACGCTGTGGAAGAGTACGTCTATGATATGCGCGACAAGCTGGCCGACAAACTTGCTATGTACTCCGCTGAGGAAGAGCGTGGCAAGCTCTCCGTGGAGCTACGAGAAACCGAGGATTGGCTTTATGGCGACGGTGAGGACCTTGACAAGAAAGCATATATAGAGCGCTTAGATCGGTTACATTCGCTTGGTCAGCCAATCGTTGAGCGCTATCGAGAGGCACAACAGCGACCTCGTGTTCTTGAAGATATTGGCGCTCTGCTTAACCGTGTACGGAAGGGTGTTGCTGCTTATCGTGCAGGGGACGAAAATTATGCACATTTAGCGTTAGACGACATTAACCGACTAGATGGACAGCTCACAACAAAACAGAGTTGGTTCGATGAAGTCGTAGGCAAGCTGAATAACACCCCTCCTCATTGCCCACCGCCAGTCTTTGTTACACAGCTGCGCGAAGAGAGTGCTGCCTTCGATCGGATGGCCAGCCAAGTCCTGAACAAGCCGAAGCCCGCACCACCAGTTGTCGAACCACCAAAGTCTACTTCTCCAACACCTGGTGGCAAAAAAGATGATAAAGTCGAGCCAATGAACACCGACGACAACCCGGTACCACAACCCAATACAGCTGATAATAGTAAGCCAGGACAGTCCCAGCAGAAGCCACAGGGCCCTCTGTCTGGAGCCGGCACCGACGAACCTAAACAGGCGCCGCCATCGTCCAGCCAGAACGGAAATGCTGCCGACACAAACATGGAAATCGAGTAGGAAAGCAGAAGCGAAAAAAGCAAGTTTGAGAAAATAAGCAACGTGAGACATTACTCACAGCGGAGACAGGTGGTATCAGCATTGCCACCATCTGCATCCGCCATGTCACCTCCTTTTCCTTTCACTTTTACTTTACTACTTCGCTTGAATCAATTTATTCATTTTTACTTGACCCTCAGTGCATAGTCTATTATAACCATCCTCATCATTAACGTAACTGGCAGTATGTAACTACGGAAGCCCACCGTTCCTGTGTGATGCTTTGCCAGCGCAAGTGATCCAAATATAAGATCTTTTGTAATGTTTGTATGATAACTTCATGCCGGCAGTATCTGTGATAATAAACTATTGCGTACTCAGTTGTCGGCGAAAGTGTGCTGTCAATTGGGGGCGAAATAAGCAACTGTAGTTTCTCTCCACGCCCGCTGCTTAAGATAGCTAAATGCTGTTTCACATCTTCCTTCCCCAGAGTCGCCGCCATGATCGATGGTGCACTTTTGTGCTAAATACGTGTCCATGATAAACATATTCTTGAACGAAAAATCTTCATTAAACAGCTGTTACTAGCAGCGGGCGTAAAGAAAAATCAGTTGCGCATTTCGTCCCCAGCTGGCAACAGATATTTCCTCCAACGACGATCTACAGTAATAATACTGCAATAATGGTAGTATTGTTATTACAGATACTGCCGGCATAAAGATGTCATACAAATATACTATGGAAACGATCTTTGTTTTGTTTGGATTTGGATCGTTTGCGCGGGCAAAGCATCACAGGGAAACGGTGGGCTTCCGCAATAAGGACTGTAACAACTGTCAATTAATTAATGTTAATGATAAGGATAGTTATAATGACAAGCACCGTGCACTGAGGGTCAAATGACAGAAATGAATAAATTGATGTAATCTAAGTAGCAGAGTAAAAGTGAGAGAAGCCGGTGACACAGCGAACACAAATGGTGACAGTGCTGATCAGGTGATGAAGAGAGAAATTAAGAAAAATATGAAGTAGGTAATGGAAAGACGCCCGAGTATATATATATATATATATATATATATATATATATATATATATTATATATGAAAGGATACATATGCACTTCTCCTTAGTAAACAAGTGAAAGTAAGTGAGAACGAAGGAGACGTAGAATCGGTAGCGGATTATGTTACATTCAGGCGAATTTCTGAACAAGAAGACTTGTCTAATGGAATCAAGGGGGCATTTGATGCAAAAAATACTAGATACAAAAAACCAAGCTGCAGGCAACTTCAACTTATGATGCGTCAGGGGTTGGTGGTACATTAATACTAACAACGTAATAAAACGAATATTTAAAAAGGGCAAAGATACTAAAGGACACCTTAGAGAGCGAGCCAAGCTATTTTTTGTTTTTCTCCAGTTACTACCAGCCGCGTGATTTCGGTCTATGTTTATATAGAATATTGTTATAAGCGTAAGGCAAAGGGATTTGCAAAAAGAAGAGCTTGCTTCATCTAGTTATGGTTAAGAAACAGTACCAGGCTATTCTGCCATACACTAATGGTAGTTACTTTGTGATTATTACGAGGTAAACAATGATAGAAAGGCCGTAACGAGTTTATGATGTAACAAAAAAAAGCGGTATGTGCTCCTTCTGTTCTTTACGTCGAAATATATAAACGGCAGTGCACTCAATAGACGACGCAACCTACCAAAAATGCATTTCGGGAAAATTTTTGTATCTGAGCGGAAACCATCACCTCCGCCGAATTCCAAATTCTAAAGGTTCATTCACTCTAAGTAGGCCATAACATCCAATTCCTCCTCCGATTTCACATCAGAGGACAAAACATGATTGAAACTAAGCATGAGGCATCTCCGCGTAGACATTTCGAGTTCATATTTCCTATTTCATTAAACGCATTAAGTAACGGCGATGATACCCGTGCTGAATTTGTTTTAGCTGCGGTCTCTGGCTCGCTCTAGTACCTTCTAGTAGCCGTTGTGGCAGCATCTGTAATTGAAGGCAAAGATTGATATCGTTGTTTAGTTAGTAATAACATCAATAATTGCGTCTTTCGCGTAAGGGTATTTGGCGAGAAGTGGGTTGACCAACAAATATATATGGAGGTATGACGAAGGTTAAATGGCGTAAATGCGTATCCTAGTGGAGCACCACCGATCTTTATTTTGGGGGTGTAGTTAAAATGGTTTCCTATGGTAGTTTCCGCAGTGTTGCCTGCCGACTTGTCCAGGAAGATACCATGGAGAATCCAATAGCGTCACTATTATCGATTACCAAAAACAAAATCACACGATGTTAAAACTGGATTTTTGGCTGTAAAGGTCAGACGAAACTATGGAGGAAGCTCTGATAATGTTGCTCTCAGATCACACGGAGGGACACGCTTCAGGCGCCTATTTCTGCGACTGCTAAAATAATCCTTTCTAAAAATAAAGTTCTCGCTCTGACCAAATGGCCATAGGCTTCTGGACAAAGCGAATATTTTTTACTAGGTATACGTAAGTGGATTTAACTGAAGCCACTGCTTAATTAGAGGAACGATACAGAATACTTGTTAAGGCGTAATATCTTTAAAGCAGAATTAAAGTTAAATGTTCTAAACCACTTCATTCTATTCGAAGTGGTGTCGCATCGAAACCACACTTTCACGTAAACCATCTTATTAAAGCAATGTCATACATTCCTTAACGCCATTACGCTGCAATTTAGACATTTTCGTAAGGAATAAGTAAACAATAACAAGTTTAGTATATATGGAAAGCCCAATTTGACCTCCTATCGAAAGCTGCACATAGCATTCAAATATTTTTACAAGTTCGCATACAGAAATTCATCAGGGTGTGCTTAAGCTATTTTAATTCTGTGGTAAATCGCACGCGCACCGTAAGAAACGCGTAGACTCTCGTTGCTTCTGGAAATTCTATGCTGCTTTTTTGATAGATTATTTTTTTAAATTTGAATACTAGATTATTCTCTTCTACAAACCGTAACTTTGTTTGTTGCACTGTATGTTGACGATGACTATTATAGCAGACTTGTCCACCGGGACTAGCGTCATCTACTAACCTATTGTAAATTTGTACGTTATCTTTGGTAGAAGCATATGTCGTTTTATTCTGCATTCTACATACGTTGATAGACAGGCAAAGAATAGGAGGGTATATAAGATCGGTAAAAAGTTTTATTTACAATTTTCACTAAGAACGATAAAAATCTTAGTCACATTGAAAAAGCGAAAACGTGACGCCATTTTCAGATGTACAAATGTCCAGCCCAAATTTTAACATTTAGAAACCTGGAAGCTATGGAATGCATTAGTACACTAACGGGCTCTTATTTTCAAAACCTAAGATTTATGGGTCTATATATGTATTACCATTAACAGTACGCGGCCATTCCACACAAAGCATACCTCAAATTATGGGAAATATATTTTCAAATAGTATAGAACTCTTGCAGAAGTGAATGTTTTAAGAAAGTTACATATAAGACTACTTACATAATAATGAAAAGAGTAGATTCGCACAAGAAATCAGAATAGAAGCTAACCTAGATGATATCCTTGCGGTATTTTTTCCAATTATCTCCCAAACGAACTAAACTTATCGTTTATTATGATTATTTTGTTAGTTTCAATTATTTTCAGGGAGCTAACATATATTATTAGGTCTGCAGCGTTGATTGTTGTAGATTAAATGATAGAGTCAGGTGCTACTAACACCACGCAACTCGCACGTATATTTTAGAATAGAATGGTCTATAGCTGCATGACTGTTGAACATAGTGCTTGTAGAAGACTTAGCAGAGCTCCGGAGGGTTCTTTTGTAGTAAGTAAGCTACCGCGAGTAATATAAGTTATCTTGAGGTTTTGTGTTTCGGCAATCGCTGGGAAGGTTATTCGATGCAGCATGTAGTTTCTGAAAAAAAAGCCGCTCTAATTTTTCCACACATTGGAAATGTACTCTTATATGATCATATAGCTTCTATCTGCAACACTTCACCCGCTATGGTTCTATAGTTGCTACTTGTAACACTTCACCCCCTCCAAAACTTGCTGACTCGAAATTCCTCCTCGGGGAGAGGTTTCAGGGGCAACCTGGAGCTCGAAGCGTTCCTTGGCCGGATGACGTCACGGCCCTCATTTTTCCAAGCCCCGTTGCTGCCTTCTCCCAGTCAACCCTCGAGGATGCCCTCGCTCCGGGGGCAGCCAGAGAGTGCGCGCGACGAAGCTGTTGAGGAGCCTTCCTGGCAGCCTGTGTTCCTCTTGGGTGCTGTGATGTGCAACCTCATTGTGAGGTGTCGTACCGCAAACTTTCTCTGTCTATTTGAACACATGGCTGAAACTCAGAAGACAGTACAAAAGCAGGCCATAGTGATGCACCAAGTTCTTCTTATGTTAGAAAAACAGTTGTTTTCGTACGTACTTTTTATTAAATTTCCGATTTGCTCTGTTGTCCTCCAAACTTTTACTTTAAACGTCCGAATAGAATGGAATTTCGTGTTACTATTGCTGCTTTTCAATAAAGCGGCAAACATATAATTTAGACAATCGAACCGATAAAAAGGGAGCAGGGCCCAATGGTGGTAGCGTGTATCCGCCCTCTGTACCACGAAGAGACACGAACAAACTCGGGAATCTATCTCTCAACAGGAACGCATCTACGTCATCACGAAGCTAGGCAGCAGCAGGTAGTTGTAATATCCTCTTCTATGCTCTGTGGCTATGCGCGAATAGACGGACTACTCCGTGACTCAGTGTGACCATCACCACCACGGCTGCTGCCGATGGGAGACCGTGGCGACTATTTGTTCGCTTCAATATAGCGATCGTATCTTTGGCGTACTTTTTCCATCGCTGTGCGCGTTCGCGGCGCCCTACGGCCCCGGCCATTTTTCTATGTCTCAGTTTGTTTCTGAGCACAACAACGTTTATAGTGCTGCTACTATTTTTTGACGACCCTGTACAACACCAGGCAACATTGCTGACTCGCTGTGTGTCCACGGCAGCCGGCCAGAAGAGCGCCACAAGAGCGTGTGCGCGTCTGCTATCGTTACGTTTCTATGATATCGCTACGATAGCGCTAGAGTATCGTAGTCTTAGCTTTTCCTCTTAATCTTCGCCTCTTCCGTCACGCAAATCTTGATTCGTTCGCGGGTTTGTGAGTGTGCTCCGTCGGGCCGTGGGTTATTGGTCGCTGGCTTGTCGACTCAACGATCCATATGCCCGCCTTTTACCACCATAATAAATGCTTTAGCTAGTTTGCTAGCCAGCCAACCAGATCGCCGTTCACTGTTTTTTTGCTAAGGGAACGTCTCTAGCTCTACACCGGGTGGTAAGTGTCGACTGGAAAGTGCCAACAGCTGTATCGCAGAAGCCAACTGTCGAACGCCAACAGCGAATGGTGAGCGACCGAACGCCGGACTCAGCGACAACAGCAGCAGCAGTGATATTGATGGGTAAACTGATGGGTGGAGAAATGAACTGCAGATAGTGTGAGGATACCCATTCACTAGTGCCGATGATGAAGGGCGGCGCGTTCCGCCTGTTGTCACCGTCGAGACGACGTCAACAATCTTGAGCGTGCGTAATTCTTTAGACTATTGCTGTTTGCTTTCTTGCTGTTCCACAGAGATTGATACTCGCCAGTTCGTTCTCTGCTGTTGTCGTAGTGGTAATGGCGTTCAACTTGTAATAGCAACCATAAAGATTGTCTCTAGTTTGCCGCTGACACTATGCTGGGAATAAATGAGGAGCAAAGTGAACAACGCGACAGCATCGAAAAGGAGACACCAACAGTAGCGGCAGTACCGAACAGCCGAACTAACAGGCGACTGCTGAGCAGCTACGAGCTGACTGCTGAGCGGACGACGTCAACGGGACAGTGCGGAATAGAATGGAACGGCGGTGCTGCTGCTGCTGCTGCTGCTAAGATAGTGGTTCGTTATTAGCCCCTGCCCTAATCCCTCTTCAACGACAGCAACTGCAGCCTGTGGAATAGCCGCCGGCACAGGTATGGAGTTCATGTTGCTGCTTGAACTCTTTTGGTGCTGTATGTATTGGAACGATGTGGTGGCAGGTAGTGCCAGTTGTACGCCACAGGAAACAAAAGGAATCTACCGGCAACACTAATAGAGGAGAACTTGTCATACCTACTCGACCGTTATTGGTGCAATAGCTGGATCGTTGTCCAGTCCCAGTGTCCAAGTCGATAGGTTCAGTTCAACTGGCGGTTGCTCTGCGGCTCTAACAAAACAGCAGCTGTTGCAGCAGCAGCATCAGACTAGTGTGACTGAAACAGTAACATCGAGTACGACAGGGTGAGCAAAGCAATAAGAGCAGCAGTTGCCGCAGGGGCGAGATCCGTGAATCTCGACACAACCGGCGCCCATTGAAACAGCGCTAAACACTACTACCGGCTGCTTAGCTGTTTTTTTTTTATTTGTCTCACTCTCATTAACGTAGAATACGAGTTCATATCTATGGTCGTCCAACAAAAACAGGGACAAAACAGCAACTTTAGTACCTAGAAGACCCAGTGGCATCTATTCGATGTCGGTGCGTGATCTGGGCTAAATCGCAACCGCACGTTTACTGTGATCATTATTGGCTAATAGAGAGTGAGATTCGTGTGTACGGAACGTTGTTCGTAACTTGTCCTGTCGTCGCCGTCGTCTATAGTTAGAACATTAACAACAACCAACGGCGACTTGTAGAAGACCTACCCCATAGCTAGCTGGACAGGGTCTTGAAAAGATAACCGATTTAAGCGGTAAGAAGCTCAGGAACACTCTAACATTAGCGATTGCATTAAGAATCACCGGCCGCCACTCGCGAAGCTAGCAGCTGGTCATTACCACCATTTGTAGCGATTGGTTGATTTTTCTCCCCTCCTTTTCGTTCGGTCCAGCTGCAATAACACGCGATAGCAACGCCTGCTACTACTAGTAGTAGTACTACTAACTACTACTACTACTACTACTACACTACTACTACTACACTACTACTACTACTAGTAGTACTACTACTACTACTAGTACTACTACTTTTACTAGTACTACTACTACTACTGCTACTACTACTACTACTAGTACTACCACTACTACTACTACTACTGCTACTACTACTACTATTACTACTACTACTACTAGTACTACTACTACTACTAGTACTAGTACTACTACTACTACTATTTGTACTTCTGCAATATAGCGATAGAGCAATAAGCAGAAAAATAATAATAACAAATGCTGCTATTAGTAGTGGAACAACAAAAGCGATTATTCTAGTTCGCGTATCTATCATCATCAGCGCATGCCACCGGCAGTGCGATTGGAAGCGATGCATTTTTAAGAGCAAGACAGCATTTGTGTGTCCACCTCTCTGTATGATAGTCACAACAGTAAATAACCGGTGCAAGAGCGACAGGTCAGCGCATTCTAGTGACAGTACGAGAACAACAGCAAAAGCAGTGCA